ACGTGACCTGTACTATAGTTCTTCCGTTCCGAGTGAGTCCCTGTTGTTCCCGTGATCCTGCAGTACAAATGTCCTGTCCTAGCCGCCCGACGCCCAAGTGGGTCGGTTAACTGTTATCCATGCATAACGGGTCGTAACACATATATAAGACAAACAAGATAATGTTCTCATATTTGATAATTTTAGCTTGAGCTAAATGCTGCAGCATTGAGCCGCTACTAGAAAGGAGAATCTGTTTGAGATTTGCTTCGCTGCATGTCTATTCGAGCACCTTCGCCAATGTCATCTTCCCCAGACACATCATCTTTGCAGAATACAGAGTACCGCCTCAATTATAGTTTTCAAAGAGATAGTTTTCAAAGTGAGAAAAGCGAACCATATCGACAACTACAAGGGGTGCAACAGCAACAACGACGACGAGGACAACGACAACAACACTGCCGAAGACGACAGGAACAAAAACCAAAGTAACGAAGCCACAGTGATAACATCATGACGCTAATATGTAAACGCCGGCGAAAATCGATACAAAAACATGACTCCTAACTACCTCCAAATGATTTCGCCTCTAAAAATCACAGGAACTGACAGGTATAAGCCCACGCCAAATGAATTACTTCCCCTTACATCCCCGACTCCAAAAGCCCAAGAGCAATGGAAACTCGCACATGAACTCTCTACGTCCTGCATACTAAATCCGGCCTAATCATCTGACAAAAGTACATAGTCCACAACGAGAGATTCTTGTTTTGTTGAGAAAGGGGGCCAGTGCCACGCAGCGGCCTAAATGCCGAAGTTACGAGCAGCACCCTCCAAAATCCGAACAATCGCAACTTCCAACTCCGAAAAGCCTCATCTTGTTTTTTGGTTTCCATCCCATGAAGATGCATATCACGAGATGCCCGTTGTCCAGATGACAGGACGACGTCTCACCAATGTAGCATCTCCCGAAACTTTGGGGTCTCCGACGGCGCTAGTGGGGCCGAGATTACCGCCGGCCCTCCAGGACGGGACGACGCCAATCAGGCTTGCCTCGGCATCAGCTCGAGAGAAAACAGCCCCGGAAAGCGCGGGCCACCCTTAGGTACACTTACACCAATGGATGACAACAACAAGGACGACGACGACAGCAGCAAGGAATCGTTAGTCAACTGCCATTTGATCCTTCGCCGAGAAGCCAAGACTCTGGCGTCAGGCTTCACTTGCGTCACGGTTTTACGTGTTTCAAAAGTGGCGTCATGTACGATAGGTATAAGGTAAAGTAATCAAAAAGATAGATTCATTCAACTCATGTGGTATCAAAAAACGCCTTGCTAAATAAGCAACCAAATGACTATGCTAATGATGATGTCCGTCGTCCGACCCGTTGCCGGGCTTCGTCCTTGTCTCTCCTCAACTTGGACGGTGTTCTTCTGTATTTTGCTCTCCTGTCGATCCAGGGCTTCTCTACCGCGCAAAACAAACACGCATTGACTAGGCCCTGTATTGACAGGCTCACTAGTGATAGGAGCACGACCGCAAACGGGCCGGCTTGTTCTGGGTTGTCCCAGCGCATGACATGGGCCACGAAGGGGATGGCCCAGATAAGTATGTATACAAGGGGGTACACGAAAAGTAGACGTAGTTGACGGCGGATCTTGTCGCGCGTCTTGGCCATGCCTGTGCCGTCCATCGCCGGGTGGAACAGGAAGGGCGTGGCATTGTGGTCGGCATCCGAGTCGAGCGTTGTGCCGCGCCGGAGGATGGACCAGATGTTAGCCAGGGACTTGGCGCGGGCTGTCGTCGGGCTGTGTGGCGGGTGGCCGTAGGTGCTGAAGCTGTGACGGTGGGGATGGTAGTTGTAAGACGGGCTCAGGTCGATCGTGTCCCGTCGGATGTAACTTTGCGGAGGTGGAGATATTGGCTCGAACGTGGCAGATAGAGGACTGGTGCTGGGGTCAAAGCTAGTGTGTTCCACACTCTCATCCTGCTCGGGAATGCGGCCGTCCTCGTTTCCGTACGTCGGCCAGTTCCACTGAATCTTCTGACGGCTGTGAATGAGTTCAATGTCCGCCGTCATTGTGGTGGTCGTTGATGAAGTCCGCTGTCTTTCCGAATCCTCCATCGAAGTTTCTGATCCGCGACGTGAGCTTGGGGTAGGAGGCACTGAAGGAATGTGAGCCCAATCGTCGTGCATGTGCGTCGCACTTGCTCTTCTCATAGCGCTGAGGCGACCGAATCGTCGAATTCGAAGGGTGACGTATGTGTAGATATAAGCATATAAGGCGACGATGGTGAGCAGAATCATGTATCGAGGAACCCAGCTGAGCGCAAGCCTGGTCCATTCTGGGCGAACGGGCAAGTAGCAGTATTCGCCGTTGTTCGCATAACCGGGTGAGTTGATGAAGGCTAGAGAGGCCATCAATAGTGGCAGGAGGATAAAGACGGCGAATGCAATCCGGCGGTGGGGGTAGAGGCCGCTTTGTCGACCGGAATATCTGGGGCGGAAAATGTAGATGGCCGTGTGTAAGGCGATGAGAACGACGGCAATATCAGATGCTTCAATGCCGACCGAAAGGAAGAAGCCGCTCGCTTGGCAAAATGAAGAGCTGGAGGGGATCGGGCCATTTCTAAAATCGGCGATGGGGAAGATGATGAACCACAGCGACTTGAGCATGTCGCTCGACATGAGCAGCATTATGAGACTAGCCATGGTTAGCGATGTTCCTGGTTGACGCTCATGACCCCTCTGGCGAGGTTGTCTGGGTAAAACATGACTTACTCATGTCTGAAGCTCCGTCTCATGCGGGAAAACCAGTAGAAAGCAAGCGTGACGGATGCGAAGCTCAGAGCGGCAACAGCCAGTGACGTTGATTGAATTATTGTCCATTGGTGGTCAGTCAGGCCGTCGGGAACGCGGTCCCAGGCAGGGCTCCGGCGAGCACTGATAATCTCGGATGCGGCCGCAGCTGGCGGTTGCCATGCATCAGTGATTTCCAGTGCGGAGGGCCAGGGTGCCATGGCGGCTGCGTTCTCCTGGACGCCTGAGCCTGGAATCGAGGAGAAAAGTTGGTTCACGTGGGAGGCTTCGGATTCCTCATGTTGATGTGTGTGGCGAAGAGGTCGTACCAGTCGGTGATACTTGTGTTCACGATCGAGTCGTCGGCTGGGTCGAGTCCGGATCTCTCAGGGCTACCTCCAACCTTTCCGTTGCCGATGCATCCACCTCTTGATGTGCGATGGTTGTTTCCAAACTCCTTCGATAAATATCCTGGCCCCAGAAATTTGACCTTCCTCAAATACGCAGTCGTGGAATCGAGGGTCCTTTATGTCGAAGTGTGGGCGCAAAGGAGTGCCGAAAAGGTATATATAGCTTTGTCGCTCCGCCGGAAACAGACGTCACTTTACTCGATGGGCGACCCTGGCGATGATCACAAAGCGTAAAGCGAGCGTGTTCGCACCGAGCTTGCCCGTCAAATGGCTATCAAATTCAGTCGATAGATGTGGGAGTTTTCTCTTTGAGAACCGGTGGGTGGGCGAAGTTGGAAGGGAAGGGATGATGGCGGATATAAGAAATGGCGGTGCATGGGAATACAAGCGCCTAGCCTCTGTCCGCGTCTTCAGCTCTGGCAGCAACGCAGGCGTGGAAATTGAAGTCCGTCCTCCAGCAGGCATCGGATTACTGTTCAGAAAGGGCGACAGAAGCTTAAAAAGGGACGGACGCAGGCGAGACAATGCAGTACGAATAGGAGAGACGGGAAGCGGATACACTCGAAAAAGCAAGACAGGCTGTTAGCGTCGTGGTTTGAGGCTTTTGGGCAGAAGACGGCTTGGCCAATGAATGAGCAGCCAGGGGCAATAGGCATCCGGTGCGGTGTGTGCGTCTGTGTGTTTTGTGCGTCGATCGTGTGATGGGGGGCGTGGGATGCGGCGCGGGTGTTTGTCGAGCGAGGATGCGTTGAGTTTGGCCTGGGTTGGAGCCATTGAAAAGCGTCCAGTGTCAGTGTTTGGGAGAGTGTGGGTGGCTGGCGGTCAAGTCTGTGCCGGGGGGGAGGGTGTATGAGAGGGGGTCGATTGCTTGTGTTGGTACGGAGTAGGCCCCGTCTCGTTCCTCGTTGATTGAATGGAGCGAGCAATTCAGCCCAGTAACAGGCGAGAGACAAGACAGAGACAGCCACCTGAGTGAGCGCATCTCATTCTCCTTGTGGTGGTGGAAGTGTAAAGGAGGCGGCACAGGGGACGGGCTAGGCGGGACTGGCCTCGGTTACTAGGCGCCAGGGCAGGAACAAAAGCAATTATCTATCCATTGCTCTGCTATTGTTCTCGATATTGGGGGCTGATGGGATGGGAAGCTATGGTGAGCGCTGCGCTCGCGGCGGCCGAGCTCACGGGGGATCCCCCGTGGACTGACGATGACGATGGTGCAAGTCTTGTGCTTCATCCTCGAGCGGTCTTGTGGTGCAGTGCATGTTGTGTGTATTGGGCGGAGAGGTGCCGACAGCAGGATTATGCTGGCGTTGCCTATGCACGCGACTGAGGGCGCGAGGTGCAGGTGCAGGTGCATGTAGGTGCAGTAGCAGCAGTTGGACAGACGGGTGCCGATTAGGTGCCGGGACATCAGCAAACCTCTAGGCGAGGCCATGTTTAGATTCGGCAAAGCGAGACAGGTGACGGATGGTGAGGAGGACCAGCGCCAACAAGAACGGAACGTAGTGTACCTTAGGTAGGCGGCCAAGGTTTGTTTGTTTGTTGGAACTCGGTACTCGATCCGGTGAGGAGGGAGAAGGGAGAGCGGTGACATGCCTTGCGTCGACGGACCTGAAGAAGGGCTTGGAGGGCTTGGGTTGATACTCGACAGGGTATGATGTGTCAAACCCCAAGATCGCCAACGACGTCGGTGTAGGTGTCTTTCTTGTCTCTGGCTGCTTTCGAGGGTCTCGCTGGAAACGGTGTCAAACAGGACTGTCACGGCCGTTGGCGCGATGATGGTGAAGATGGGGGTGCCAGGGGCCGCATCCGATCCATGCTTGCGGCATGTTCGTCAGTGGGCTTTGAGGCATCTCTTTGTCCGGGAACAGCGCTGAAAGATGAACATGATTAGAGCAGGGTAATACCGGAGGTGTGTATTCGTTGTACTTTGTGGGTGCGGATAGGTAGGCGCACAGAGTGCCGGCATATGTGGTGGGGGAGGGGAGGGGTCCTTTGGGGATTTGTGTACGGATAGTGAGGTGAGATTGGGGGGACGGCACGGGAATGGGGCCATGATGATGGGTGAGGTGAGATGGTGTCTTGGGTTGTGTTGGTGCGTGCCGGTGCTCCCTCTGAAATTCTGAATCGCAGGTTGGAGACGAGCACAAGACTTGTGCACCCCTGGGTGGAAAGTGAAGGGGCTACGTACCTTTTGGCCGCCTCTGCCTCTTCCTGCGGGCAATTTGTCTGCCAGTCAACAAGTTGCCAGCCCCGAGGAGGGCTGCTAACACCTGCTCGAGGTCATTTGGCCAGGTCGCAGCACAAGCAAGGCCCGAGCGGGACTTTATGGATATGCATAAAGTAGTTTGTGCGGGATAAGTCAATTAGATGGGCCAAACCAACGGCGGAACGCTGTGAGTTGGGCGAGCAACGACATTGGAGCGAATGAGGCAACTGTCGGTGGTGACCAACCAATGCCAGGGCCACGAGCATCAGCAGGTGGTGTGGCTTGGACGGGTGCGCAGGGACGGTCATCCAAGTGGAGGTGACGTGGACGTGGTCGACATTGAATGGACGAAACCGGCAAGCAGATGCGCTTAAAGGGCCTGGCTGAATGAATATCCCATCAAATCCCCCACGAGTCTGCCCGGAGTCTGTTCGAGATGGCCGAGTTCGCGCTTGGGTTGGGGGGAGTGTGAAGTCGTGTCTGTTTTTGGTGAGTTGACGGATGGGAGAGGAGCTTTGGGCGCCGCCGAGGGAGTGGAAGTGAGCTGACCAAGACTTTGGCAAAAGGCTGTGTGTTGTTGTTGATGCGGATAATGACGGAGATGGAATGAAGGAGCCGGATTCCGAATTATTGTCAGGGAGCGCCCGGCGAAACTGTCCAGGACAGCACGCGAAGAGGAAGGAACACTGAAGGTGAGAGAGGATCTCGTCAGCACGATCGATTGGGGAAGCAAGTGGAGTGCCAAAGCTAGGACCACCAAGCGAGGTGAGGTAAGTCCGGGGAAGGCAGGCAGGGCAGGGCAGGGTAGGTTAGGTAGGTACGGCGGAGGCAGCTCCTGCAGCGGCACCTGTAGCAGGCAGTAGCAGTCGCAGATCAGATCCAATGCACCTCACCTTCCTTCCTGCCTGTCTGTTGGTACGGCACCGCGGCATCCGCCTCCTCCGTGTCCCAAGCAGGCTGCGGTTGCTTACTTTGCCCATCAATGTCCGGCTTACACGGATTGATTACAACTCACGAAGGAGTGAACACTGAACCTTGACGCCAGAAAGAGGTGAAAGTTTGAATCTCCGTTTCTTTCCATCCTGGGATGCGCCTGCAACGGCTGCCGCACAGAGCAACCGCTTGCATGGGACGCACCTGCCTCCGGTTCTTCCTGCAACTACCATACGACTGCTGCCACTGCCACATCCTGCCCCGTGCCCGTGTGCACCTGCTGCTTACCTTACCTTACTTACCGGGCAGGCAGGCAGGTAAGGTGAGGTAAGTGCACCTGCCTTCTGACTCTTTTTGCCCAGTTGTCTGGTCCGGCAGTTGGCCCAGGCGTTGCAGCCGCTGCAAGTGCGAGCACGAGCCAGGAAAGAGTCAATGGGCATCGAATCGCATCACCTGTCTGTCATCCCTCAGCTTGCGAAGGAGCGAATCAACTTGAACCAGCCTCATTTGGGCAAAAACGTCGACCAACTAACTACCTGCCACCAGGAACGACAGAAACACCACGTATGGTACGTACCTTCACCGTCCTTACGTCCGTTGGCGCGCCGCCCTTTGCGCATCTCACCGATCAGAGGGCCTTGTGCTAGCTGACTGACTGTGTTGTATAGGGGCGCACGCTCTACTCTAGCAGTTTAGGTACCTTAGAGCCTCCAAGTCTCCTCCGGCGATGGGAGTGTGAGGAGGGCCTCCTTCCTCATGGCAACTGGGAGCGGTGAAACGCCGCCATTTCCCTCGTGGCCGTTGGCACCGGACCTCCCACTCAGCGTCAATAACATACCTACCTAGCTAATCAAATGCATCCATCCACTGGCACCGTCAATCAATTGCCTAGCGACTTGGCGGTCTGCCTTCAGCAGCTTCAATCAACCACAGCAGCCGCAACTCCTTGATGGATCGGCAGAATCACGAACCTCTCGTCAAGGAGACATCACGCGCTGTCTGATAGCGAGCGCCGTTCCCTGCGTCTGGAAACAGGGCTACGTCCGTATTTCCTTTTTCTTGTCGCGGCACTCGGGACCGCATTCCCCTTTCCAGCCAGCAATCCTAGGAAACGCGACCCCTACTTTCGTCTCTCATTGGACTCGACCTGGATCTGGGTTGGATCGCCCGCTTCTGCAATCTCTGGCAACCGCAGCCGGTCGACCACTGCTGGCAAGCATGAGACAGGTCTCGACGCCATTGGGAAACGAGAGACGGAAAATGCGGCTTTCTGCTCCTCCGGCGTACGGCCCTTCTACTCCTTGCACCACCACCGCAGTGCCATGCCTGCCCTCCGTGTGGTGCCTCGAGGCCCTCGATATTAAGCATTCACAAGCACAGAAATGGCTTTCGCGCTATCGAGCCTCGAGTCTCCCAGCGTGTCCGCAGCCCTCATCTGGATTCTCGGCACCGCCGGGATCGGTATGCGACGCTACCCAGACGCTGCTGATCGTTCGACCTTGCCTCGAGATGCCAACATACGCATTGCATTCACCAAGACCGAGCCGAGACGCCTCCATTTCGTTGCGCTCTACTTCCATACGAACCTGAACACTCCGCGTCGTCGGCAGTCGTTGGCATCTCGGGTCACTTTTAAGGTTTGCCCTTTTTGCCCGCGTCGCCTGCAGCCAGCGCGGCCTGCAGTCCGTATTCGGTCTTGGGGCTCGTAAACTGTTGCGTTCCAAAATTAACCCAAATGCCTGCGTCGGTCTGACTTGCTCTACTGACCGTCACCGCTGCTACTCTTGCCTTACTTTGCGCCTTTCAGACGAAGCAGGTCTGACCTCAGGTGCCATATTCCACTTGAGGTAACACGCGTCATCAGCCACGGGAAGGAACAGACGGCCCTTAACGTATCTGGGCAATGTTGCCGCAACACCGAGCTCGCTCGTGGGCCGTGACCAGCGGGATGTGGGCTGTGTCAGCTTCCCACGGCCTACCTACCGTGCTACGGTCGCTGCCAGAGCAGTTCAACAGCCGCCCTGCCTTACGAATCCAAGCTACAAACTACGTACATAGCTGCTGTTCAGTCCAGCGCAACCATGGGACACGGCAAGGACAAGGACCGGGAGGTGCGGGTGCAGATGGTCGTGCAGATGCGTGTGCAGCGCATACCTTATGCCCGGGCTCTCTCAGTCTCCCTCCACCCTTTTGATGGGTTAATTTGGTCGTTACCTCCCGGCCTCCCGTCGTTCGTGTTCGAGCATCTCCTCTACAACCACCAAACATCCTAGCAACACCCCTCGGTGGTAAGGGACCCCCTGCCGATTCGACTGACGACATCTGCCGAAGTTGCTCTCAATCTTGGTTGCGTACCATCACTGATTGGCTGATCGCACTTCGCGCCTCCCGCGAGCCGTGCCAACCCAGTCGCAGCTCCAAAGCTTAACCTTTAGATTGGGACGCAAGTATCATCGAGGATGGCAACCAGACAATTGGATGGACGGGATCCCCTTACCAGTCACTGGTCAGTCAGTCTCAAACTGTCCATCCCACCCATCCGCCTGGTGAGCCCAGCCCTCGACTTGGCATGTTTGGGTCCCCTCAATTCCTATTTTCAATCAAGATCCAAGCAGCCTCTACGAACTTTATCTGCTTTCAGCTGCCACCAACACCTCCACAACTACCACCAACATTTTTCAACATCTCACCCAGGTAATCGGGCTATTTGGAATGGAGATTACCGGTATGAAGTTGAAGCCCCTCATGACACTGGCTCAAATCTTTGCATTACTGACCCCTTTACAGGCCATGTCGCTCGTGGCGCCACCTCGACGCACCAACTGCCGCTACCATCGGCTCCGCGAGCCACCTTTCATCCGAACCGATCGGCTGTCCTTCCTCCACGTCGCTTCACACACAGATCGTCGTCGCTCTCCGATCCCCATCTCCACTGACCGTGCCCTCCTCTGCCGACGCTCGAACTTGGCCACCGAAAACCGAGACCGAGATGCTCGTCGCACGGTCGTCAAACCCCATCAACTCTGCGAGCGGGCTATTTGCCCATTAAAGCCGGTCCCTTGGCCTTTGCCAGCCCACTCGAGCAAAAGGCCTAGATACCCGCTCCATCTCTATTACCTCAGCCAGCAGATCACTTTCTTTGACGTCCAAGCTGTCCCTGCCTGACTATGTTTTAGAAAACCGTTGCTCGGCTCCTCATCCCACCTTTCAGATGATGGCTTCCTCCCACATCACGAGGTGGGTTTGCGAGCCTGTCGCATACATACAAGGATTATCCAATTGCTATCCTTTCCTTCCGAGACCAGACAACTTTGTGCCTCATTGTACTTGTTCTCGTGCCTCGGACGGGCTTGTCGATCCCTGTGGACGTCTAGCCCACGGTCTAGGCAAGCCTTTTGCTGACACATTCGTCTACATAGCAGAGACAACCATATTCCAGACAAGAGCCACGGCAGTTGCCGCTCACTTGTAAGACATCGACAAAGCCCTATTTTCCTCCATGTAGGCTGACCTTGCACGATATGAACCCTCACCAAGATGGGCGCGGTTCGTTAGAGTCGTCAAGGCGCTCCAAGCCGACCTGCGCAAGCCATGTATCTGGATGGCTTGAAGTTCAAGGTCTCACCTACATGCCGGGAGCTATTGCAATTACCGGCAGTGCACCCCCAGATGCGGGCTTCTCGGGCCAGTCATGGCCATCGCCTGCGTCTGGTCCCCGTGGAGTCCGCGGCGGGTTGAAGAGTTTAAAGCCGCCCGCCGCAAGCGGAAATCAACCCCCACACGTCGTTCTACAATAAGACCTTCCTTGACAAGCAAAAATCGGAAAGTAAGCAAGCTTGGACAGGTCCTCAACGTTACTAGGAACAAAGCCGCCTTTTTGTCGTCCACATGGCGTGCATCTAAGATACCTTGACATCTAGAGAAAGGACGATACTGGATGGTATGTCGACCAGCCTGATTTAGGCATTTGTTTCGAACGACATCCTCGGGTCCCTCGCATATCTTTCAATTCTCACTTTGCGCCCGGCGTTCACGGCTTGAGCTGCATGGGACGGAATGACAACCCCGCGCATCCTTTTGCGAAGCTGATACGATGTCTCTGCTTCTCGTAGTACTCGATCAGGACCCTACGCACATTCGCTGAACTCAGCCGAGGGTCTTATGACTCTGGAGCTATGACATGGATGGCACAAAGCGGAAACCAAGCGTTGTCATTTGAGTAGAGGATGTCTGGCGGTGTCACTCCAACCCAACAAGACAGACACCTCTCCGATACTCTGACTCAGAGGCAATACTCTTGGATGAGGTTGCTCATCTCGGAAGCGCGTTCGCCATATGCCATGAAAATGGTAAGTGACAATGCATGATGGTAGGTCTGCTCGGGCCGCTTGCCGAGCAGTCACGTCTCGCGGAATATTCAGACGAACAACTCCAAGGCGACCAATGAACACGGTGGGTGCTGACTCCGAGTTGAAAGTGAGTCTAGACTCCTACGTCAATAGTTTCATAATTAACCCAGCAGTCCACCTCTGAGGGAAGAGAGCCGCGGCAAACGCCTGGGGTCCCGCAAAGAACAAAGCGACATCAGATGATCTGTCACGGATCTTTTCAACACCTTTTCCCTCTTCTTATGCGCTACGTCTAGAAGCAAATCAAAGCTCCCCGGACTCGACTCCGGCAGGTATGGAACCCGCCACACGTCCATCATCCTCGGCCTCTTCCTTCTGACCTTCCCCAGAGAAAAGGTAAAAAGACAGCGACGATCTGCCGCCCCACTAATGTGTGATCTACCCATGTTCCAGCGGGACCATCAACATGCCGAACCGTGCAGTATTTCTCCCTTTCAATCGTCCAGGTGTTGCGATATTCCACAGACCTGCTGTTCGTTGATGTCATTCCCGTCGCAGACATTGGCAACCTCGGAGATTTATCTAGATCTCGTTCACACTCTTGGCGGAAACGCGGCCCGAGAAAAGGGTTGCGCCGATGCATGAATCTTGATGCTGCATCGGGGACTCTGCCGCGACGGCGCTTTTGCTTGCCGCCACTTGCTCGTTGCCGCGGTTGATTGCTTTTGGAGATTCATGTAGGATGGTAGACGGCAGTCGGACGGCTAGTCACCTCCATTGATAGACCAGGGAGGAAAATTCCAGCGGTCCACGATGATGCATGTTTCGCTGTGGTATTCTTCGAAGGCTGCTTCATGCTGTTGCGAATCAGCTCCGCGCGAGGGCTCTCGAGTATGGTCTCGTAGATGATGTGCGTCCTTCTCAACCAAATGCTCATGCTGCTTCAAAATACCCAAAAAGCGCAAATCAGGGGATGAAATAAAAGGACTCCCTTGTGGGACCTGGGCGGTGTGCTGGCTATTAGGTCTACTCGTGAATAGTTCTATCATGTTTTCTCGTTGATGGTTTATATTATCTTTGCCACCGTTGCTGCTGTCACTGTTGTTCCTGTCGAATCGGAGCGTGAATACACTGACCGTACATCACCATCTTTCCCATGATGATGGACCACGTTTGACAACGTCCTCGACTACGGCGTTCCAGCGCATCGAGGCTATGAGCAGCCGGTCCTCTGGCGGGGTCTTGTGAATTAGGCTCGAAAGAAGCACGATGCTGGAGTGAAGATGCCACAGCAGCCTGCAGAAGAAATTCAGCTCGGGGGGGTTGGCAAGATTGTCGCTGGTACTTTACGTTCCGCCAGGACAATGTGCCTGACGAAGACGAAGTTGGAGGTACACTGATTGGAAGTATGTGTCAGAAGAGATTGCGAATAGATTCTTGCTCGCTTCTAAGTATGGGCAGTTCGACACTGAAGCATGGAATACGGTCTGTATACATTGCTCGCTAGCGTTTATATCTTGGCGTTATGATTGTTGTTGCTTCGGTTTCGTTGCTGCACTCTTCGTCACTGTTCTTTTCGTTGCTGTCATTGTTCACTCTCGTTATTCATACCGTCATGGTCGTCGTCGTAATCATCGTCATTATCATGGTTGGGCTCATTCTTATCTACTTCCACTAGGTACCCGCCTGAAAGTCAAAACTCTTGCAGATGAATGGGGGAGTAGATGTCTATGAAAATCAATGTTTCGCTGTGTTGTTCTATGAAGGTTTCTTCCTGCGATTGCGGACCAAAACTCCGCATAAAGGCCTGTTGAAAATGTTCCCCCAGACGGGTGAAGCTACCTTGCTCCACCAAATTATGAGAATGCTTCCATATCCCGCGATGAAATGCCAAATCAAACCAAAAGTGCAGCGCGAAAATCAGACCTTTACCCAAAGCCTCGCCCCCGGTTCAGCCTCCGCAGCATCCTCTTCCTTGTCCTCGCTAGCCTCCTCCTCCTCGATCTCCTTTATCAGTTGCGCGCACTTGGCCTGGTACGCCATGGGCGCCGTGTGCATCATTACCTCCCAGTACGACATGAGCTTCGTCTCGTGCCGATCATCTTGCATTCTGTGCGCCACCTTCTCGGCCTTGGTCTCCTGCAAGTCGTCGATGTGCTCGTCGATGGTGTCGGCGGCTCTGATGACGACGGCGTACATCTTCTTGGTCTGGCCCGTGCGGTCGATGCGGCCGAAGATCTGCTGCTGGGCAGCCTTGTTCCACCAGTTATCGATGTTGATGATGCGGTTGGCGCAGGTCAGGTTCAGGCCTTCCTTGCCGACCTTGGACGCGAGCTGTTGGTGGTGGAGAGTGAGCTCAGGTTCTTTTCACACGGGTGGAGGGAGACTGAAGAATGTGCAATGGGGAGCTTACCAGGACTTTGATGCTTGGGTCGTTTTTGAAAGAGGTAATGGCATCTTCTCTGCTCTTGGCGGACATTTCGCCGTTGAAGTAGTAGAAGGGGATGTCATACTGACGCAAAGCGATGCCGAGGATCTTCGCGGTCTTCAGGAACTCGTGGAAAACTGCCGTAAGTAGCTTAATTAGCATTTAATGTCCCAGGTTCCGAGACAAATGAAGACCGTTACTGTACCTATTATTTTGTCTTCGGGCGCTTCGCTCTGAAATTGGAGGACGTAGTCCATGGTACACGCAGTCTTGGAGCTGAGCGGAATCATACCGTCTGTCTCGTGAACTCCAATGTTGATGAAAGCGTTATCCTTGCCCTTGAGGTCCAAGAAGACACCGCGATAATCGCCGCCGTACTTCTTCTTGGTAAAATCCGCGACGATCTTCTTCTCCTCTCTGGCACTGAGCTGCTTCTGCCTCTTCGACTTCTTCGGTGTTCTCTTTGTGGGAGTCGCAGTGGGAGGTGCGGATTCTGCTTCCTTAAGTGCTCTCACCCTGTCAACCTCAGCGTACTCTGTCTCCTTGGTAGACAGATTCTCAACCAGCCTTGCATCTGTTTTTCGGTCGTATGGCTGGTCACAAGTTGTGCATTTTGTTTCGCCTGCCTCTCTCCAGTCCTCGGAAAGACATTCATGACAGAATAAGTGCTGACACTAGAAAGATTGAATCGTAAGGTTCTGGATTGTAAAGATGATGCAGGACGGATGATCATGAACTTACCTGGGAAATGATCCAGGGCTTGTCGATTGACGTCTTCTTGCACTTCGTGCAACCTTCGTCCACCATCTGCTCGTTGATGGTATACTTCAGGAGATTTTCCATGCCGAGTGTCTTGTCTGTCGAATCGATATGGAAAATCCTGTCTTCCTTTGATTTGGTCGACTTCTTCTCCTCTGTCTTCTTCGATTTCTTCTTCTTTCTCTTCGTCTTGGCATCCTGCGACTTGGAAGAGCTATTTCCCACCGTTGGCTCTTGAGTGACGAAGAGTTCCGAGTCTTGGTCATTGGGTGGAGCTGCGTGAAGGAGCTTCCTGGTTTGGGGGATGGCGGAGGGGTCGGCCGCCAATTCCTCGAGCCCGTCTCTCAGATTCGTCAAGAATGCAGGGTTGAGATCATCTCTGAAGACACCCTCGATATTCCAAGCATGTGAAATCATCATGCGATGACAGTTTATCCGGCTGAGTCCTTCTCGCTTTTCGAGAGCATCGTAGTGTTCTGTGATGAGGCTTAAGACATGTCAGATATGAACCCTAGTAATGATGAGCGCAGGTTCCAAACTTACTCGTAGATCATACGCTCATGTCTGCTGAGATTGACCCACACCTCTTTGGATTCGAACTCAGGCAGATCTCCCGTGATTAACCGGCCAAGGAACTTATCCTTCTTCGTTCTGAAAATTGTAAGTCAGCACCCACAGACACCAAATGAGTGAAAAGATGTGTGTCTCACCTCCGGTACGTCGCCAAATGGATCAAGGCGTCCATTTTGGTATCGCAGTCATACTTGAAAAGAGTCAAAAATTAATCTACTAAATGATTGGCGAGGATTGAATGCTACTTACAGATTCAAGGTATCTGTCCTTGAAGTCTTGGTAGGTGTTGATGCCCTCGACTCCCACGAGCCTGAGGTACGGAAAGATTTCTGAACACCTAATTAGCATGAACAATGCCCATATAACTGGTGAGCCGGTACAAACCTGTCTCTCTGTCTACCAGGGGAGTTGCGGTGAGAACCCAAAAGCTTTTGCGTTGGAGGCCGTAACATGCTTTGAAAGCTGCCAATATGTCAGCGAGAGTTTATCACCTCTCCTCATGTGGCAACTCACATAGGGTATTCATGTTCTTGACAGCGTGCCCCTCATCAAGAATGATCCTGTACCACTTGATGCCGTAAACTGGGCCGGCAAACCTGACTAGCGCAGCTCGATACTCGTCGCTTTCCATGCCGTGTTCCGCTTCAATCTTCTTCAGCTCTTCGTCTGTGAGGTTTCCACGAATCTCAGTAATCGTGGCAATCCTGACATGAATGTTAGCAAGCCGGGCTTCCAATTCGTCCTGCCGAGGTCACTTACACAATCTTGTAGTTGTGAAAGTTCACGCTTGACTCCTTCCATTGAGCGTTGGACCAGATGAGAATCTCATTGTCTCTGATGGCTTCGATATGCTTGAGATACTCTGCTCGCCATTGCTTGGCCATGTCAGTTGACGGCACAATGATCAAAGTGGCACCGAAGTAGGTTTGAAGGTCTTCAGCCGACGCAGGATTCCCAACGGTGCAAGCCATGGACACCATTGTCTTTCCGAGACCAACATCATCCCCGAGAACTCCCCCAAAAGGAGGCGATATGCCGTGCTCCCGCTGGACCATCCATGAGACGGTGGGAAGCTGCTCCTCTCTGAGCTTGGTGGTCTCCCTCATTCCCTTGAGGTAGTACTCCCCGTTGGGGAAGCAAACAATTTTGCTGTAGCCGAAAATACTTGTGGCCTCTTTGAGATCTCGCTTTTGAGTTCCACTTCGGCGGTTGTTCGTGCCGTGACTGATTCTGTCCTTCAGTTCCTCATTTCTTTCTTTTTGAGTGATTGGTCGGTTGGCTGTGGCGCGAGCAGTTGCTTTGCCGGTGTCATAAAAGTTCTCTTCGATGCTTCGCTGATCTTTCTTGTCTGACTTTGCAGATGATGTTCTCATCTTCTTTGCCTTAGGCGGCTCGATGTGCACATTGCCATTTCCAGCGCCCCGTTTTCTCTTCCGCTCGTTTTTGATGTAAATCTTGAATTCTTCGTCGAGCTTTCTCTGGTTCTTCCTAACTTTCTGTTGGGCAGTCTTTGCAACCCCGGTGTTTGTTGCTCTCTTTCTTGTGGGCTTGTTGCGCGGCTTCGGCGATTCCTCCTTTGCGTCCTCGGTTGGTTCAAAGTCTGTGTTCATCGGGTCCGCATTCGGTTCCGACTCTGAGTCTGATGACGCGTTTTGTTCCGGCTCTGAGTCTGATGGCGCATCTAGTTCTGGTTCCGAGTCTGATGAATTTTCATCCTCGGTGCTCGACGTCTCGTGCTCTGGGCTGTCACTGTGAGTTTCGTTCGCATCTTCACATTGAGCTGTGTCTGAAGGTGCTATGTGAAGATTGTGAGATGTCTCAGTGCCAAGAATCGTTCCTTGACTGGGGTCAAAATCCTGTAACTGCTGAAGGAGACGGAAATCATCGTTGAATGAATTGTCTGACTCTGGACTTTGATCCACACAACCTTCAGGAGCAGATGAAGTTGCATCTGAGCTGAGGCTGTTCATAATGAAGACGGAGTGTAAGAAGAGGAGTGAGGGATTTATGAAGGGAGAATGAAGATGTGTTTGTGGTGGAATTGAATGTCAGTTGTGTGTTGCAGTAACTGGATGATTTGAAAACGTGTGAGGAAGGTCAACTCAGACGCGAAATTGATCTGGCTACCGAGAGGAAATCTGTGAAGGTGAAGTGTTTCGCCTTGATGTGAAGAAAAGATGGGAAGAAGTAGGGTGGAATGGGAAGAGATTGGGGAGGACGGCTTGCCCGATGCTTAGTGGATGAAGTTGCCAGCCAACATAGAGAAGATTGAAAGGGCAAGGCGAGTTATAGATGAGACGGAGGTAGTGTGATGGAGGCGTCTGTTGATAGCAGGCTAATTTGCGATGGTTTGTGAAAGGCGAGGGTGAGAAAGTGGTCGGAAGATGGTGAGTTGTTGGGGTTGTGGAGGTCTGAGTTGAGTTGGAAACAGAAGGATCTGAGATGGAGACTAAATAGTCCGTAGAATGTGGTAATTGAAAGGAGCTGATTTGTGTTGGAGAAGTCGCGAGCCTCTGGGAGTTTGGGAAGGGGCAAAGCCAGCTTGATGTCTCTAAGGCGGCCACGCTTGGATGGTTAGCGGAGCAAGTCTGGTCCTTCCAGATGACCACAACCAGAAGGCAGATAGAATTCAAATTGAACTAGTGTGTTGATAGGTTGAAGGCCAACAAGTTTGCGATGTCTTGGGGGAAGAAGCAGGGACGGATGGACAAGCAGGACCATCACTTAAATAAGGGCTCTGTAGTTGAAGAGTGGGGCTGAGGTATTATTGTCCATGATGGGAAAGAAACAGGCAGCCGGAGGCTTCTCAATCCTTCCTTATCTCCAGACTTTTAAAGTGGGAAAGACCTAGGTATTAAGTATGATAATCACAAGGAAGGCATCAAAGACGAATGAGCTGTGCCTTCCTTATTGGTCGAGGCAATTGCATTGATATCTTCGTGAAATGACCTGATGTAAGTTTCCAACATGGGAAAATGACGTTTGACTTTATCTTGCTCAGTCCTTAGTTCTCAGATGAGGCGGCTAATGACTCGAAGCTGGTGATGTTTCGGTATACTCTTCGGTGAGCTCGGTCAGCCCACACCGCCCTCGGCAGAACACAAAATCTCCACTAAAAATTTGACCGTCGCTCGAACCCCACATGGATTTTTCCCATGCGCCCGCGACCAAAAGCCGGTCCCCTTCTCCCAACACCACCGTCAATTGACGACCACACAACCACACCCCCCCAAACACCGCCACCATGTCAAAATCAAGCAAGAATGGCAAGATCACCGACTCGCGGTTCTCCAGCTTCGAGACCGATCCGCGCTTCCGCCTGCCCTCGAAGAAGCAGACAAAGACCAAGATCGACAAGCGCTTCGCCGGCGTGCTGAAGGATGACGCATTCACGGCCACCGCAAAGGTCGACCGCTACGGTCGCAAGATCAAGTCCGACTCGAAGAAGAAGGCGCTGCAACGGCTCTACGAGGCGGAAGATGACGAGGACGAGGACGAGGAAGAGGAGGAAGGCGGTGATATGGAGGTCGACGCCGACGACGTGGTGCAGCGCGAGCTGGCCAAGGCGGATGCTAAATACGACCCGGCGCGCGGCGGCGGCTTCAGTGAGTCCGAGTCGGAATCCGAGTCATCGGACGACGATGATGACGAGGAGGAGGCGGAGGTCGTCGCGGACCCGAAAGCGTCCATGTCACGGCTGCGCGACGAGCAGGCTGAGGTCGAGGACGGCGAGGTCACGACGCGGATAGCGATTGTCAACCTCGACTGGGACAACATCAAGTCGGCCGACCTGTTTGCGCTGTTTACGAGTTTCCTGCCCTCGACCGGCGGGCGGATCGAGAAGGTGGCCATCTACCCGAGCGAGTTCGGCAAGGAGCGCATGCAGAGGGAAGAGCTCGAGGGCCCGCCAAAGGAGATTTTCAAGAGCGACAGCGACGAGGAGAGCGAGGAGGAAGAGGAGGATGAGGCAATCAAGAAGGAGCTGCTGGAGGAGGGCGACGCCGAGGACTTTGACAGCGACGCGCTGCGCAAGTACCAGCTCGACCGGCTGAGGTATTACTACGCCGTCATGACGTGCTCCGACAAGGCGACCGCGCAGAAGGTGTACGAGGCGACCGACGGCACGGAGTACCAGTCCTCATCCAACTTCCTCGACCTGCGCTTCGTGCCCGACGACGTTACCTTTGACGACGAGCCGCGGGACGAGTGCGACAAGGTGCCGGAGGGATACAAGCCTGTCGAGTTCACCACCGACGCGCTGCAGCACTCCAAGGTAAAGCTGACCTGGGACGTCAACCCCGATGACGCGGCGCGCAAGGCGTCCATCAACCGCGCCTTCACCGGCAGCCGCGCCCAGCTCGAGGAGAACGACCTCAAGGCGTACCTCGCCAGCGACAGCGAAGATGACGGAAAGTCTCTTGCCGGCATTGAGGAGGAGGACGAAGCGGAGGCCGAAGAGAAGGAAGAGGAGCCCAAGCTTTCCAAGAAGGAGCTCCAGCGCCGCAAGATGAGAGCGTTGCTCGGCCTCGGTGCAGAGGAGGAGAAGAAGTCCAAGGACGCCCCCGTAGGCGACATGGAGATCACCTTCACGCCCGCGCTCACAGAAACCAAGAAGGACAAGAAGGAGGGCGAGGAGGAGACCACGATCGAGAAGTACAAGCGCAAGGAGCGCGAACGCAAGGAGAAGAAGCGCGAGATCGCCAAGGCCAAGCGCGGGGTCGCCGATGCCGAGTCAGACGTCGAGGTCGAAGAGGCCGCACCCGCCGCCGGCGGGGAGGACCTCGGCTTCGACGACCCCTTCTTCACGACCGAGGAGCCGCCCAGGAAGACTAAGACGTCGATCCGCAAGGAGGAGCGCCTCGCCAAGCGCGCGGCGCGCGAGGCCGAGGAGAAGGCGTCCGCCGAGCAGAAGGCGCAGCTGAAGCTGCTCATGGCCGACGACGGCGACGAGGCGGGCGAGCACCTGGACCACTTCGACATGAACGAGATCCTTAAGGCGGAGAAGGCGAAGAAGAAGAAGGGGAAAGGCAAGAACAAGAAGGGCAAGAAGGCCGGCGGCGACGACGACGATGACAAGGTCGGCCTGCAGGAGGGCTTCAAGATCAACGTGGACGACGACCGTTTCAAGGCTGTCTTCGAGAGCCACGAGTACGCCATCGACCCGAGTAACCCCAAGTTCAAGAAGACCGAGGCGATGCAGACGCTGCTTGAGGAGGGCAGGAAGAAGAGGAAGGTCGGCGATGACGAGGTGCCTGCGGAGAGGAGCGGGAAGAAGGCGAAGAAGGAGAGCAAGGGTGGTGACGCGGAGCTGAGCGGACTTGTTGCAAGTGTTAAGAGGAAGGCCAAGACGGGTAAGAAGTAGAGGATGATGTTGGAGGTCTCTTGTTTCGTGCTTATTTGAGGCGTGTGGTCATACCCTAGATGGATCCTAAAAGTTACTGGAATGTATAAAAGTACATGGTCATAATGCACAGCTGTTCAAGGTGTAATTGATTCTGTGTTGGTTCCAACGCTATGCTGATAATGGGTATCCAATACTAACAAACGCTTACTTGCACTTCTAACTATCAAAGCATGTCGCTGAGCCGCCAGAAAGGTGACATGATTCAACACTGTACGCCCGAAACTTAGTATCCGCTCTCCCACATAAAAGCCAATCCAGGCCTTCAGTACCCGAGGAGGAACCATTCTGCGCTAGGTCCCATTGTAAAGCGCGTGAATCTTTCCGCACCCACATCAAGGACTCGAAGCAAGTCTTTGTGATGTCCCAAGCATACAGCATGCGGTCCCTAGGCAAGACCTGGTGTCTAGCCCTTTCAACCAACTCTGGAATTCTGGGTCGAATATCAAGGCTGTTCCTGGGAAAGTCTTTGAACCTCACCTGAATCGAGTTCGTTGCATCTCGGGTGGGTCGTTTCGAGCATCAGAGGGTCGGCGCTGGAATGCTTCATCTTGGCCGGCCTGAGCGTCTCTGGGCTCCTCTTCTGGACCGTCCGTTTCAGGCTCATCTTCCGGCGCATCGGTTGTGGGCTCATCGCCGTCATCATCCCTCTTGGGTTCATTCCTGATATCCTCGTCGTCACCTTCCTCGGGCTCATCTTCTGAGTAGTCTTCTTCGCTCCAATATGCAGCATTCGTATTATTGGGATCGATTGAATTGATGCGATGGGGATAGGGCTAGAAGAGTTCATGCGGTCGTTAGTCTTGGAATATAGACGTAAGAGTACCACAAGCTCACGTTCCATCGCCGACTTTGCCCTCCAACCCGCCTGCGACGCTCTCGACTCCGTTGCTGATTTGCTCTTCTAGCACCGGGAGTGGGTGACCCCGGCGAGGATGAGTTTTGCTGCCAGGATGTATGCGAGGGTGGCGGGGTCCCAGGGCGGTTAGGCGAATCAGAGTTTTCTCCAGCAACGTTCGGAGTCCGTGGCGGAATGTGAGTCGGAGGATCCTGTTGCTGATGCTGAGGAAGAGGTGGAAGCTCCGGGGAAGGAGACGGAGAATGGTACGGAGAAGTGGGAGTGGATGGGTGCTCCGGGATAGTAGACAGAGCCCGAGACGGAGGACGAGGTATAGGTTGGTGACGATCTAGTGTGTCACGAACTTCGTCACGAACCCAATCTCCAGGAATATGGAGTGGAAGTTTCGGAGAAGAAGACTTAGGAGCCTCTTGACGAAGACAAGTAAAAGAGCCAGAGGTAAGACCAGACTGAAGCTGCCCGGGTCTTGGATTGTTCGCAGGATCCGGGCGAGGAGGGCGTTCAGGAGTTGGTGACTGGGGAGGAATGCGAGTTAATCCAATCCGTTCTTGTTGCCGAGGAGCCCATGGAGGCTCTGGGTACAAAGTCGAGGCCGGGGGAGGAGGAGGAGTAGATGGCTGCTTCGGGGACAAAGTCGGAGACGGAGTAGAAGGGGCGGATGAGCGCTCTGAGATGGGAGACAGATTTCGAGACGGAGGAAGCGGTGTTTGACGAGCAACATCGAGGCATGGGTAAGTAAACAGATTTCGAGGATTGTGAAGTGGAAGTGTCGGAGAAGGAGGCAGAGGAGGAGGTTGATGAGAACGAGTAGAAGAATCAGGGGCAACGCCTGAAGGCGGAGACTGACGCTGCTCGGGAGTTGGAATATCCGCGGGATCCGGGCGAGGAGGGCATTCGGGAGGTGGTCCAGGTTGAGGTCGGCGAGGCGGAAGAGGAGGGGGGTTCTCCTTCTTGCCAAAAAGGTTGCCAAAAAGGTATTCCATCCAAGTATCGGGGCTTTGACGTTGAGGATCCACGCGTGGTCCGTCTCTGGGCTCGCCGGTATTTGGGTCCCAATTGTTGTTCCGCTCGTTTCTCCCGTACTGAGCATTCATGTGCCAACAAAGAAGTGGAATTATGACGAAACCAGCTCCAGCGCAACTACAATAGAAAGCTGGCCATATATATCTTTCTAGGGCTGATGAGGGAGCCATGGCGATGCTGAGAGATGTATGTGTTATGAATGAGTGTATGATGGATGGATGTTGCTGCTCGGATGATGATGTCGAGTTGAGCGAGGTAGAAGTTTGACGTTGTTGACAAAGATAAAAAGCATGGGAAAGGGGTTGGTATCAAAGGAAGAGCCTGGCTGGACTTTCTACATGGGTTGCCATATGATGTTGGGTAGTCACGATGGGGGATAGTCGGTGTCATTAGCATACAGAGGCAACAACTGCCCATTCCTGCTTGCCAAGTCAGGTCACCAAAAACACACAAGGAAGTAGACACGGACTGCGTATAAGGAAAAGGTTCCTCTAATTCTTAGAGAGCAGACGCAGCTGCCATAACTTTTGTTTATCATGAATCTTCATATACATTAATAGCCCATCCCTTATCGGACAGTAGCACCCTTCAAGCTGGGAACAGTGCAGACACCACCAGACTCGGTGACCAGTCTGCCAACACCCTCCTTGCCAAGCTCCTTGACAATAGCGGCGTCAAAGGCGACCTCGAGGTTGTCGGTGGTGGTGAAGCCAGGCTGGAACATCTCCCAAATCTTCTTCTTGGGGTTCAGAACACCCTCAGGCTCGCCCTTCCAGCCCTCGAAGAAGACGCGCTCGCCAGCCTTGGCGTAAGCAGGGGGAGCAGCAAGCTCGACGGGGCCCTTGTGGTCATCGACCTCACCCTCCTTGAGCTTGGGAGAGGCGGCGAGAACCATGGCGCAGGACTTGATGCCGCGCATCTTGACGGGCTTGAGGTTGGCAACGACGATAACCTTGCGACCCTGCATCTCCTCGAGAGGAACGAGACCGTTCAGACCAGAGCAGACAGTACGGCAGACCTGACCCTCGTACTCGGAGGTGTCGTCGTTGGGCTTGTCGCCCATGGCGATGGTGGAAACGTAGAGGGAGTCGGCCTCGGGGTGCTTGATAGCCTTGAGAATGTGACCGACACGGAGGTCGATGAGAGCGGGAGACAGAGGGCCAGCGGGAGCAGGGGCCTTCTGGGGCTTGGGCTCCTTGGCCTTCTTCTCCTTCTTAGGCTTGCCCTCGCCGGCGCCGACAGCAGCCTTGACCTTGTCCTTGGCCTCGGTGACGGCCTCCTTGACCTTCTCGCCAGCGCTCTTGTCCTTGGGCTCCTTGGTGCGGTCGGGGAGAGCGGTCTCCTTTCCACCAGCAGCGGCAGCCGCAGCAGCCTTCTCCTTCTTGAGGCGCTCCTTCTCGGCCTTGGCGTCGACGGGGGGCTTCACGTAGAGAACCTCATCGAGGTTGACGGAGACCTTCTCCTCGGACTTGACATCGGCGGCGAAGGCGGGGTAGTTCTGGACGAAATCGAGGTGACGGACGATGTTGGGGTAGCCCTTCTCGCCGGTGCGCTGCTCGGGAGACCACTTGGCGACAAGAGGACGGACAGCGGAGTAGAGAGCAGTGTCGGCCTTGCTGGGCTTGGTACCGAGGAGGGTAGTGCGGGTGCTCAGGTGGGAGTTGACGGTGTCGAGGATCGGGGACGCATCGTCACCGGTGGCCTGCTGGAGGCGGGTGGCGGTGGTGAGCCACTGCTGGATCTCGGTCTCCTCGTTAGGAGTGAAGGAGGTGTTGGAAGCCATTCTTGCGAAGCGGAAGGGGTATGCGCTGCGAGTGATGGGTCGTAGTACGCGGAGGGAGTTCATGAGTCGAAGGGCGAGGAGGGGTACAGTCAGGAATCACAGAATTTTAGTGTGGTTTTGGCGGGGTAGCACGGACAGGCGCTGCGACTGCCCCTCCAAATTCATCTGACTTGCCTGATTGGTTAGGCAAGTCTGACTCACCTCGCTCTTCCTCGGTGAGCCTCGGTGTACGCTTCCCAGTGTCGTTTCTTTTTCGGCAGAAATTTCTCAATACCACCCTCCCCTGCTGATAGTCAAGTTCAGCTGGACAAGCACCATGGCGAAGGCGCTGAGCTTGCTTCTTTGTCGGTTGCCCATTGAGATGATGTATTGTTGATGGGAAGAGCTTCTGCTTTCAAGCTTGTCGTCTTGTCTCAATGCCCAGTAACAACATCTTGCAGAGGTCAATTGGCACCGGGATGCTTTGCATTTTGAATCGATGCAGTAAACAAGACCCCGATCTCTGTCCCGATCTTCCCGGACACCGATGGCCCGATGAATGACGATGGTGCCTGGACAAAGCGGCCGGGTTCTTAATTAGTTCAGTGACACGGAGTCACATGACTCCGCCTTTGTCTCGCGTCGGCGCGCGTCCTGAATTTTGCCCCCGGGATCGCGCCTTCCCATTGACAGGCCCTGGACCTTCCTGCCATTCATCTCTCCTTCTTGCCCCCCTTTCTTTCCATTTGACCTCTCAGAACTTGAGATCTCTCTCCAGGCTCTTATCCTTGCATTCAACCCTCATTTCCCTCAATTTTGGCTCAATCTATTCTCAATTGCCTCTTTCCTGAGCCAGATTCTGCTGCCGCTGCGGCGCACGAACCACCTCAATTTAGTGTCGCACCTGCAGCTTCGTCATCGATTTGATTGGCACCTCCTGGCTTTTCCCTCTTTCGTGAGCAGCAACCACCGTCAACTCAGCCAGCAGAGGCTTCTGCAATTCGCCAACAATGAGCTCTTCACCACCCTCAGACGTAGAGTCTGTCCTCTCAAAGACTTCCAGACCCTACACCAGCGCCACTTCCTCACCCCCGAGAGAGGGCTCCGTGGAAGCCATTGACAGCGATTTTCAACGCATGATCGATGAGGAAGAGAAAGTCAGAGCGACCAACGATGCCGCCGAGAAGAAACGCAAGGCCGCGCTTCTTGCCAAGCGCCGCAAGAAGAAGAAGGTCGAATTCACCAAGGAGGAGAGAGAAAAGAAGGCCAAAGAGTTGGATGACCTCCTCGCCAAGTCGGCGGCCTTCTCGGACATCTTGACAAAGAAGACCGAGGTTCTGGGACGAGTTGGCTCTAGCTTGGAGGGAGAGACTCTAGGAGCCCACGATTTGACCATGGCTGCGCAACCGAAGATCATGAAGGGAGGAACCATGAGAGATTACCAGCTCGAGGGGTTGACATGGATGTACGAGGTGTGCCTTCAAGGCATGTCCGGAATTTTGGCCGATGAGATGGGTCTTGGTAAATGACATACTCCAGCGTGCGCGAAGGTGGTCAGGCACTAATATTTTACAGGCAAGACTGTCCAGACCATCTCTCTGATCGCGAAGCTCCGTGAGGAAGACTACCTTGGCCCTCATCTCATTGTTGCCCCTCTGAGTACGCTTTCCAATTGGATGGATGAGTTTGAGAAATGGTGCCCTGAGATCCCGGTCGTTCTGTATCACGGCGACCCTAAGAATCGAGAACGTGTTATGAAGGACCAAATCGCCAAGCACTACGTTAAGAACCAGCCGACGAAGCGATTTCCTGTCGTCTGCACTTCCTACGAGATGGTACTGCGAGAAAAGGCTGCCCTCTCCAAGTTCAACTGGGCCTTCATCATCATTGTACGTCTTGGTGCTCACCAGGTCTGATAGGTCTGAGTTCCTAACTCTTGTCTAGGATGAAGGACATCGCATGAAAAACTTCGAGTCGAAGTTATTCCAGGAGCTCGAGAACTTTCGCTCGGCCACAAGATTGCTTATCACTGGCACGCCTTTGCAGAACAATCTCAAAGAGCTGTGGGCGCTGCTTCACTTCTTGCTCCCGGGCATCTTCAAGGAATGGGAGGTCTTTGAGAGTTGGTTTGACTTCGACGATCTACAGGACGAAGAAGGCACGGAAGAATTCATCGCGGACCGCAAAAACCAGGAGATCATCAAGAAGATCCACGTCATCCTGCAACCGCTTCTCCTTCGTCGAGTCAAGGCAGATGTTGCCGCTTACTTGCCCAAGAAGCGGGAGTACATCCTCTTTGCTCCCATGACAAAGGAGCAAACGGACATGTACAACGCGATCCAGGATAAGAAGGTCGACACCCGTACTTTCCTCGAGAACAAGGTCGTCGAGCGTCTCACCGCAGTGAACAAGTCTACACCGAGCTCCCGCGAAAGAAGCGTCCGTCCGGAAGTCAAGGCGGAGGAGGAAACGCCGGCGAAGAAGCTCGAGATCCCCATCCGCAACAGCCCTAGAAAGGTCAAGTCGGAAGCTGCTTCGGAACCCAAGAAGACGAACGCGTTTTCGGCGATGATGAACAGGGCTAGAAGCTCTTCGTCGAAGCCCAAGGATGTCGCCAAGGAGACGCCCACTAAGACCGCCTCTCGTTCAAGCTCGAAGCGCAAGAACCCACCCACTGCCGAGACTCCTGAACCAAAGAGCGCCAAGTCATCACGGCAATCGACCCCCTCAGTCACAAGTCGAGGCCGCGTCACCAGAGGTCGCCGCCGCTACGCCGAGACTGACGCCGACGATGAGGACAAGCTCTCCGATGACGAGTTCGAGGCTCGATTGGTCAAAGAGGCCGAGGAAGACGAGAAAGATGACGATGATGTTGTCTTGTCTGCGGAAGACCAGTACAAGAAGAGCATCACGGAGCACGCGAAAAAGGAGCTGGCGACCAAGAAGCTGGGCAACCCGATCATGCAGTTGCGCCTGGTTTGCAACAGCCCGCACAACTTCTTCGACCCCTGGAGCTACGAAGGCGCGCCTCCTGTCGACGAGAGTATCGTCACGGCCTCTGGAAAGATGTTACTCCTTGATAGGCTCCTCCCCACGCTGTTCGAAAAAGACCACAAGGTCTTAATCTTCTCCCAGTTCAAGACGCAGCTGGACATTCTCCAAGACTACTGCGAGTTGCGCAAGTGGAACGTCTGCCGCCTTGATGGTTCAGTCAGCCAGGAAAGTCGTCGCGACCAGATCAAGGAATTCAACGAGAACCCCGAGTTCAGAATCTTCCTGCTTTCGACCCGCGCAGGTGGTCAGGGCATCAACCTCGCCAGCGCCGACACTGTCATCCTCTTCGACTCCGATTGGAACCCCCAGCAGGATCTTCAAGCCCAAGACCGGTGTCATCGCATTGGCCAGACTCGCCCTGTTATTGTCTACCGCCTTGCTACCAAGGGAACCGTGGAGGAGGAGCTACTGTTGAGCGCGGACGCCAAGCGCCGCCTGGAAAAGCTTGTCATTAAGAAAGGAAACTTCAAGTCGATGGGCCAGAAGATGGACCTGAAGGAAGACCTTGACGAGAAGACTCTCAAGACGTTGTTGCTGAAGGATGGCCAAGTCTTTAAGTACTCGGGCTCTCACGAGATTCTGAGCGACAAAGATCTTGATGTTCTTTGCGATAGGTAAGATAATCCCGGTTTTTGGCAACAAAGATCATGCTAATATCTGGACAGGAGCGACACAGCATACGATAGGGCCGCCGAGGGCTCCGGTAATGCTGATGGGTACAAGGTCATCGAGACTGGCACCGACGGCATCACAATTGCTGGCCAGGCCAGTGCATGATTTAATTAAAGAGAGAACATAATGCTCGACCGATTTACGGCAACTCGTCTCCCTCGGGTTTACGACATTGTTTTACTATGGACTTGGAGTACGGCCAAGAATTTCGAACGGATGTCTCTAGACATAAAGAGTGTGTGGATAGCGAGACTTGATATTTGCTTAGACGTGCCCGAGCGTGGCATTGGCTGGTTTGAAAGATGGATGGCCACAAGGATTGGATTGTGTGCCTAGGCATGGCATGCTTGCCTCGAGGAGCGCCTACTACTCTTGTATTTTCCCCAATAGGGACTGGAGTTGTATACCCAGAGATAATAACAAGACTTGCTTGATCTACTTACTTGCTACATCACGTTACAATCTGACATCAGATGCGTCGCGAAAGGTTTACGGGCTAATCTTAGTAGTTTATCCGGGCGGGCGAGGGACGAAGACGACAGAGACGATGATAACGGGCCCGGAGTGCAAAGCTCTGCATCAACCTCATCGAGGTTGAATAGAAGAATACTCACAATCGAATGACACTTCATTCGATCCAGCTGACGGTCTGCCACCTCTTTGCTCCCCCGCAGAACCCCTTTTCAACCACCATTCGCTCCAACCAATACCCAACCGCAAAGATCTGGTCCCCGATGTCCATGAGAAGACTTGAAAGCACCCGCGCCACGGCCCGCTGCAAATACGCCCGGTAAGTTTCGACGAAGATCGCGTAAAGGATGACGCAGTACCCGGCCATGGCCAACCACACCGCAAACACCAGATACTTACTCTCTGACCGTAGGACCTTGCGGTCGATCCCGTCGCAAATCGTTCTCGGCGCCGCGAGCAGAAACTCCCTCAAGCGCCTCAACGACCCCTGTATCAGCGCAGCCGGGCCTTCCTGCAAGATGTCAGCAGCCCACCACACGCCCTCCGAGACCTTCCCAACAACCCAGACAAGCAACCCAAACACCCCGGGCAGAATCAGCTTCAGACTCAAACTGAGAAGCAGAGGGACATGCCACACACCGATCCAGAAGCCATAAAGGTGTGCGAGCTCGTCGAGCTGCCGGTCGTGCGGGTTCAGCCACCAGCACACGTAGATGGGGCCGCAGAGGTTGGGTAGCAGGAAGAACCCGCCGAGGTAGGCGTCGAGGAGGAGGCGGTTGATGCGGCCGATACGCTCGCAGCTCTCGTGCTCTCGGAGCCTGCAGAGGTGCGCGCGCAGGCCGGTGGCGCGGATGAGGATGTAGGCGTTGAGCCAGAGGGTGATGTAGATGGAGGCGGTGGAGATGAGGTGGTAGGCTGCAGAGAGGTCGGAGCGGTAGAACCAGCGCTTGAGGGGGCGGGAGGGGAGGTAGGTTAGGTAGGTTAGCGCGCGTATTCCATAGTGGAGGTGGGTGAGCATGGTGACTTTGGATTGACTGGAGAGTTTGGGAAGAGTTGTTGGTTTGGCTTGTTAGATCTTGGTACAGCCAATCGTGACGTGGCTGGGATAGGGATGCATGGTTTCCTGAGAAGAGCCAAAATGGGGCATGTTCTCTTAAGGTAAGCCCCCACAAAGAAGGCCATACCAGCTTGTGTAGATGTCTGTGCAAATGGTTGTTCTCTGTATGATCAAGACAAAGCAAGAGGAATGGTGGGTCAGGACACCATCGGTGTTTCTTTTGTTATTGACAACCCCTTGTTCGCAGAATTCTAATTAGGTTGTAGACAAATCTGAAAAATACTGCTTGGGGAATGAGGAGCATAGTCCTCTTGCATGGATGCTACTGGCCATTGAATGGGCAGCTGCTTGGTATGAGCAGACGAGACGGTCCCTCGGAGTCCTTACGGGCAATGCGGGAGATGCGGCCGCAGCGGCCGCAAAGTCCGAGCCCCGGATTTAAACCCGCCACCAGATGCAGCCTACCAGCCAACGTCCTGTCCGACTTGTAAACAACCTTCAAAGGCACGATTTTCCAATGAGAACTTGAAATTTGCGTCAACCCTAGCTAGGGCGTCGCTTGAGACTCAACTTGAGAGGTATTATTCTGGCTGCAGAGGCGAGAGCCCATGCAAGACACTGGGTTCCGTAACATTGCCAGACTTTAGACATGGAGATCCAGAATCGTGCATGACATCCCGTCGGAAGCGATGGTCTCCAGTGGAGCTTTCGTGAACTCAATTTACCAAGACTGTGTCGAAACCAATTCCGAATAGTGTACATATTCCTCGCCGTGCCCGATGAAATGCTGAAGAGCGTCTTTCTAATGCAGTTCACCTACAAACCACTCTTAACAGGCCTCAAGCTTTTCTATATATCAGACCTACCTGAGTAATCATTCCGTACTCCGTACACTCACAGCAATGGCTCCTCCCGCAAGTTTGCCAACCCGCCAGCTTGGCCAGAACGGGCCCGAGATCACCGCTCTTGGGCTTGGTCTCATGGGCTTGAGCGTGGCCTATGGCACCCCTGGGTTAGTTCTACACCTATCGTGATATGCTATTTGACGGCTGACCAGAAGAACAAGTTCTGATGACGAGCGTCTGAGCTTTCTCGACCGCGCATGGGAGATTGGCGCCACGAACTGGGATACCTCCGACTTATATGGCGACAACGAGGTGTTGGTCGGCAAGTGGTTCAAGCTGCACCCAGATCGCCGCGCCGACATTTTCCTCGCCTCCAAGTTCGGCCTACGCGTCACGGTCCAGTCAGATGGCACGTATAACATCCGTCCCGATAGCTCGCCCGAGTACTGCCGCGAGGCTTGCGAGAAGAGTCTGGAGAAGTTGGGCGTGGACATTGACCTGTACTACGTCCACCGTGTGGATGAAGTCACTCCAATTGAGAAAACTATCGAGGAGATGGTCAAGTTGAAGAAGTGAGACTCACGCACCTGGACTTTGGTGGATGTTATAATACTGACGACTGGTTCAAGCGAGGGCAAGATCAAGTACTTTGGGATTTCGGAGTGCTCTTCCGCAACACTCCGCCGGGCGCACGCGATCCACCCAATTTCAGCGGTGCAGGTTGAGTATAACCCATGGTCTCTCGAAATCGAAGGTGCCGCCGGAACCCATCTACTGAAGACGTGCCGCGAGCTCGGAGTTACGGTCTTCTGCTACTCACCGCTGGGCCGGGGCATGATGGCGGGCAGGTACAAATCTGCGGATGACTTCGAGGAGTCAGACTTCCGGCGCCAAATCCCGCGATTCCAAGGCGAGAACTTCCGGAAGAACATCGAGCTTGTGGAGAAGTTTGCGGACATTGCGCAGAAGAGACACGGGTGTAGTGCCGGACAGCTCACGCTTGCGTGGCTGCTTGCGCAGGGGGATGATGTGATCCCGCTCCCGGGCACCAAGAAGATTCCATACCTCGAAGAAAACTTTGGCGCTTTGAAGGTTCAGCTGAGCGCCGACGAAGAGAAAGAAATTCGGGGGCTTGTTGACGAGGCGGATGTTCATGGTGATCGGAGTGCTATGTTCGGCGCATACGTTACTTCAGCGCCGCTGTAAATTTGAATTCGGACTGAGAACTGTTCCAGCACACTTTGTTTGTTTATGATTGGTTTCAGCTTCTTTGTCATAGTCATTCTTTTCGAATCCAGCAATACGAATCTTGGTCTTTGATACAGGTGTTGTCGTTATTCTCAATCTCCCTTTCCAGTGAGATGCTCGGGATGGGTCCCCGGCCCCAGTTCCGAGGCCCGAAATCTGGGGTACGTATGGAAATAGGCAACGAACGGGCACCCTGAATATGTACCGACTCCCCCGCGTCCAATGCAGAGATACTTCGCCTCGGGGAATGCGTCCGATGACCGGACTGGATTCGGAGATCGGAGTGGGTCTCCGCTGATAGCGCTGCCGGGTGAACCCCGCAATTCGGGAGTTGGCCGCATTCTTATCATCGCCAACGTTTACCCGATCTTGATAAGAGAGTGAGTAGTCTTGCCGGTTGATAAAGGAACTCATTCAACCTTTGTCGGGTCAACTTTCAGTTTACGAAGTTTCGTAATTTGTGCAGGCTTGAGCCATTCAAATTCGTGCTCGCCGTTAGTTAACTCGACTAGAGATCCTTTACCCCAAATCAATCCTCCCATTACCAAATTTGACCCTTCTTCATCATGACCGCAGTCTACAGGACGGGCGAGGACCATCGTCTCGCGTGTCGTTCGGGTGTCTTCGAGACCACCACGGCCGGCCAGGCCCCGACCCACTTGCAAGCAAACCTCATTGTCTTGCCCAAGCGCTATGCCGACGACTTCCGACTCCTCTGCCACCGAAACCCCGTCCCCTGCCCGCTGCTCGCCGAGTCAGAAAGCCCAGGTGACTTTAGCAAGCTCAAGTCATATGTCCAAAGCATGGATGGAAGGAGTCTTCTCCCAGTAGCCAAGAACGTTGATCTGCGTCATGACGCACCCCGATACCGAGTCTACGAAAACAGCAAACACGTCTCCATCAACGGCGCTCTTGAACCTGTCAATGTAGCTGATCAATGGACTGATGGTGATCATGTCGGCTTCCTGATCGGATGTTCGTTCAGCTTCGAGAGGGCCCTTCACGAGGCGGGTCTTACGCCTCAACACATGACGCACAACCGCAATGTGCCTATGTACCGCACCAACATCCCACTTTGCGCAGCGGGTGTCTTCACAGGGGCGACGTATGTCGTGTCTATGAGGCCATACAAGGTCTCGGATATCGAGAAGGTTCGAGATATCACAAGGCCGTTTGTGGCGACACATGGCGAGCCAGTCGCCTGGGGCTGGGACGGAGCTGCAAGGATTGGGGTCACAGACGTCACAAAGCCACAGTGGGGAGATCCTGCCGTCAAGGATGATGGAAAGACGCTATTTGGGCATGATGATGAGGAGTATGTTCCGGTGTTCTGGGGATGTGGAGTTACGCCTCAGGAAGCTGTCATGAAGGCGAACTTGAACGGCACAGTCATGGGGCACGCTCCGGGGCACATGATCTGTTTGGATATTCGGGAGGAAGAAATCTTCCCTGTTTAATTTGTTTCAATCACAGATTTTCTATAGTCTTGCAATACAGGCGGATAGTTATTAATATTATGTCTAAAGTTTTAATTGTTCCTCAATCAAAATTCACCATTAAGGTAGTGCGACTATTCCTATCCATGTCTGTATCTCTATTGAGTGGGTAGACTCTGCCTATTGCTGTCGGATGATCATCCTTATTCCTTTCATATCAATTGTTAACGATCAACTACTTATGTGTCACTCCTCCGGGTTGTTCTCGGGGGCTTGCGAGGGCTCTTTCTCCGGCTTCTGGCCATAGACAGAGTAACTGGCATGGTCAGTACTCATATTGCGGCATCTTGAAATCCGATACAAGAGTACACTTACACGTCGTAATAGGCGTGGATGTCCACCCTCTTAAGTTCATTTCGAACCTCGGCACAGAAGACTGTCGTCTCCGGGACACTCCAATCAAGCATACGGGTGAATAGAGCCATGGTGATGGCTTCAATCCCTTGCAACGCCGACTCCTTATCCCATTCGCCCAACTCTTTGTACTTCGGGTCCTTTGGCCAGGGCGTATAAGGCCACTTCTCCTTCTTCACGACGACATCGACAAATCCAGCGTCCTCGAGCATCTTCTTGAAGTCTCTAGCCACGGTGATTGGTCGGCCCATCAGATCAGTTCCTTCAATCAGCAGTTTCGTCCACTTGAGGGCCTTGCATTCGTCCGTCATAGTTCCGTCGTCGCACTTCAATGGAAAGTCGTTGTCGTGTATCTCGAGGTAACCGCCGGGTTCGAGATTGCTATGAAGTCGGTGTCAGATCGGTCGATCGGAATTCAACATTTGCTTACGCATAGGCCTTCGCAATCATGTCTGGCCAGCTTTTGAAACTGGCGATCATGGCTCTGATGAAGATGAAGTCAAATGGCGCCGTCCAAGTCCATTCTTTCTCAACGTCGTCGACCTCGAAACTATAGTTGGGCGGCACGCTAGAAAGGAAGCATTCTTAGTAAATTAATATGATAGGGCTCGAATAAACATACTAGCCAGGTTGAATTGGACTGAGATCAACACCGATGACCTAAGGGCAAGTCATTGCTTGGACTTGTTTGAGATATTCCGTCATAAAAGAACCTACCGATGCTTCTGGATGGTCGTCCGCTGTCAAATGTCAACTCTGTCATGTTGCCACTTAATGGACTGAGAACAGCTTACCAAAGTCAAGGGTCCAGATTCCCGTTCCAGTGCCAACATCCAAGACCCTTTCTGCGCCGTCTTTCTTGGGACAGTTGCATAGCTCGCCGTCCCAAGTCAAGGTCCAAAGATGGTGTGTAATGTCTTCAGGTTAGTTGTCCCGCGTCAGCGATGAACGCATGTGTGCCAAGTCTTGGTTACTCAAGCGGTCTTGCTCTCGCTTCACGGGCATCTGTTAGATTATTCAATCGATGTCATATGCGATATTAATGCTGACCCCATCATTTGGAAGAACATATTCTGGCGTATGTGGTCAGTTGAGCCACCTGTCATGAGACGTAGAAACTTACTGCCGTCACTAAGCCGGTGATACGTGCGGCCATTCTCCCTTCGGTAGTCTAAGATGCTTGATCGTAGAGACGCCAATGAGTCCTGCGTCGACTATGGTTGGTTAGAAGAGACAGAATGACCGAATTGATCATCACACAACCTACCGCATCGCCGATTGAGGACGCATCGTCATCGGCACGGGTGTCCTACGGGGTGTCAAATCTGGCGTGCCGTAAAGTAGCAGTTGAATGGGTACAAACCTCAGCTTGAGGGTTGTCAGCGGTGGGCTCAATCATCTTGCGTCCCTTTCCTCGACTTTAACGCCGTTCTTTCGTCCAGAAAACTTCAACAGATGGGAGAAGTGAGGGGGAAGTTGGCTCACCCCACCTGTTTTGATCGTTTGTGGTTGTTAGTCCAATGCATGCGGGTTTGCGACATCTTGATTGGACTACGCCGTTCTACATGAAGCCATCCTTGCATGTGGAAGCTTGGCTCTGGCCTCCGGATAGTGATGAACCACAAGTCATCAGACGGTCCGTTGGTCATTGCTTACAAGTATGCGGCGCCAAGACATGTCGATGGTCGCCCAAAGGGATTCCATGGAGATGAACATGGAGGCCTCGGTTCTCAAAAGCAATCGACCTGCTACATTTTCTTAGAATTTGAGCTGACATCCACTACCTACGTTGGAATTTGTTCCTCTCTGCCGCGTCTGTCATCTCCCAATATTCCGCCTTAAGTTATCGTTGTCATTTAGTCCTGGTCTGTCTGTCCTGCTTGCGATAGAACATGAACTATGCTATCCAGGTGGTACCTCTGGCTAACCAGGCGGGTAGTATATGTATAACGATAGGCATGATGGACGATAACGACGACAACGATAAGAACAATAATAAGGACGAGACTGTGAGCGAGGTTCCCTGACAAATATAACTCCATTCTCATCGCTTAAGAATCCAACCGCGCTCTGTCAGCCCAAGGCGCCAACCTGCTCCAGACTTGTTTTGTATCATGCTTTCCATCTCCTTCTGCTGAATGCTTCTAGTGCCTTCTTGCTCTAGAGCGTGCTTATCCTGTGAGTTTATTGCAAAGAAGGATGGCAGAATCGAGCTCTTCGCCACCCCGAGCCCGGCCTGCCTGGTTTGGATGATGGCCACACCCACCAGCAAGATTGAAAGCAGGACTTGAGCCGATATAAACGCCAGCCAGCCCCATCTCACAAAGACGTACGTCTCTGTCACGTATGCTTCGCCGGTGACATTCGTTGAAGGGTCGAAAAAGCTAGGGAACAGGAAACAAATTAGTTGCTTTGATCTGGGATGGAGAATAACAGCGCAAAACGACTTACGTTGCGGTCACGCCTCTAGCCACGTTGTTAGTAATGTTTCGGATTGCGTCCCCAAGTAAACCTTCGCCCAACGCTGCGTCTTCGTTACGGACGAGGTTGAGAACGTTAAAGTATCTAGTCGATGCGAGACCACGAATATGTCCATATTCTCTTTCCCAGGTCTCATAATATGTGTTGTTGAACGCGGCTGTTAAGCTTACATTCAGGACGAGCGTCATTACTGGAGTTAACGGGAAAAATGTGCCGGGCTCTTCAGGTATTTTAAGTGCATCGAATTTGATGCGCGTCCCGTTCATATACTCATAGAAGTCATCTTTTCGATCGGCTGAGGTTGAAACGATAGGTCGAGACGCGATATTGTTCTCAATAGAGACCTTGAAGCGCTGTACGCAGTAATAGAATAAAATCTCCATAGCGCCAATTTTGTTGGCTGTCTGATTCCCGAGAAAATAGGTGAGATTACTCTTGTTCACCAAGTAGACACTTCGATTGCGCGGCTTGTCAAAGGGCATCTGGGTGATCTTCAGGTGCGCTTGAGTTAGGTTTGCGAGCGGGCCCTGACCAGAAGCCCTCCCCTCCTTATAGGTAACATTGAATGAGTCGGTAATGTTAGCCGTCTTGACACAAAGTCCAAGTGAACTGAAGTCATTCCACCTACACTCGGTTGTAGGACATCGTGGCTGCTCGAACGGGAATTCCTGGTCGTAACTATGGTGAAGCCCAGAGTAGACACCGTTATCAAACAAAGGGTTCATGTGAAGCCCTGATTTGGAGTCAGCAGACCTCGATCCGAGATGGAATTTGATGCCTTACACATATCGCCTGCGTGTGGGGTGCGATCCGGGACTTTGACTGCTCGTGATAGCGCAGGTTTTGCCGACAACAGAGTCAAACGTGTTGGGTATGTCACTGTAGACTGGGTCAAGGTTGATGTAAGTACAGATGTGACGAGAAGGACCATCGAGATGATTCCAGGTGACCTGGAAGCCAGATCAATTAGTAAAAAGAACTGCCGATAGGTTCACAATCACATACCACCCTTTCGTTGTCTTTACAAGCTGGATTGCCCCCCATGCCCCCCGACTAGCCTTGTCAGTTCCTGCCACCAAGCAAGAAGTGTTATACCCCATGATTTCGGCTCATCATGTATTCTCTCAGATATCTTATCATCATTTCCATCGGTCGTTTCCTGCTTTGAACGACCATTTGTCGTGGCTTTTGGTGTCTCTGTTAGTTGGTTAGAAAGGCCCGATGTTGCGCTGATGCTCTCGGTGGCCGATGACGGCGTCATTATAGGAGGAGTTGGGCTGGGCTTTGCGACAACTCTGTCTTGTTCCAGCGAGTCTCTGTTATCGAGCAGAAATCTCAGATCATCTGCCGAAAGCGCTAGGGATGGGTCATGAGTAGAAGTGTTTTGCTGATGCCGAGTTAGAGATTGAGATTCTGGTGGATAGTTGTCGGTGTTTGATCCACTGTGGCGTGTCTCAGCACCATGAGGAAGTGGCTTCCTTCTGACGCCCGGTGCCGATAGCTTCTGGGCTTCATTCATTATGAACGAAAGCAATGTGTGAAGAAAGTTGTATTCCTTTTGTCGGTGTTCAGAGAATCTCAGGACCGAAGGTTTGAGTGGATAACAAGGCTTCCAAAAACTTGCCAGGAATCGCAGGGGAACGAGAGGTTATCAATCGGTTGCAAGGCGGACTACATTGCATCTTAGGCCTGCCGCCAGGTTGAGTGTAAAGAAGAGGAATGGCCGTAGTTACGACATATTCAAGGCAACTAAAACACCGTCCATTCAATGGAATGACCATGCTGTCGAAAGGTCTGAGAAAGAAGCGGACAGACTGCAAATCTACCCAAGCCTTTTTGTGGCGAGCTGAGTCTAATCGCCCTCAATAACCTGCTCGGACCAATTGCAGGCCCTTGCAAGAAACCATGGTGCCGAATGTGGCAGTAAGATGTACAAGTATCTGAGATATGTGGCTGGCATGTCTCATCCACAACAGAAGCAGCAGCCTGCAGGTATCGCTGTTAGGCTGACATGCCTCCCTCGTAGCTAGCAGCAGCAAATTATGCCTCTTCCGGTTTGAGGAAAACCTTCTGTAATTTTTGGGCAGATATCATACAACGTTCCTCTCTCGCGAAACAGCTACCTACGGAGCCATAAGTTGAAGCTGGCCACTTTATTCATCAGTGACCCGTTACGCCTCTCTCGCTCCTTATCGTCTTCCTCCTCATTGTCCCCCCGCCCCCCGTCGTCCCTGTGTTCCTCTCCTATAGTACCGCTACTCATTCTCTTTTGTGCTCTTCGATATGACAGACGCGAGTGTCTTTCAAGTAACTCTCAATATTGTCCTCGTTCGAGCCCTGATCTGGCGTCTTGACTTGGTACCGTTGAATCCTTAGCTTAGGCATGGGTCCTTTTCTGAGGGCGAAGAGAACATGCATTGTCTACCCTTTGATGATGGACGAATCTTTGCCTTGTTAATAATCATGCCACCGTCCCCTTTTTTTGGTTCTTGCCCTGTCTCTCCTCTACCACACTTGAATTCGGCGGTTGGTGCCGAAAGCATCCGACTCGCAAACACGGGCGCCAGACATGCCTTTGAAGTAGGCTCAAGCGATGCGCAATCTCTGAACGGGTGTTTATAATCAACTTCCCCCTCGCCAGTGACATTATCCTGGACGGAAGCAATTCTAAAATCAGAAACTTTTGTATTTGCAGTGGCTCGTGGAAACATCAGCACTCCATCTCTAAGAGTGTATCTATGATGAGAAACCAGAAAGCGCGGCCGGAAGCCATCGAATGAGGTAACATGACGCCTCCTCATATCCCGTCCTCCGAAAATGCCATTAAATCCCCTTATCCCAATCCGTGCGTTCCCAAGTCTTCAAGCTTGAACCATTGCCCTGACTTCCAAATGCATCCCAAATCCAGAGCCAATCATCCAAGCCAAATGTGTGCGGTGAAGAAGTTTCAAAATGCGAGAAACGTAAAGAAATAAGAAGTCGCGAAATCAGCGATGCTCGTGAAATGATGAGGTGCAATACGATCATGTGTTGTAGAAATTATGTCGTGTTGTGTCGAAAATCGAAGAAACGGAATGCTGAAAATGTTATGCAAGTCGTGTCGCCAGGTATTGCCAGCGAAAGAGGGTTTGTTGTTCGAAAGAGTTGTTCGGAGAGTTTCCCTCCTCTTCTTAAGCTTCCCGATGATTTGCCAAGAGCCGTCTCTGGCATCGGCCCTTGAAGCCTACTCCTCGGCATCTTCGTACTCGAGCTCGTCATCAGGGACAACAAAGCCAGGGAGACCCGGTTCCTCGTCTAACCGAGCGACCGCCGCAGTTGCACTGTGAGGCTCATTGTCATCCTCGTCATCTTCTTCTTCATCTGAGTAGTCCGCAACAACACGGATCATCTTGCCGGTATCGTCTCTGACGACCTTGCCCAAGAGAGACGCAATGTCTTCGACAGAAAGTTTAGGTGCTCTGGGTCCGCCGTCCTGCAAGGCTGCATCGATGGCCAGAATTTTGTCAACCTGCATACCGAGCATGCGCTGCTCTATGTCCGTGTTGACAATAAATCGCAGAAAGTGAGTCTCCTTGGTCTGGCCCATGCGGAAGACACGAGCAAAAGCTTGCTGCTCGACAGCGTGATTCCACCAGAGCTCCATGAGCACAACTCGGTTGCCCCGGGTCAGGTTCAGGGCCGTACCTCCGGCACGCAGCGACGCGATAAGAACCTTAACGGTTGTGCCCTTTTCAAACTCCTCGACAGCCTTCTTGCGCTGTTCAGTTGTCATGGAGCCACTCAGATAGGCGAAATCAATTGCTTCGGCTTCGAGCATGCGGGCAACGACCTTCATGCATACATTGAATTGACTGAAAACTAAATAGGACAGTTTGTTAGAAACCATTCGCAGAAACTTGGATCAGGAACTCACTGATGATTTTCTCATCCGGTGCTTCAAGCTGCCACCTCAGGATGGTTTCCTTTAGTGCTACTGTCTTTGCACTTGGGGTGACCGGTGTGTCGTATTTTCTGTCGCTGATCTGCAGAAATCGCAGTGGCTTCTTGCCTTCCTTGTCATCCTCGTAAGGCTGGAACCCTCCGTAGTCGAACCCCTTCATATACTCCTTCTCTTTGCGGCCCTTTCGTTTGCCTGGAGAATGGGCTTCGACATCTGAATCGCCATCGGAGTCTTCTCCTTCATATCCCTGAAGTCTTACCGGCTCACCGAATATCTTGCGGCATTTGGGGTACAAGCAGTTTCTTCCCTGAACTGAGGTTTAGCTCTGATCCTTGAGCTTGGGTGTGGCAGATTTACCTTCTTTGCGAAATGTTTCACCAGACACCTGGAGCAGAAAATGTGTTCGCACTTTCCATGTTAGAGAGAGTCCAAGCACATAGAGGAGATTTTTCAACGTACCTTTCCTTTTCCCTGTACTGCATTGACTGGCATTCTGTTGCAAACGATGCATTTGGCAATCTCAAGAGCCTCCAGCCTGGCCAAGTAGTCCAGCTGTCTGTCCATGTCGAAGTACGAACCAAAGTCACTCAATCCAAAAGGCTTGAGATACTGTTCGTCTTTCTCGGAGCTTTTTTGGTCGTTCTCATGCTGACCAGCTCGGAACCCGGGAAGGTATTCCACAGGAACCATGCCATCGCAGTCCTCCAACACATCGTCCACGCTGTCAACATCGTCGCGGTCATCCTCAATAATGACGGCCCCTGCTTCCGAATCTGGAGTCTCGTAACGCTGGTTCCGTCTCTCGTCTGAGGCGGCGTCTCTCATGCTTTGATGTAGAACGTCCTTGAGCCTACTCTCAGTAGTGCCTTCTGCTCTTCTGCGCTCTGCCTCTGCAATAACCGCTAGCATGCGATCACCCGACATCTCATGTCGTTTCTCCCAAGTGCCGATCTGTTCATAGATCGTCTGCTGACCTTTCAACTGTGCAAGACGCTTCTTGGTGATTTCCAAATCCTTGAGTGTGAAGTACTCGCCCATCACTCCTTCAAGAAGAAAGGGATGCGTAGAAGCTTGTCGAAGGCGAAGAAGCATGACCAAGTAGCACAAAATCTGTCGTTCGGCAATGCCAGCTGCCAAATCCTGATTGACTTGGCGTCTGAAGCATCTTTCCATCATTCTGCGAAGAATTAGAATGAGAACAGAGTCCCAGAATCTTTCGAAAAACTAACCGGAATACCACTGTCTCTTCTTTCGAGAGCTTCAGGTACTGATGTGTCGGGTGGGTGGGTTTGAGATTGAGTATTCGATGGCCGAGGAATTCGTCTGAGTGAGTTCTATTTGAAAGTCAACATTACTCCGCATCTGTTGATTCATGAATCGAAAACTAACCTCCTGTACATCAGATCGTAGGCAAGTTGATTTTGCCTCTGTTCAGCGTCGTCCTGCGAGTGCGTCAGATTTCTGTGCGTACGAACACGTGGTTGCAAGCCATACCGCTTGGACGAATTCTCGCACATAATCACCGATGTCTCCGACATTGAACTTGAGAAACTTCAAGGGCGAGAAAAGCTCTGCGAAAAGTCAGAATAATGCATCGACTGAGACAATGATACGGCTTACCTTGAGAATCGTTGACCAGTGGGGTTCCCGACACTGCCCACCGGTATTTGGCCTTGAGCTCGCAGCAGGAGAACGAAGCTGTTGCAAGTAAGTCAGCCAGGCCTTGTAAATCGCGAGGACTCTTGAAACTAACAGTGCATCTTGAAGTTTTTGATCATGTGAGCTTCATCGAGGACAACCCTCAACCACTCGATCTGGAATAGATCCCCCGTCTCCGCTTCCAGCCATTCATTGTACTTCTCGGGGTCTTTGATCTGTTCAAGCATCTGCTGTCGCACTTTGGTAGATGGTATGCCGTCCCTGACCTGATTGTAACTTGCAAGCCTGTGTCATTGTGTTAACTTCTGCTAGACATTCGTTTGCATAAATTACTTACACGATGTTGAAAGACGCCAGTAGGTCGAGGTCCATGTTATTGCCGACTCTGTAATGCACGATGTTTGCGGAAAACTTCTTGTCCTCGCAATGCTTCTTGTTTTCCGACTTCCACTGCTCTATCATCTGCCCGGATTGACAAACGATCAGAGTGGCACCCTTCCCCGCTTCTTTGATATGATCGGGCGCTTGATTGCCGACAATGCATGAAAGGGTTTCGATTGTTTTCCCCATACCCATAGCATCTGCCAAAATGCCTCCCCGAGGAAGGTCCCGAGTCTGCTTCAACTCTCGTCCAAGCATCCAAGCACCAACGACGATCTGGTGATTTGGCAGCAGGCTTTGCATGCCCCGAATCTTCCATTTACTGTCTCTCGGGAGGCAGCCACTCTCACCCCATACTTGGGTTGCTCTTCTCAGCTCTCTCATTTGATCTCGCAGAAGGTCTGTGTCGGTGCCCTCAGGGGCGGCTTCTGCCATCTGTCTCAGTTGATCGTTCTTGCGAGTCGCTTGAATGACTGGCTCTTCTGGCAGTTCACCTTGCTCTGCTCGTTCTTGAATGGCATCTGTGAGTCCTCGCATGCTCTGAAGGCGTTGTGCTCCCTGTTCAAGCTGTCGTTTCTGTCTTGCCGAAAGTTTCTGACGCTTGGATGACTGAGAGGTCTTTCCTGTTGATCCTCTCTTTGAACTGCGCTCCTGTCGTTTCTTCTCTGATTCTTCTTCCTTCTCTTGCTCGCGGGCGAAGTACTCAGCTGCATTCTTCGCAGGCGCCCTGCGTTTCTTGTTCTCGCCGGGGGTGTCTGTGCTGATTGATGCATTTGAATCTTCTGCTTGAAGCTGCTCGGTGATCTGCGCCAACTCGGCGATGTCTTCCTTACTCAACGTGCTAGACACAAGCTTAGCAGCCAGCTCAGCTCTGCGTTTGCCGAGGGCTTCGTTCTCGCTTTTGACCTTCGTCGATTGTGTGTCGCCTTCAGGAGAAGATTCCATCCCTGAAGGCTGGGCGTGGCGAAGGCTAAAGGATTCATCCATAGGCTCCTCCTTGACATACGTAAGATCAAAAGACCCCTCCATGGGCTCCTGCTTGACATCCGTAAGGTCGACTGTCCATGGGTCGCGTGGCTTGGACCATTCCTTTCGGGCCTTTTCGGATGCATCCTGGACGTCGATGATCATGAGGTCGTCATCGGATTCGGGCTCTTCCCTGACTTGGGGCTCATTCTGAGGGGGTGTTAGAACGTCGCTCTCTTCACCGTTGACTGGGACGAAGAGCTCGCTTGGCTCGTCATGCTGTTCCTGCAAAAGGTGTGTATGGCGGTCGTCTGAAGCGGTACTCGGGGTCTGGCTTTCCTCGAAAGTCTCGCGGATTGTTTGGTCAATGATGTCCTCATGTTGAGTGTTTCCATACGTCGCTTCCTAGAGCGCCTGAAAAGCCTGCGTCTCGTTGTAATTGCCCTCTTCATCGAACATGAAGGAGAATTGCCTTTTCTTCAGGTCGTCGGCGTTCTGCGGCTCCTCATCTCTAGGAGGAGTTGCCATGATGAGTGGTGGGTATGAGTTGTAGAAAGGTTTGTGACTCGTTTTTGACGGAGAGGTAAGGTCGTGAGAGAGTAGGATTGCAACCTTGAGAGTCAAAAAGCTCTTCAGGCAACGAGCATCGCCCAAATTTGGTCAGGTGAAGGCTTGTGGAAACTGCCGTGATGATTGAATGGTGAGATTGAAATGGTTGAGGAAGGTGAGTCGAGAAGGAAATTGATGTCGAATGCCTTCACACGTAGAAAGGAAGCCACGTGAAGGTTGGGTTGCAGCGATGGGAGGGAAGAGTCGGAAGGGGAAGTTGCGATTGAGACCGGGAGAAACGACACCAAAGACGGAGGAAACAGAGGTCGGAGAGAAGCCGAACATCGAGCCTTCCGTATGGAATTCAGATTCAGTGATGATTCGAGAAAGTCATAAGAGGTGTTGCTCGGATAAGAAGGGTATGTGTGAGTGAAAGATGTCTGAGTGGTGAAAGGTAGGAGGGAAGGTGGGAGGATTGTGAAAGGTTGGGTGGTTGAAAGGTTTGTGAGAGGTTGAGCTTGCCAACGGAGACTGGGGCCGGTTTAAATAAGTCTTGGGACTTCTCAGGGTGGAGAGAGGCTCTATCAAGAAGGAAGGATCAATATTGAAGACGGAAACTACGTCGAGTGTGGAAGGAAGTATGGGAAGCTACACTGAAAGAAAGAAAGTCGTGGAAGGAAGCCATGAGAATATGGACATGGAATAAGAAGGCGCAAAGGTCCAAAGAGGAAGGCAGTAAAGCCTCCACACATAGGACATAATATGGGAAAGCGCGGCAGGAACACTTTAAAAGGAAGGCAGAAGAGGATATCAAAATAATCGCTAGTCTATTGCTCTAAACCAAAATCATCTACAACTTCATTCCCTCAAGAAGCGCAGGAAAGCCCTCGCAATAGCAACACCGTCGTGCTCGATATTGGCGCGGTTGATAGCATCGGTAAACATCTCATCACTAAAGATACCCGCCTTGTGGCGTACGTTGAGAACTTCACTGACGATAGGGCCGGTGAACTCGGGGTGGCCCTGGACGGTGATGTACTTCTTTGGCGCGTAGAAGCCCTGGACGGGGCAGAGATCGGTGTAGGCAAGAGACTCCGCGCCAGGAGGGTTGGCAGTGACAATGTCGCGGTGCATTTGGTGGATGCGCTGGTAAACAGTCAGTCCGTCTGTCCTCATTCTCACGACGAGCATGTAGGGAAAGAACATACCATCTTATCCAACTTGAACAGCTCCTTGCCCTTCTCCGTAAGATTCACATCGACAACAGCCACCTCCCAGCCCAGCTCACTCCTCTTGACCTCCACCCCGAGCGCACGGCCGATGATCTGGTGGCCGAAGCAGACACCAATGACTCTCACCCTATCGCTCTCGATGCACTTCTTCGTAAAGTCGACCAGCTTCAGGATCCACGGGTCGTTGTCGAAGGAGTTGTGCTTGCTGCCCGAGATGAGAATGGCGTCGATGGAGTCCAGCTCGGGGTAGACCGCCTCGTCGCCGACGGCGTGGTAGACCGAGATATCGAGGATCGACTCCAGCGGCGCGGGCGGCTCAGAGGAGAGCGCGGCCAGGCGCAGGAGTGAGGTGAAGACGCCGCCGTAGCCGCCATACTGCGCATTCGTCTGCGGCTGCGGCGTGTCTGCCTCGATGATGGCGAGGCGAATGCGCTGTGCCTGGGAGCCCATCTTGTCGATCGTTTCGCTGAAATATGTACTGAATATTCAAAAAGGGGCAAGAAATGAAGTGACTCAATATGAGATGAAGCGCGTATGTAAGATATGTAGATCTATGAGATGAAAAGTGACAAGAAGCACAAGGGGAACAAAGCGCCGATAGAAAGGAACAAGAAGAGAAGCCTCGCGCCCTTTAGAGGACAAAGAAGCCGTTGTCACCGCGGTCCCGGACGAGCCACGATTCAAGCGTCCAGTGACAAATTGCCCCGCGATGAGGGGCCCAGGTGGCGCCGATAGCGGGGGGAAAGGCGCGATAAGCGATAACGGACCGCGCTGCGCTGATAACGCGCTTACGGCCTGGCGGGGGAGCTAGGTAGGAAGCTTGGGGAGTTCCTGCTGTGTCACCACCACAAACCGGGACCCCTCCAAACACGCCGACGTCATTCCCTGTCTTACTCTACCCTGCAGTTCGTCAGCAATCGTGACCCCGGCTCCAACTTCGTCCCTCTGAAACACCACGCCCAAAGGGTGACAGACTCAGAATGTCTGCCAGGACATCTCTGCGCGCCTTCCTCTCCAGCGCGCGCTCTGCGCTGGTCGCGCCTGCTGCGCAGAGAAAGAGCCCTTTGACGTTGGTCGTTGGAAACGAGTCTGCAGGTACGTTTCTTCGCCAAGTCCTGCTTCCTTTCTCTTGAACAAGACAAAGCTAATGGTACCGAACCAGACCTCGACTCCCTCTGCTCCACCGTCATCTACGCCTACCTGCGCACCACGAACCCCCCGCACACCCTGCACATCCCCATTTCGAACTTGCCCCGCGACGACCTCAAGCTGCGGCCTGAAATGACGGCCGCCCTTGCTCATGCCGACCTCAAGCCTGCTGACCTACTCACCCTCGACGATATCCCGCCCTCGCTTCCTGCAGACGACACCCGTTGGGTTCTCGTCGACCACAACGCGCTTACGGGCGCCCTTTCGAAGCGATTCGCGAGCCGAGTGGTGGGTTGTGTGGACCACCATGCTGATGAGGGCGTGGTCCCGACGGAAACCGGGGAGGAGCCGCGCGTGGTGGAGAAGTGCGGCAGCTGCGCGAGTCTAGTGGTGGAGTACTGCCGTCAGGTGTGGGAAGCGGCTGCCGTCGAGGGTGGGCAGGGGAAGGAGGAGGATGCGCAGCTGGCGAGGCTGGCTTTGGCGCCGATCTTGATCGACACAACAAACCTGCAGTCCAAGGACAAGACGACCCCCAAAGACGTCTCGGCCGTGGAGTTTCTTGAAAAGATTGCGGGCGTAAAGTTTGACCGGAACGCTTTCTTCAACGAGATCTCCGACGTGAAGGAGGACATCTCCTCGCTCGGCTTCCGCGACATCTTCCGCAAGGACTACAAGCAGTGGGACGACCAGGGCTCTGGCCCGAAGCCCACCGTCATGGGCGTCTCGGCCGTGGTGCAGAATCTGGAGTACCTGCTGTCCAAGGCCGATGGGGACCACAGCGTCCTGCTCGAGGAATTTAGGAAGTGGGCTGCGGAAAGGGAGCTGGATATCGGGATCATCATGACGACGGCGCACCCCGATGGGAAGTTTCAGCGGCAGCTATTCATTTGGGCATTTAACAAGAACGCTGTCGAGGTATGCAAGAACTTTGTAAAGGGGTGGAAGGATGACCTGGGTCTGGAGAGCTGGGGTGAGGGGAGGTTGGACCAGGTTGGAGAGGACGAGTGGCGGATGGCGTGGAGTCAGGGGAACATTAGGCACTCCAGGAAACAGGTTGCGCCAATGTTGAGAGAGGCTACTAAAGGTGACCCCAAACTTTAAAGGCAAGGCTGGATGCTGATTGAAATATACGAAAGCATTGCCTTCTGATTTCCTGCTGACGAAGCCACTCTCAAAAGCCCGGACATGGACAGGGACGCCGTATGCAACACCGCCGCATGCATATGTACAGCTACATTTCCAATGCCAGAGCGACTACGCTTCCTATGGGCTGATGCGTGATCTGCACTATCGTCGTTGGTGTCGCTATCCTCGCTTATGCCGTTGATGTTGTTCCTCCTATCATTGTCTCTAAAACTGCCGTCATCCCTCATCTTCGTCCCTCGTCGTGTCATCTTCCCTCGTCTTCAACCCTCATCGTCCTCGTCGTCATAGTTGTTACCCTTGCTATGTTACCCTTGCTATCCTCGTTATTCTCATCATCATCCTCGTTGTCACCTCTATTGCTGTTTTTATTATTATTCCCACGAGCCTCATCTGCACTACTGTTCTCAATCGAAGTATAAATCTAGGCTTAATACCTAGAGCCCAGACATAGAAACTTCAAGCGGCCTCATGTATGACATGACATTCTCAGCATCAATTGGTAGACTACGCAGTTTTGATTCCTAAAAGCTCATAGATATTGGACTATACCAGCTCGACGAAGCGAAATCTATGGCGACTACACATTACACCCCAGCACATCGGCCCATGACCGCCCATGAAGCGTGCCTTCATCAATACTTTTCAACATCATTTCTCATCACTCGTCAACCACTCATGCAAACCGCCTCGCCTGGATTTAAGCAATCTCGGCGACAATGGCATCCAACCACTTGGCCAATCTAAAAACTTTGTCAGCTTGCCTACACTCTCAAGAGATATGGCTCTCAAAACTCACCTGTACCCCTGCTTCGCAATCTGCATGCTCACAGTAGGCTGCGCGCTCGTCGTATACGCGCCACTAATATCCAGCCCCTCAACCCCAGCGCGGCCCTCAGGCAGAACCACAGTGCACACGAACGCATTGCTCTCCGTCGCCCACTGCAGCGCCATGTCCTGCGGGTCCGCCAGGCTCAAGCCCTGCGTCCAGCACTTAGCCGCGCTCTTGAAGTCGCCGGCGCTGATCTCGGTGCTCAGGTTCGCGGCCCACGTCTTGGCAACGGCGAGCCCGCTGCCGCCGGAGATGCTCTGCGGGATGTTGGTGTCCCACGCGGCGTGCAGGTTCGTGCTGGCGCCGGCGAACTCAACGGCGATGCCGTTGCCGCCGAGCTCGAGGTTCTCGCAGTGCAGCGGCTGGCCGATGTCGCCGGTGAAGTGGATGACCATCTTGGCGGCGATCTGGCGCTGCTCGAGGGAGAGGGAGGGGGTCAGCATGCGCGTGGTGTAGTTGGCGAGCGCGGAGACGATGCAGCCGGTGGGCCCGCAGTCGCGGTCGAAGTCGACGCCGCAGGAGGCCGGGGGGTCGTCGAGGGCGTCGATGTAGTGGAAGGTGGAGGTGAAGGCGCCCTCGGTGGTGTAGCGGTAGGAGTCGGCCCAGCTGGAGACGGAGGCGAGGTAGTCGTCGGAGGTGTCGCCGAGGAGCTGCTGCATGTAGGACTTCGTCTCGGGGGCGACGAAGTTGGTGGCGATGTAGGCGACGGCGGCGTGGCCCATGGAGCCCCAGGCCATGGCCCCGGGGAGGAGGGGGGACGCCAAGACGGCGAGCGGGAGGAGACGGGCCATTGCGGGTGTTACGCTGAGGAGGGAAGAGAGGTCTTGGCGGAGGAGAACGGGGGCGGTTGAGAGTGACCCCATGGTCCTGGGAAGACGGGGAGGGAAGGCTTATATGTTACATTCTGAGGAGTGTGCTACATGCCGTTTATCTCTTGTTGGTCGCCAAGGGCCCACGTGCGATGTGGACGAGCGACGTAAGGTCGGGTGAATCCATGGTGGCGGTAAGGGAGATGCCGCGTTGCCCGGGCGAGTGCATATCGGAGAGGAGGAGACGACCATGGAGGTTGGCGATGCAAACCACGTTTTTTTGTGCTCCTGCTTCTTCAGGAATCGCGAGGTTCACATAAGTACGGGGCTAAGGTTGATTCTAATGCCGATCAAGCGTGCGGAGGGGTGCTTGTCGAAGTGTCATTGGACGAACTCGGCCGGGGACAGGAATTAAACAACAATGCTGGTGTCCGGGGGCCGGGGTTCTTGATAGCCAGGAACGGGCGCGATTTCGGCCGAGAAGCAATTCTTTAAACGCGCAGACAAACTTTTGGGAAACCTATCAGACGACCAATTCCCGAAAGCGATCGACTGGTCTTGGCAAACAAGTCAGACGCTTTTCCAAGAGTTGAGGCGGAAATCTTGGATGCACTGTTGTCGGATTACACCTGCATTAGTGCGTGAAAAAATTGGCGTCAAAAAATCAGCTCCGATGATCCCCCGCATGCTCTGCCGTGGCGGCGCCAACTTCAGAGAGATAAGACGGAGGACTGCCCGATTAGGAAGGTCTGAGATGTGAGAAATCATTTCTTCTGCGTCGCACTGAGCACTGTTTCACTCAATTTACTGAAAGGTCGAAGGTATAGCGAGGCGAGAAATATGTATTTCGTCATCATATCTTGGTCATATGCAGAGTGTATGGTACAGTATTGTGACAGTGTTGTACAAATCTGACTGCTGTCGCATCGACATCATGCAGAAAGGGACGACGGCATCGTTCCTTTATCGTGCCCTCGTGAGATGACCGCCGGTGACCGGTGGGCGCCGATGCCCGTCGTAACGGACGAGGATCCTGTCGTTATCGTGCCAAGAGGATTCTGCCGCAATCCGCCCAGCCGCAGACAGGCTCGATTAGAGACTTTGTCGAATGCTGTCAAGTTGCTGCCAGATTTTGACAAACTCCAGACTGTTGACTTTGCTTGCACTCGTGGCACCCATCGTCTGAATGTTCTTCGCAACGGCTTCGGCCGCAGGATCGGCGACTCTGATGCATTTTCTGACAGCCTGCCATACTGCGTCTGTTGGCAGGACCGGTGGCTCCTCCGTCAACATCTCCTCCGCGCATTTCCTAAGCACTTCGATGCACCTGAGCTTGTCTCCCGTCTCGGCCGTCTGCTGAAAGAAGAACTCATACATCTCCGGTCCACGGCGTTGGCTGTATCTCGGCAGAGTATACCATGTGTCCCAGAGCTTGTCCCAGTTGCCTTGGATGAGGTAGGCTCTCATAAGTCGCATGGCGTCCGCTGGGGTTGGACAGGACGATGTGGCTTGGAGTAAGACCATTTCCAAGTTGGATTGGATGGCTTCGATCTTTTCTCCGCGCGCTCCAGAGACTGCGATCGATTCGATAATGACGCTGATGACATCTGGCTCCATAATCGGGATGCCCCGTTCGCTCATCGTGGTGATCAGTTCTGTGGCGAGATCAGCCTGGATCTGAGAGTGGTTATGCTCCGTAGAGGGCGCTCGAAAGATGAGCTCCAGAAGGTGCAGACATTTTTCTCTATCGACCCTAATGCCTTCCCAGCGAATCGAATCAAGGTACTGGCGAATCTCGGTAAGTGTCGCAGGAGTGGACTGTTCCTTAGCCATGGGCTTCGCAGCGCGGGACCTACGAGCAGGTGGGCTCGTGGTCGGCTCCGCTGCATATGGCATCGTCCTGTTCAAGGATGTAGAGAACAGACGTTTTTGCTGGGGCATAGCAGAGTTGCCCTTGGCTGAGCGATCAGTTGTAGGCGGAAGCTGGCCAAAGCGATGCTGGAACTTGGCACCTTCGGCCAGCGCTTGAGTCTGGACCTCGCTGCGAATGAGCTGCTGGCTCCATAGGCGCTCCAGATCCAGTTCCTTCCGCCGTGCGTCGGTCATGACCTGCACAACAATGGTAGTGCCACTGACAGGGGCGCCAAAACCTGACATGTTGCCCTCCGCATCAAAATGCGCACCCTCCCCGTATTTTGCACCAAGTGTTCCAAGATTGACACAGATCCATCCCGTGGAGATACCGTCGTCGCCGCCCGGGGTGATCGTGGCACTAGAGCCCAACAGCTTTGCCTTCCTTCTCATTCTGCGGAGCTTGGTCTTGAGCTCGCCAGGCCCAATGAGGCCGTCTGCGTTTGACTCTATACGGTGCGTGTGTCGCAGCCATTTGACCAAGCGAGAGGACGAGACGTGGAGATGTCGTTCGCTTCGAGCCGTCGCGAAAAGCATCAAGAGGTTCGGGCCGAGGGCAGGAGGGGGGTCCATTGCGCGCAGGTCGAGTAGAGACAATTCGTCAAGGCCCATCTCTTCGTACACGTACTTCATAAGCGGCTCAAGAATGGCGGGGGGCGATTCAGGTAGTTCGGGAAGGGGCGACACATGCTGGGCTGGGGCGTGCGTTGGAGGGTCGACTTGCAGGAACCATGGCGTATCTTCGGAGGCTTTGCTCTCTTCGACGCCTTCGTGAGTAGAAGGAGCGGCTTCGGGAGTCGTGGAAGCCGGCTCTTCCGTGCCTGATTCGGTGGTGGGCTTGGGTGCGTCTGGCGGCAACGTCGAGAAAGCCCGGCGCAGATTGTGAGGTCGAAGGGGCACAGCTGTCGCAAGTGCTGGGGCTCGCAGAATCTGGTTGGAGTTTGCGGTGATGGCCCTCAGAACGCGGCCACGACACTGCAAGCAGCCAAGAGCTGCGAATGCTGGTCGCGAAGCCATGTTCGTTCCGAGATTGACGGGGATTGTCAGTCGTATTTGTGGTTGGCAGATGCAGGACTTTTCGCATGAAATCCAGCTTGGGCGTCCCGAAAGGCGGGCGTCCTGAAGCTACAGCTTGGGACTTTTCTCCCCCTCTTAGGTAATCACACCCGGTGCAGCAATGGCACGATCGGATTTTTGGTGGCGCGCCCCACGGCAAGAGCTTTTTTCAGCGGGGAAGAGCGCGTGGGCACGTCCGTCTATGGCGCCTGCCAATGACATGGTACACTGCGTGGGTTCCCAGGTTTGCCTGTCAGTTACAAAGCGTTTACGGATACCGTCCAACATCTTGTCCACAGACTAAGGAAGATAACCATTCAATTTGGCGTGAGTTTCTCATATCGTGACCCCAAGCGAAAATGAACGCAGGATAAAACTGCGTACATGCCTCCAAGGAAAACCTCACCACAGCGCAGCAAATCAGAAACGCGATGCCACGTGACGAATCATGACCAGAGAGGCGCTAGTCTGCTTTAGGAGTACACCCGCTCATCGAACATTCCCAGCAACGCCGTTGGCCCATTCCTCCAAGTGGATCCGGTCTGCCACCCAGGCCAAACGATGGCCATTTTTTTTTTTTTTCCATACCGATAGCTCTGAAGGACTCCTATCAGCAGCAGCACCACCACCCAGGGTCGTCGTCGAGTCGAGTGCATGCATCCTCACCTCCACTCTCCCTACGCCAAAACTTTTTTTTCCATGCGCTTTCGCACCGCCATGCAATTAGGTGCACCTTCTCTTGTACTTGTAATATACTCTGTCTCAGTTTTCGCATTCTCTATTTAATGTACCAGCGTCTCCATTGAACGCACAGCAGTCACGCCGGGCTGTTGTACCGCCGCTGCCGCCGCCGCCACCTTCCATCCCATCGACTGGGGTTGACGCCCAAGATGCTTCTGAGGCATGGCCGGAAGGCCCTTTCCCTCCATCAAGCAGTCGTCTTCAGACCACTCCGACCGACTTTGCGATCTCCCCTCACGAGCATCCCCGCGACCGAATCGAGCATACGTATGTTGAGCACGCAGCATGATGCTCGCCCGGTGACGAGAAGAAAGAGCTTCGATGCTACATCAACATTCAAACCAGGAAGGAATCTTGCCACCGCAGTCGACGACTACCAGCCGATTGAGCCATCAGGCTACTCTCGTCTACAAAATTCCATCTTGCCATCCTTGCAAGATGCCAATAACCGCCCAAGAAACTACGAGCTGAGGGCGTTCGACCCCTCTTCGCCCCTCGTTGTGCCAGAAGACGATCCTACCCCCGAGAGACAGCGTGTGAATATATACGGCATCCCTGGAAGTGCAGAGGAAATGATTCCTCTCTTTGACGCCTGCATTCGTGTAGGCAAGATTGATCGTGCCGTCGCCATCCTCAAGCGGCTGACCCTACCTGCGTTTGACCACTTTCCAAGAGAAGATCTCGCCGTACTGCACACCCGCTATCTTCGCGCATCTCTCGATCAACTGCGCCTGCACCCAGATCGCGCACAGGCGGAGGCCCTCCAAACGTGGTATGAGTTGTATATCAGAAAGAAAGGCTATCCGCAGACCGCCGAGACAATCGCGTGCATGCTCAAGTCCTCTTTGCTCTCCGAGCGCGACCCCGAAAGGCTCAGCCGCCTCATTCATCGTTACATGGGAATGGTCCCCGGCGAAGCAGGCCTCGAGGTCTTGTCAATGGCTGAAATCCTGACCGATCAGGACCTCGCCGCAATCACTGCAATCTGCCCGACATACAATCTATCGTCAGACGACACGACGATCCCAGAGCCCAATGAGCTCGCAGCTCCTCGGGAGGAGCATTTCAGCACTGTTTCTGACCAGGTGCCCGAGGTCTTGTCCACGCCACAAAAGGGCTTTGGGTTGAAGTCGCTGAAGCAAACCCTGAGCCTCTTCGACGAACTCCCTCAATCCTGCGATATTTCTACGTTGCCGATTCGAGAACGCAAGGAGATCCAAGCCCGACTTGAGCGAGATTGCGTTGAAGCTGCAATCGCGCGATGGCGAGAGGAGAACGAGTCGTTGAACAAGATGGGCCTGAACACCGCCATTTCCCATTCATCCTTGAACTCCCGACTGTATGACTGGCAGACTGCATTGGAGGCTCGCTTGACGGACGAGATGGCCAAGATTGATGCCTCCGAAGCTGTTGCGAAGAAGACCCCTGAGGACTACGACCGATGCTTATACGGTCCCTTCATGCGACTGTCAACCCCCAGTCGCCTCTCTGCATTAACGATTCTCAGTGCTTTGAGTACTGTGGCTCTTACGGGCATCGACAAGGGTATCCCGGTAGCAGGAGTAATCTCAAGTCTCAGCAAGTTCGTCGAGGAAGATATTCAAGTTCAACTAGCAAATGACAAGTCGAAATCGAAGTCGAAATCGAAGCGGCGACGTGTGGTGCTTGCCGAATCCGCCAAAAACTCCAACAAAACGCCAAGCCCCAAGAATGAGGCCGAGCCTCTCCTGGGCAATGACTCGGCCAGAGACAAGAGATTGGTTGAGGCTCCGTGGCCGGTCGCAGTGAAGGTGAAGTTGGGTGCTATGCTCCTCACGGCGCTCCTCGAGACAGCCAAGATCAAGGTCGTTCAGGAGCAGCCCGTCACCCAGACGTTGATTCATCAATACCAACCCGCCTTCTCTCACGCTCTCCGGTTGAAGCGAGGAAAGAAGATCGGCATGATTCTACTGAACAAGACGCTGGTCACCATTATGAAGTCAGAGCCACGAGGAGATTACCTGGCTAAGCACCTCCCGATGGTGGTACCCCCCGAGCCTTGGACAGATTTCAACAAGGGAGGTTTCCTCGAGAGCTCCTCGGCTGTTGTTCGTGTCAAACAGGGCGACAAGGAACAAAAGCTGTATGCCGAAGCAGCTATCACGCGAGGCGACATGGACCAGGTTTTCAAAGGCCTGGATATTCTGGGCAAGACCGCATGGAGAATCAACACCCCAGTTTTCAACGTGATGCTTGAGGCGTGGAACACTGGGAAAGCCTTTGCCAACTTCCCCGAACTATCTCCCGACATCGCGTACCCACCTGAACCAGAGCTCAGCGACGATCCTATGGCGCGCCGAAATTGGATCCGAACCGTGAAAGCAATCGAAAACAAGAAAGGCGCTCTTCACTCGCAGCGATGCTTCATGAACTTCCAGTTGGAAATCGCCCGGGCCTTCAGGAACCAGAGTTTCTACTTTCCGCACAACGTTGACTTCCGAGGTCGCGCCTACCCCCTGCCTACATACCTCAACCACATGGGTGCCGATCACGTTCGTGGCCTTCTGCGTTTCGCCAAGGGCAAGGAGCTTGGTGAACGGGGCCTTCAATGGCTCAAGGTTCACTTGGCCAACGTCTATGGGTTCGACAAGGCAAGTCTCAAGGACAGAGAGTCTTTCGCGATGGAAAACTTGGTCAACATTTTTGATTCGGCAAACAACCCCTTGACCGGCAACATGTGGTGGCTGAAGGCCGAGGACCCCTGGCAATGTCTTGCGACATGCTACGAGCTCAAAGCGGCTCTCGAGTCACCGGAGCCAACCAAATACGTATCTCACCTGCCTGTTCACCAGGACGGTACCTGCAACGGTCTCCAGCATTACGCTGCCCTTGGTGGTGATACTTGGGGTGCTGAGCAAGTGAACCTCGCGCCCAGCGACAAACCTGCTGATGTTTATTCCGCCGTTGCCAACATCGTCAAGGATCACATTGCGAAGGACGTCGAAGTCAAGCACCCCATCGCCATGGGTCTTAACGGCAAGATTACGAGAAAGGTCGTCAAACAGACAGTCATGACAAATGTTTACGGTGTCACCTTTGCCGGAGCCAGGAAGCAAATCTGCAAGCAGCTCGATGCCCTGTATCCGGAACTCCGAGAAGAGACTGGCGTCAATAACCTCACCAGTGCTACCTACATCGCCGGTCTTGTTTTCAAGGCACTTTCAACCATGTTCAAGGGTGCACACGATATCCAGTACTGGCTCGGCGAAATCGGTGGCCGCGTCTGCAAGGCTGTCACCCCTGAACAGATAGAGCTCATCTCTCAGGATGGCCTATCTGAAGCCTCCAAGGTTTCCAGAAGCGATATGCTGTCACAATTCCGCGCGACTATCGTCTGGACAACACCGCTACGAATGCCGGTTGCTCAGCCGTACCGTAAGCACGGGACTCGCATCATTCACACTGCCCTTCAAGACATGTCCTTCACCGTCCCCGAAAGATCAGATCCCGTCCACGCCAAGAAGCAACTTCAGGCTTTCCCTCCGAACTTCATCCATTCTCTCGACGCTACACACATGCTTCTTTCCGCTCTCGAGTGCAACGAACTTGGTCTCGACTTTGCCGCCGTTCATGACTCTTTCTGGACACATGCTGCAGATGTTGACTCCATGAACCGTGTGCTCAGGGATGCCTTTATCAGAATTCACGAAGAGGACGTCGTTGGCCGTCTCGCTACCGAGTTCGAAGCCCGCTACGGAGGCTCTCTGTACATGGCACAAGTAAAGCCAGGCCCTGTTCACAAGAAAATTTCCGAATTCCGGATAGCAAACAGATGGGGCTTGAAGGAGGAGATGCTCCGAGAGCGTGAGAGACAGACTCTTCTCAACTCTTCCGATCCCGAGGAGGTGGCCAAGGGCAAGGCGATGGTGACTCCCGCCAGCATTTTCGAAGAGATGGCTGACGAAGAGGATGTTGTAACGGAGGCCCAAGAGCTGGCAGGGTTCGGTCTTGGGGAGATTTCTGAAGTGAAAGCCGATGACCTGGAGGACGCTTCCGACGAAGGAGCCGTTGACAGCGAGGAGGCTGGTGCCGGCGATGTCGATGGATCGACCCCCTCGGTGGGCGATCGTATCTTGACGGCGATGCTCGAGAAGAAGGACGATAATGTGTCCTACTTCCAGGACGTGTTGAACAAAAAGCAACCCAAGAAACGAGGCCAGCTCCCCACCCAGATCTGGATGCCTCTGAAGTTTCCCCCCGTCCCAGCGAAGGGCGACTTCAACGTCCAGTCGCTCAAGAACAGCGAGTACTTCTTCTCATGAGCAGCCGTGCGATGGATGTTCGGTTCACGTTTGTCACGATTGCATATATGGTGCATATAGGGAGGCGTTTGTTGTCCTTGTTATTTCAAGAGGGGGCGTTCGCTGGTTGGATCACCGAAAATAAAAACAGGCAAGGGAGGCTGGAGATTTGTAGGATGTTGGGGATGTACATCTGTATAAATAACTAGATGGGATGACGATGTGTCGGTCCTGGCGGTGTTCAGGGCTAGATCCCACGATGAAGACAAAAAATAACTGTACAATAGAATTCATCTGTGGATGGAAGACAAAAAGCCAACGAGACAAAAGACAACTTTTCTTACAATATCACCACTCGCTCTTTCGCATCAACAGCAGGTTTGATCTCCATGACGGCGCGGCACTCACTGAACAGACCGGCTCATCCCGTCCGGAATTTCAGTCGACGCGTCCTCCCATCCCCAAATACCTCTTCTCAAACTCAACACATGAATGCAATTTGCCGTAAAAACTCTGGCGTCAAACCGTTAAATGCTTGTTATATTGCAGCTCCACCACGCCGGCCCGTGTCACGCACAGGTGACGGCCTTCGCGAGTAAGTCGACTGCTCCGATTACCCGAGTTGACTCGGACAGCCTCGCATACCCAGCGTGCGCAGAGGTTCTAGAACCTTTGCCGCTGCAGCGGAATTGAGTCTTCACATCTGGTCATCATAACTACAGCCCTGGTCTACCTCTCACATCGCTTGGTGAAGAAGTCATCGTCGCCCGATGGTCCGCCGTCCAGTGCCGGCCGCCGGCTCCGGGATGACTCCCCCACACAGGCACCCGAGCCAACGAGTCAGCGCCCGCCGGGGAGGACGATCTTGCGCGCGTTTGGTGTGGCCCAGGAACCGCAGTCACCGAGCCGTCGAGCCCGTCTCAAGATGTCCAAGGCGAAGAAATGAGACCTGTTGGCAAGCCCACCCACACCTGTGGTACGGTGAAACCGACCGGCGGGAGATGAGCGGTAGGGCTGTCGTGAAGTCTAATAGAGTAGCATTCTGGAAGGCGGAGCAGTCCGTGCGACGGGTTCATCGTAAGATGGGACGGTTTTTGGGGGCGGGCGGGCGCATGTTGACATTCTGGAAGCTTTTCATCTTGGTGGTTTAAGCTTTAATGAGAGGCCCTATATCTAAGCAATACGAAAGAGGGGAGTTGCTGGGTGAAGAGTGTCCATGCTCAATAGTATTCTGATATATATATAAACATCGCGAGCATCCTCCTTGCCTCCGTCTCCAGGACCCTTTCTTTCCCAACCCACCTCCAACTACCAACACTCATTTCAAACCCAAACCACACTCATTTACACACACGCCAAGATGCGCTCAGACATCCTCCTCGTCCTCGCCGCCACCTTCGGCTCCACCCTCGGCCTGCGCCGCGCCTGCAAGCACACCGCCGCCTCCGAGGGCTGGTACTACACGACCTCCTCGGACTCGCTCGACGCCATCGCGGCCGACTTCTGCACCTCCCCCGCGGTCATCAAGTCGTGGAACAACCTGCAGAGCATCAAGCCGGGCATGAACCTCAAGGTGCCGTGCCACTACAACGCGGGCCGCCAGCGCGACTGCGCCAAGAACAGCGCGACCGACGGCGCGTACGTGATTCAGTCGGGCGACACGCTGAACAGCATTGCCTACGACTTCTGCACGACGGCCGACAAGCTGCAGCAGATGAACTCTGCGCGCATCACGAACAAGGACCTGATTTACCCGGATTGGGTTATCCAGGTCCCTTGCAGCTGGAACTAGATGCGGGAAGTGAAGAGGGAGAGAGAAGGAGGGAGGGGAAAAGTTTGGATAGATGTTTAATTGATAATACATCCTCTTCTTTTCAATAATGCTGTTCATGCTGTGTTGACTGTGCAATGTTCCCCAAGGCTTCTTTGCTGTGCAGAATCCTTTGCTTGATCGCTTCATGCCGAGATGCTGGGTCAACTAGTGCATCTTGTCCTGTTTGTACATTCAACACAAAGCCAGATGTTCCTTCAGCAGATACAACAATATGAAACACGATAGATGGGTATCGCTAACCTATTTTATGTTGCTTGTTCACCCTCACATGACTCTAGATGCTTTGCTAGCGCGTAGTATTACCCTAGGTTTGATATTACGTCTTCTGTCTTCCGTCACCCTCGTTTGCCTTCATCTTCCCCAGCTCTTTTGCGTTCCCTTCTACAGTTTCCATCGCTGTCTCCCTTCATCCAGTCGTCGACTCTCTCGATGTCCTGTATCGTTATCCTCCTCCTGCCTATAGTAACTCTTCATCCCCTGCGTACCCATCCGCTCGTCCTCTGCGTCTCCATCCCACCACCCTTCCCGTGAGCATCTTCGTCTTCAGCGTCAACCGTGAAGTTGCGTCGGTGCGCCTTCATCCACGCAGCACTTGATAGATGTCTCCCGAGGGTGGCTGGCGTTCATGTCAATTACTTCGTGCAGCAAGTGACCTAAAGATATGTCTGATCAGAATAATGCCCCACTCAGCATTCGGGTTACTTACCGCAACTGCGCAACCGTTGCCCTCATTGTAAACATCCCCGTCGTAGCTGTACCGCAGCTTTTCCTGGGTCTGCCCAGGCTGACAGACAGCACTTGCTCTTCCAGTGCACTCGGCCGCTGTTCCGTCCTTGTACACAGTGCCTCGGTAGCTCTGAGTCCGGCAATCCGCAGCCGCGACACTGGCGCACGCAAGAAGAACAGCGAAAATCTCTGAGAACAACATGTTGAAGATGTGTAAGCTGCAGGAAGAGGATGAAACCTTTCGAAAATGGAATTAAGTACGTAGTAAGGGTTCTGCGTTCGATACAAAACCTACTCCATCTCCAAGACCGAATTTCGAAAACAAAGAGCTCATGTTATATGATCTCGGGGTTCCCCTATGTTTCTAGCTACTTTCCCTATCCAGTTCGAAAGGGCAAGCTATCTTGCGAGTAGACAAAATTGCATACAACTGATCATTTTCATTAGTGGACCGGGCCCCTGACTCGGAGGCGGCAGGCTGCTGGCTGGTTGGTTATCCCATCGGCCCAATATAAGAAAGTTTACATGACTTACCATGTATGGGCGTGATACGAAAGACTTCTAGCCAATTACTTAGGATCGGCAACTTGGCCCAAAGTTTACCCAAACGTCAGAACAACCACAGACAGCTCTACGGATACGCTATGCCGCTTCTTCCAACTTGGCGCTCCCGCGAAGGCCCATCGAAAGACTTAAGTCCCCGAGCAAAGGAATGGTTCGCCCGATCTCCGGTCTGGGATTGAAGTCTCCGAGCTCAGTCCCATTACCGGGCCCAGGAACAAGGAGGATTGTTGGTGTCTGGGTGGTGCCAGCTCCTGCAGCCGTCACGGTAGGCTTGCTGTCCTGTGCGCAGGCCTTCCCAGACAGCACAGGACGTAACATGTAATGATGGGTTTCCCGGTGTCCCAGGCGTACATTTGCCTTCATCGTTATCTAGTAGGGGTCGTATACGATACGAGTTCAGGTTATGCAGCAAGCTGTACAGCCTACACAGCCTTTAACGACTTGCTTCAACTCTACAGAAAAGGCAACTTCTAGATATCGACAGAAACAACGCAAATCCACCTGACTCAATTGCAACGATTGTAAAACCAGCAAAACAATATCTATAAAAGCTGGAATTCCGTCGACTGAACTCGATCGATATGATTTCATCACACTCATTTCTCTCTAGCTTATCGCAATAAGTGGCTTTGATCCAATATTCTCAGACGTTCGTTGACCATCTGACCATCTGACTATCTTATCCCCAATCCCTAGCCTCACAATGCGTTTCCAAGCTCTTTTCCTCGTCGCGGCACAAGTTGCCACCATCGTTGCACAGGGAACATGCTACTGTGAGTGCAACCGAACTTCCGATGCCTCTGGGTGCGCCGCACTCCCACGACCTGCCAGCGGAAACTGTGCCGAGGTGTGCAATCCTGGAGGAAGGTGCCCAAACTGGGCCAAGTGTGGCTAAGGCTCGAGCCAAGACGGTAAGCATCCTCCTTAGTTCATGGCTGTCAGGCAATGCTCACAACTTCACTAGGCCCGACATACCGCCTTCGACATGTATTGCGAGCTTTGGGCTCTTCCACTTGAGGGAACTCTTTAGGATAGTCCTTCACAGAAATAAAGTACAATGTCGAGATATTTTGGGCACAAACAAAAGACCAAGAATCATACCTCTTCGCTATTTGATGCAAATACCTCCCTAATGCGTTCTCGATATTGGTATCCTGCTTGGTTGATGGCCGTCTTGGGCAGGTAAGCTGAAGAGTTCAATGTTCTCAGAGACAGACTGGAAAAACCTTTGGTGGTAGTAGTCTGTGAACATTGGGTCCCCCCCACACCAAAAAGGGGGTTTGATTTATTATTTGTGAGATGCATACCCCACTGGCTTCCAGAAAAGATGCACCGTACACGAAGGAGATCGATACTTGTTTCTTGAAAACAGTGAACGTTGGAGTTCAATGGTATTATAGGACCAGAGGATTCTGCTGATCCTAGTTCACTGGCAATCAGCGGGTTAATATTCGTCGACTGATATGCCAGTGTGTGTGTGTGCTCTTAGGTATCTCTAGTCCCTTACCATTTCCTTCGCTGTCGGCATCGCAAGGTCTCTCTTGAGCTTTTCCACTCACTCCTGTATCTCCACTGTCCGTCGCTCATTTTCTCTAGCTCTCTCGGTCTGTATTCTCCTCTGTGTCTCCATTAGTCGCTCCCAACTCCTCCGCATGGAATCTGTCCGGTTTTGCTCGGTGAAACTCAATCCCATGAAATCGGCTTTCATTCCATCATTGTTTCGCAAGGAGTGGTCAGCTCCTTTGCTGATAAGCACGTCAATGACTGACTTCTCACGTCCCGGAGGGAAGTCGATGCGGAGTTGCCCTGAGGGTTGCTTGTGATAGAGGTTCATCGCCATGAAATGAAGGGGCGTATTGCCGTTCTCGCAAGTGACATTGGGGTCGACTCCCAGCTCATTGAGAAGATAGCTGACGACATCAATGTCTCGGGCGGCACAAGCTTGATGAATGGCATGAATTTTGCCACGCTCACGAGTTATCAAGCTCGCGCCGGCCTCAATCAAGACTCGTGCTACCGTAAGCCGTTTGCCATTGACGTCGCTTTCGACAACAGGGTGGTTGTTGCGCCATCTCGTTGACTGCCATTGCGACCGTAACTCGTCGGGACAGGATTTCAAGGCAAAGAAAAGAGGGCTTGCTCCCATGTAGGTGAAGACTTCAGCGTCCCAGCGCTGGCCGCTGCGATCGGCGATTCTCATCTCTTCGTACTCCTTCTGAGTGTGACAAAGCATTGCCCGAGCGGGGTGAAGTTTCATCAGAAGCCCCAACTCATAAAGCTTGCCACAGGCCCCAACGTATCGCGTATACCCGAAGCCACCCAACGCGGTCTGCGCATGACCACTGTCGAGGAGGAACTTGGCCAGCTCTGCATTTCTGTTGAAGCATGCCCATGTTAAGGAGGTCATGCAAAGGAGCGTAGGTTCTCTCACAACGCTGATTCTGCCACGCCTTGCGAAAGGTGCCCCGCGGCAGTTGTCGAAATTGGTCTGGTCGTAGGCCATGACATCTGCGCCGTGCGAGATAGCCTTTTTCACGCCGATGATGTTATCCTTCTTCGCGGATATCAGCAGAGAAGAGTTGTAGTGGTGCTTGATGTCGTGCTTGTAGATTGCTGGGCTGATGATCTTGTAGAGGTATTTGCAGGTTGACGCAAGGCGCAATGCATCTGCGATGCCTCGGAACGGCTTGTTGAATAAGGTGACCAGCTTGTATTCTTCCTTTTCGGGATGGAATCGAATCTCCTCGTGGCTAGTCTTGATGGTCTCCTTCTCGTCGTACGCGTTGCTGGTTTTACACTCGCCACTGTGTCCTCCCAGAATATCAAAAATGATGAGGACGATTTCAGGCGGCAGGCCCTCTATGGAAGCCCGAGGCGTTCCGCTTCGAATTGTATGAAGCATGGCGTGTTTCCTTGGGAAAATGCGTCTTGCGATATCTTCGGTCGGTGTTGATTAGTTCTTCTCCACGTCTTCCGCTGATGGCAAAAGAGAAAACAAAAACAAAATGTATTCGGAAAGGAAAGAATGATGGATGACAAAGCGGGATTAGATTGTGAACAACGGAAGGAAGGAAGGAGGCAGGGAAGCAGGAGCGTTCCTTCCGTGATCTGGATTTCTTGATGCCGACCTTCTCTTGCAAAAATGCCATCTGAATTGTCATTCTTAAGCTAAGCCTCCCGCAATTTCTCACCCTTAAAATGTCACCACGTGGTCCACGCTGGCTGAATTGAATGGGCGACCCTTAGCGTTGCAGTTTTGAATTTTTGTCTGACCCGATGTCAGTTAGTGACATGAAGCTGGCGTGGCTACATGGAATCATTTCTCGGCAAGTCTTATGTTATTGTAGATAGCCTTTCCCTAAAATTCATTCTTAAATTGCCTCGGCATCTCCTCTCGTTGACCATTTCGGAGACATTACTGAAGCTACAAGCCAAACGCACGCCCACCCGATCTTGTGGGTTCCCAAGTCCCAAAGTGAAGAGGCTCATCATTTGCCACCATGAACTCGAAACACTTTACCTAGCAAGCTCCCTACCAGTCGTTTGCGACAGTTTTGTAGCCCTCCGGCCCCTCTCACGTCGACAAGAATAGCGAGGTTCACGCCCCTCTACCAATTCGCCGCCATCGTCCTCAACATCCAGCCCCATATCTTTGGCCGTATATCCTCGATTGTTTTTCAAATCAAAGTCTAGTCCATTGTCGAGTAACAGGCGCAATATGAGCTTCTGTCGTTCTATCGGATGTGGTATCATCAAGTCAACCGTGGACGGTGAGGGCTTATAGATCAAATGCATCGCCATATAATGCAGAGCCGAGTTCCCGTCTCGATCAGTCGTTGAAACATCCCCACCCAAGTCGCAAACAAGAAATCGAACCACTTCATAGTCCCGGTATGCGCAGGCTTGATGAATCGCGTGGATGGAGCTCCTCAGCCGAGTGGTCAGAGATGCCTTGGCGTCGATGAGCATGCGGGCGATGCGCAACCGGCACCCGCTGTTGTCAGTTTCGACGATGGGCTCTACACCCCGATTGTCCCAAGTACGCCAGGAACTTTCTATTTTTGTATCTTGAACAGCCCTGAGAGCAAGGAAGAGAGGACTTGCCCCAATTCAATATCTGGCGTCATCGTGACTGTGACTTCGACTCCACTCAGATGCGAAATCGTCTTGCGTTGGAGAAAGCATCACTCGCTGAGGATGACCGTGATTAAGAGGATCGGGGAACTCATCTGGATTTGACCAATATGTCGACCATTGCATGCCCATATTGGCTCTAGCATTTACATCAGCGCCTTTGCCTAGAAGAAACGCCACCACATCTGCATGGCCGAAGAACACCGCCCAGTGCAGCGCAGTCAGGGTTGATTTCGTCGGTATTCTCTCGACATGTGGTGTTTTGTAGCCGCTACCATCTGTGTACTCTGAGTCGAAAATTGTACGATCGAGGGTGTTGATGTCAGCGCCGTAGGCCAGGGCCTTGGCCACACCTCTCACAGAACCGCGTTTTGCCGAAAGAAGAAGGGAAGATGAGTAGCAGTGTTTGATGTCATTACCCATGATGACGGGGTCTGTAATGTAACGCAGACGCCTGCATGTCGACCCGAGGCGTGTGGCAGCCCTGACACAAGGGAAGGGCTTCGGTAAGTCGTCGAGAGATGAGTACTTGTAAGAATAATGATCTTCCTCTAATTCGTAATATTCCCAACTTTCTCCATAGACAAGAGCTTCTGTAATAAGGATGCTGAGCTCCGTTGGTAGGGTCGTTAGAGAAGCGTTCGTTTGCCGGCGCTCGTCAGGCTGGCGAGTGGGACATTCATCAGATGTCGTAGGACATGACGAAGCGTTCATTGCGGTGAGATATTGTGTAAATATTGAGAATTCTTATGCTAGGAAAGCTTCTTGTTAGGTCAGACTTCAGGATGAATGAGCTGTCTGCAAGTGATGCTGTCATCTGGTTTTGTCTGCGTTAAAGGTCAAAAACCGAAACGGACTCAACCAGAAAACTTTTTCCAGCACCTTGAAGACGGGCCAGTTCGCCATACTTCCATTACATTTTGATACCAGGGTGTCTCGTAATGGTGCAAAAGTTAGCAGTAACCTTGATAAGTTTTCTAGCATTATAAAGCACAGCAATAGAGCCCATGTTAAGGGCATGTCCCGTCAGCACCGTCGCTCTCGCTTTTTTGTCGCTCCAATCTCCCTGATCTCAAGCTCCGCTTAACTTTTCCGACACCGCAACACAGCAAAAACTTTTCCAAATCGAGCCCTCTTTGCCTTCCAATTCTTCACTTCCACGATGCAGCGTCAGCCAACGGCCCCCTTCTCGGACGCGGGAACTAACACGACTGCAATGGATACCAATCAATTCCAGTCGGCTTGCGCAGCAGGCATCATCGAATCCACTACCAAACCTCCCCAAAGAGAAAGGTCCTGCTCGACCTTGGAAGGAATGCCACCGGAAATCCTTCTTCTCATCGTCGACGTGATATTCGGAGACAAGGGTCCTAGTGGATATAAGGTGACCGAGAAAAGCTTCTGCGTGCACGAAAACTGCATATAACAATCCGTTTGCTACTCCAACTTTGGCCGCGAACGAGATGTCATTTATTTGGCAGCGACTTGCAAAAGACTACACAAGATTATTAGCCCTGCCTTTTTCAAACACGACATACGAGAAAATTACTCGTCATCATTGATTCTGTCAGCTAAGAGAGGATTGTCTAACGTGGCACTTCAAGCGCTTGAAGCAGGCGCCGACGTGAACGCCCCTGATCGGACCGGCTTTGACTTCGACCAAGAATTGAGTGTTGTTTCCTGCAATACCTGCGATTACTGCGGACTTGACGATGATATGGAAGATTCGAAACGGTTTCCCGTGTCTTCGTCGCTGACTGCGCTGCATTGGGCCACATTTTTCGGGAATGAAGATATGATGCGGTTGTTGATCGGAAGGGGTGCTAATACAAATGCTAGAGCTGACGTGGGGTACCGTTCATATTTGTTACCGATGAATGGATTCGACGGAGAGGAAGGATACGGAATCGACGAATGGGAAGAAGGCGGACTGAGCTTTTCACACCCGCAGAGGGCAATGTTCTCTCATACGAACTGGGAGTACAGTGTAAGACAAAGCGGTGGTTCGTACTCCCAATTTTCCTCCTACTTGAGCACCGAAAGCCTTGGAGGTGCCAATGCCCTATTCTTCGCCCTCAAATCCATTCATGACTGGGCCGAGGTACAGAGATGGAGAACCTCAACCGTTTGCCCCCACGTCGAACAGTTTGCGGGAAGGGCTCCGGATGGGTGGCGATTGTCCATGGCAAAACTTCTCATTGAGCATGGCTCCTCTCTGATTACCCGCGAAAATGGACAGGTCCATGCCTTGCACCAGGCAAGTGCGTATGGCCAGAACGATATCGTCAAGTTCCTCATCGACGAGCTGGGCACAGACCCTAACATCAAAGACAAGGACAGCAACACGGCCTTGCATTATGTTGCGATTGGCGCGGGGAGACGGTTGGAGAAGGAAGGCGGCATGCAGATTCAGGACCTGTGGATGACAACCCAACTACTTCTGGACAGAGGGGCTGACCCATGCCTACAGAACTTCAAGGGCCTTACGGCAGAAAAGATTGGACTACCCCGCAAGGGGATTTAACGGGCATGAGCCGTGAGTACTTAGGTTGTCGGGCTTCTCTCTCATTACTCATTTGGAGCTGTGTTACCAACCACGTATAAAGCACGAGGGTCTATCAAATTGTTTGTATCTCAAGAAAATTGCAATTCAAGGTGTGGCCCAATGTAACGTATACTATATTTTTGGGCATACATCTTAGACACTAATGCAAGAGTCCAAATTGCAGGTGGGAGTTCAGATTCCTCGTGTGGACACATCTCGTTTGTGTGATTGTATGGGCCATGCCATGTTCGCGGTTCCTGGCTAGAGTGTGGAGTGGCGTTTCGTCATCTGTGTTTCGAACGTTTGGATCCACGTTAAGCTCATCCAATAAATATCTCGCGACCTCAATGTCACGATACGCTGCAGCTTGGTGCAAAGCGTGAAATTTGGTCGCATCCCAGGTGATGAGAGAGGAGCCCGCCCGAATCAAACGTTTCGTAATTGCAAGACGACAGCCACTTTCGTCTTCGGTGACTATAAGGTCATCCTCTTTGATTGTCGACGCATCCCACTTCATACGATGAATGGGACTCGGGCTGCCCTTCAAAGCAAAGAATAGCGCATTGGCTCCAATTGGGATCTCGAGGTCGCTATATATCGGAAATGCAGCATATTGCTCTTTTGTGGCAGTCATCATAGCTCGATGCGAATGGCTCCAGTGGAGGGTCTCGGACTCCCACTGATCGCCAGATTCATATGTTTCGAGGCTGTGTTGAAATCCGAGGTCGGCTCGCTGTTGAACGTCCGCGCCGTTTGCAAGAAGATATGTGACGAGCTCCACGTTTCCATAGAAAGAGGCCTAATGCAAAGACGTGAGAGTAGAGAAAATCGGGATTCTCCAATACTCACTGTAGTAATCATATCCATCACTGTCCACGATGAAAATGTCGAACAACGTTCGATCAGCTGTATTGATGTCCTGCCCATGGCTCAGAGCTCTGATGACACCTTCCATTGAGCCCTTCTTAACTGAAAGCAGTAGCGCTGAAGAGAAGTTGACTTTCTTGTCATGTTCGAGGATAAAGGGGGCAATGATTGTGTGCATTTTCCTGCACGTGGCGCCAAGGTGTATGGCGTCTCTGACACCTTTGAAGCTCAAGTAGTCTTGTGATTCATACCATCCAACTCTAATCTCTTCATATTTCGTATAGCCACCTAGAGGGTATTCTTCGAGTACTTTGTCGACTATTTCCAATACCAATTCGGTTGGCATGCATTGGAGGTTTGCTTCGGGGTTTTTGGTGTCTCTTGATGCTTTCCTTGCCTGTTTGGAGGCAGCCCGTCTGGCAGCTTTCGTGGCTCTCGCGACTTTAGATTCTTCGGTGGCCCTTCTTGGTAATCGGTTACCGTGAGCCATGCTGGTTTTGTCTCCGCCGGAAAGGATTGATTCAAGTGAGTGGGATTACCCTGCGTTGTGATAGGGGAGAAACTAAATAGTTTTTCAAGTAGTGTCGTTATTTTGGGAAAAGAATCAGATCAGGTCCGGGAAAGTTCTCATCACGGTGAATTCTCATGGAATCGCAAGGGTTCTTGTTCAGTGACATCCTTTCTGGACGGTCCAGCACCGTAACAGTGGGTCAGTGCATACTAACCCTCGTGAAGCATCACAGTGAATTTACTATATATCCCGTTTCTACTTCATCACTCACTACAAGCCGAATTAGTGGGCGAAAATCGACTTCAGCGCCCAGGCATAGTCTCAATAAGTAGGAGTAGCTGCAACCAGCTTTACAAAATTGGAACTGGAGAGGCAGAAGTCATTAGATTTGCTGCTATGAAACTCCCACCAATCTTCAACAGCAGTGACCAGACAATGCCTAACTACCTAAGCTAATTCTCCCGCCCCCTGTCGGCGAGAAACTCTGAGATGAAGGTCATCTCATTCCATCAGCTCTTTCTTCTGAAGGGCACCCTCCATCGGCTTCATCCACTCGATCCTCCTCGTCGTAAAGATCTCAGCCGACGGCTTTTTCATGTTCACAGCATCGGAATCGTCCAAGACGCCGGCCTTGACATAGCAAAGCCCCTGAGTCTTTGGACCGTCTCGCCATAGCGTCGTGCCGCAGGAGCCACAGAAGTGATTGGTGACCGGGTTGCCACTGAGTGCGGGAGCGGTGAACTCCTTGAGACTTGCCCCATCAGTGACCGACAACTGACTGCCTGGAACAACCCAGTTGATGGCAAAGGCACTGCCAGAGGTCTTGCGACAGTCGAGACAGTGACACATAGCCTAAGTAGTCTGTATGAGTTTTGCGAATTCTGCGATTAGGTCGGAAGTTATCCACTTACAGCGGCCAACGGATCGCCCTTGATGGTGACCTTGGCAGCCCGACAGAGACAACTTCCAGATGTCATGGTCGGTGCAGTTTGGATTCGGGAAGAGAACACAGAAAAAGGATATTGGCCAGATGGTGAAACTGGGAGAGATGAGAGTGATCGACCTAATACTACGTTCCAGGTGAATGGGCTTGATTTTATAATTCTTCCACGTCGCCTGTAGGTTGGAAATGTTGCTGCAAAGCAGCAAACACAGAACCTCAAGACTAAACCATTTCGGGCGGTGTGAGCGATAGCGAACTACGATTGGTCGCAATCGAAACCTCCTCATCCCAGTGTCTCGAGTCAAACGACCGGTCTTAGCTCGTGCACGCCGTCGTGCTGCTAACGGCAAAACTTTCACTCTTGTACTCACAATTTTCGCAGACCGACATGTCCGAACTTCAAGAAACTTTTTCATGTAACTGCTTCAATTTCACCGCCACCAAGCACCTTTGAGACGATAGTTTCCGCGAGGCCAAATCCGCAGGCAGCGCCGAGCCTCCGGAGCCTCCACGCGACCCAGGTCTTGCTGTGCTCGTCAACCAGATTAGACTGAAGCATGGCCGTCATCGGCCAGAGGAGTGAAAAGACCAGCATGCCCACGCCTGGGCCATCCTGGGTCGACCCCCCATCACAGCCGAGCGCCTTGCCTAGTTCATTCACTAGAGAAGGTGCAGCAGCTGGCATGCTTAGCAGCTGCTGGTGGTTGAGATGCACGCTCATGTCGTCGAATGAGTCACTGGTTGCTTTTGAGATTACTTCAAAGATGTGTAGCCGGACTGTCAGATAGAGGCATCTTGCGACAGCGGCGTGGGTGGCGCTCGAGATGCTAATGAGTGCATTGAACACGGCGGCGGACCATCGAACTTGGGGTCGAAGGTTATGTTGTTGGCAGCATCTTGAAGGTCTTGAGCCACCAAAACGCCTGATCTGACAAAATCTGTGAGAGAATCAGAGGCTTGCCCTAATGTTGCGGACATGAAACGGATCTTAATGTCCACGGCTCGTCGAACCAAGGGATCCAGCAAAGAACCCCGGCCAAGAGAGTTGATGAACACTTCAAGTTCGAACCAGAGGGGAGGGATCATGTAAGATGTCGTGAAGAGGTCTGCCAGCTGATATTCCAGTCAGCAGAGTGATCGGTTATTTGAGTGGAATGGGACAATGGGACAATACCCTGAGATGCTGGAATATCACAAGTAGAGTGCGATCCAGCGCGTTACTCAGCCGGTGCTGCGCTCGATAGCGAAATAAAGCCAGCGCCCCACGAGCGTGGGGATGACACCCCGGCTCAGAAGTCGGGTTAAGGTCTGGAGCAAACTCTGCCGCGATCACCTGCAGAGTCTTGTGAATATTGTGAGCAAGTGACATTCTGCAGCCTCATACCTGAAAGAAACCCATGACAAACAGCGAAACGAGCACCGAGTCATCTCTTACCAGAACCTCATCCTGGATTGCCCTATTCACTTCGCGTATCGCCTTTCCATATGTCAACCGCGCGCGATCCATTAGCCCGACTTCGGAGCGCTGGCGGGCCACGCTGGCCAGCGCTGCGGCGTGAATGGCGTTGGCAAGACACGGAGCAGGCTGCAATGCATAGCAGTCTTTCAAAGATGTGAGGTAAGCAATTCCAGACCTCGAGGTGTAGTCAGTGAAGAATTTGTAGACACTCGGCGTCTCAGGGCCGACAAATGGCGTCCAGGCCGGCGGCAGTGAAGTGATGTTTCTCCCTTGTAGCTGACCTCCACCAGCCTGAGCTCGACGCCTCTGAGCCCTCTCGACTCTCTTTCGCACCTTCTCCTTGGCGTTTGTGTCCTGCTGGCGAAGGACTAGGGTCCACTGGTCTGGGTAGCCGGGGCAGACATACTTGAGGCGTCGGCACCGTGAACATGCCGGTTTCTCCTCGTCGCACTGGTCGGGGGACTGTAAGCAGCGAGCGACAAGAGGAAACTTGAGCAAGCCGAATATTCCTACCTTGACTCTACCCTCCTTACAATTGAGGCATCTCCTGGATACTCGTCCTCTATATGCCATGTTCGCACTTGTTATGAACAAAACAAGCAGTTGAAGCTACCGTCGCGGGGAGGCCTATCGCAAAGAATGTCATAGTAGGATTACTAATCCTCTCCAAATTATGACCAGCGAACTTGACACAGACACTCGGACACGCACCTACAGGGTACAAAGCTAGGTAGTAAAGAATCTCATTCTTCATTGGCTTTGTCAAAAACCAATACCGAGCAGTAGTGACATCGTAGGCGCCAATTTATTCGAGCTACAATATACTTGTTTCCTTCCGCAATCCCTCTCGCTTAGTTGAAAGAACTTCAACCAGGGGCACCTGCTTCACTCAAGCGTCTTGGCCTTTATCGGCCAAAAATCTATACCCTTTGACTGGACCATTGATCTTGATATATCTCAGCGCCCTCCTAATCTCTCTTTTATCTTCCTCGTGTGCGCGACGATTCCTATCCAAGATAGCCTCGTACTCGGGGTCCCATTTGCATCCGTTCCACAGCAGCAAACACGCCAAATGTAGGCCGTCAGGTGATCTCAACGCGTCTTGAATGGCTGTGACACCCGAGTTAGTTTTGGCATTGACGTCTGCGCCAGAAGCGAGGAGGAGAAAAAATGTTCTCTCCATTTGATCAACATCAACCTCATGTAAGTCAATATCTTCCCACAATAATTCTTGATTTATCGCCATATAGTGCAACGGAGTGAGTCCATTGTTATCCCGGACATTCGCGTCAACGTGCAAACCACGAATCAGGTATTCTGCTATTTCGAAGAGACCATAAGCACATGCCTGATGTAAGGCATGTAAATTTCCGTACTGCCTTGTGATGAGGTCGCATCCAGCTTGGCAAAGGCGTGCTACCGTGTCGATATCCCATGTATGGGAACCTTTCATGACAGCCTTTACATCATGCGTAATAGCATCTTCCTTGATACCTTTAAGACCTTCCATGAAGGCCCATTTCGTGCATCCTTCATAGCTGTTAGCATAAACAAAACACCACGGTTTGAGCGCAGATATTTCCTTACCGGAACAGTCACAGTTGTACTGAGTTGCCTTGGGCGCGAAAAAGAGCGCATTCGCTCCGAACAGAGGTACTGGACTATGTGTCTGCTTGTCGGCGACAAATTCCCATTTTGTGACCCCAAACATACCATACTGGTCATATGGACGGTAAGGTTCACCAATCTCTCTTGTACACCATGCGTGGGCCCTTTTATTAGTATCGGCTTGGTGATTCAAAAGTGCGTCGACGATTTCGGGATGATCTTTGAAGCATGCAAGATGCAAGCCGGTAAGGGAGGGTAAGATGCATTCCCTCGAAATCTTCAGTGGCGGGAGTTTCTGGGATACTCCGCGTACCCGAGCCCAGTGGAAGAAGAGAGTGTGATCATCCATGTTCGGGTCGGCCTTTCCGTACTCCAGGGACCTAAGAACTCCACTAAGTACGCCCTTCCTTGCAGATATCATCAACGCAGAGGAGTAGTTGTACTTTGTATCAGATCGATCCAATATGGGGGTCACCATCAAATAGAGCGTCTTGCAAGTCGCTCCGAAGCGTGCTAGATCTCTCCATCTGTCGAACGCGCCCCAATTCAACTCCACTTGATCCGATGACTGCCACCAAAATTCACCTTTGCCGAAGAATTTGATGTGGTCATATATAGTATGGCCTTTCCCCACATCCTGATTCATATCAAGGGTCTCGGCCTCAAGAATAGCGTCGGTGACTAGGAGAAAGACGTCTGCCGGAAGGGAAAGAATGTTAGGAGTTGGTTTCTCGACGCCGTCATCTTGATCTAACAGTCGTGGAATACTGGTATCGTGATCTCTGGTTGCGGGGTGATACAATATGAAGAGTTTTGCTAGCCAGGCAGTGTCTGTTGACTACCCTGGCAGTGATCCCTAACTTACTTCTGTGAGGACGACAGTAGCAAAGAAAATAGTAACGATGATAGACGACGATAGTATAGGTGATACGAGATCACGGCGATGGTGATAATGGTGATGATCAAAGCAAAGATAGGAATCGTAGGAAGCATAGGAGGTCTCGGCAGGACATATGGATCATATGGAGCTTGCGTGAAAAGGAATCTTCCCTAAGGAAACAACGACCTTTCTAGTGGGCCTAATCATACATCCTTTTCGGTCACGGTGTGCTATGCACAAGTACTGCAGCTTGCCTCTAAGTTTTCAAAACAACCGAATTTGTAAAGCCATTTTAGTTCTGGCTAGGCGGGTGGACCGACAGGGTAGGATCAAGCCGCCTACATTAACATACACCATAGCGCAGGCGATTCAAGTCAATACCTCTATCACACTTAGCTATCATGCTCCTCTGTTTCTCAGGGTATGCTGCTGATTCCCATCGCGTTGCCGACCTGATGTCTCCAGAGTTATGTTCACCTCTTGACCTGGCTGGTCCGATGGGCCAGAATTTCCCCTGTCGACACCGAGAACGACCGCATTTCTCTCGTCACTCAGATGGTATTCCGACACGAATAGGTTCAGCACAGTAGCTAACCCCGCAAAGGCGACATACTGTTCAACAATGTTAGCAACGAAGGACTTGTCGATGATTGAAGCACTCCACGTCTAGACAGATGCACTTCGCACCAATCACTTACCATAATCCACACAGTCCTTAGTGCTCCAAAATAGGCCTGTCTCACAGGTACTTGCTGGCCTGCAGAAAGTAGTCCGATTTCTTCAACGTGAGCCGACGCGTTATCCCCGTCGAATCGACTTGCTAAGTCGTGACCAATTTGGTCAACTAAGGCTGAGTTCCCTGCCTTCATCTGATTCTGGAAGATGACACCACCAACAACCACAGAGATGGCCGTCGCGATGGAGCGCAGGAAGCTCATTGTTGCCAGCACGGCAGCTGTGTCGCGTACCGTGGTTGCAGCCTGAGCCGCCAGGACAGGAGCTTCAATGTTGAGCCCGACGCCAATGCCGGTGAGGATCTGGAATACGAAGAGCTTTGCTAGGTTACGTTCGAACTCGAGGTTGATCAGGAGCCCAGTGCCTAGTGTCAGGAGAACCTGCGCTGCGTACATCAGCACCCGGTAACGACCAGTCTTCTGGATGAACACGCCTGCACAAGCCGCAGATAACGAGCAGGAGACAATTAGCGGCAGCAAATACAGGCCGGACGTTAACGCGTCGACGCCCAATACCGCTTGTGAATACAAAGGCAGATAGTAAGTGATCCCGATGAAGACGAAAGCGTTGAAGGCGAAGACGAAGTATGCAGCCGCTTTCGACCAGCTTGACAGCAGCCGCAAGGGAAGCACGGGATTGGCGGCGAGCTTCCACTCATTCATGAGAAAGATGCCAATGGCGACAAGGCCGAAAACGATGAGACAGATGACCGTAGCGGAAGACCAGGGGTGCGTGACGTCGCCAAAGTCCAGAGCGAGAAGGACCATCAGTGACCCGCCCATGCAAAACAAACTGCCTGTCCAATCGATTGCCTTGAGGCCGGCCGCGACGGAAGTGTTGGGGGATGGAAGGTCGAGAAAGAAGAAGAGAACGACGAAGACCACTCCGCCGATCGGTACTTGATTGTCAATCAGTCTTCATGCTCCAATTGACATATGCAGATTTACTCACAATTAATCCAGAAACACCATCGCCAACTAGCAAAAGGACAGTCAGCGAACGAAATCTTGCTTGCAGCGCCTGCTTGAGTGACAGGGGCGGGACCTACTCCAGTCTTGTCGCAAAGACACCGCCCAGTACGGGACCGACCGCACTACCAATGGCCCAAATGATAGAGGTGATGGCCAAGTACAAGCCGCGGTCGCGAAGCGAAAACATGTCGCAGATAATGGTGTTGACCATGACGCCCATACCGGAGGCGCCGACTCCTTGAACGGCGCGCCCGGCGATGAGGGCGTCCATATGTGGCGCGAGCGCACATAGCAGACTTCCGACCAGGAAAATCGTCAGAGCCAGGAGGATGATTGGCTTCCGCCCCCAGAGGTCTGCGACGGAACCCCAGATGGGCGTCACGGCGGTGAAGCCGAGGATGAAGGCCGAGCCTACCCAGATGTACCCAGCGACCGAATCGAGAGATGCCACGATGTTTGGAATAGCCGTGGTCACAATAGTCATATCCAGCGCTGAGAGGGCGACTGATAGGCAGAGCGACGCCATAGTCAGAGCAATGGTCGTCCCTGAGAGTCTTGGCATGTCGGCATTGGGGTCGTCGTGCCGTGGCAGATCAGGATGCGCATCAGTGAAATGGTTGGAGGTTTGGGTCGTCGTTGTTTCATGAGGAGAGGCCTTTGGCGGGGACTTCGGCGCGGTTGAAGGGACAGGAGGTTGTATCACGTCTCCATCTTGTTGCAAACGCGAAGAAATCCCGATTCTGTCACCGGTTCCCTCAGGATAGATTGCAGCGAGTCCTAACGACATAATGATCTCAATTGCGATGTGAAGTGAGAAACTTGAAGAGGATGGAGCGAAAAGTTCGACGGTTTATCAGCAAACGCCGGATCAAACGGGGATGTAAAGGGACCTTCGTCAAATAGTGGTGTGACGCTGTCAGACGAAGTCGGTCTCGGATAATTGGCTTGGCCGACGACAATTCGAAGGCAGCAAGAAATAACGCGATCGTAATTGGCGCTTGGGACTGTCCAAGGCTCTGAAGGATGCTTGGCAGCATTGTGCTTACGCACATTCCAGGGGCACCATTCCGAAAGACTATTGATGGCGGTGGTCAGTGACTTAGCTTATGACTATGTCACAAATGTACTAGGTATTGTTGACTATGTCCTGAAGACCCAGTATGTACCCAGCAGCCAGGTCGAGTAGAGCTCCTGTAGTGTTGCAAAACATACGGGTGATATCGACATTACTGTTTGGAAGAACGGACTTGACAAGGGACAGGTAGAAAACCGAATGAGGTGCAAGCAAAGCATAGTAGGCTTTGGTGAAAAAACCTCGTCCGCGGCGAATACGACGTCATGAAGATCGAGAAACCAGTATTTCTTGGTTTCTGGACCGGCTGCTCACGTTCCTAGCCATGCTGCATTTTATCGCGAATGGCCTTTCCCAGCGATTAATTTAGATGTGCAAAGTCTAGCTGAGCGGTCGGAGATTAAACCTTGGCTCGGCATTGCCATGTGGAAAACACAATTACATTAATTCCACACGATCTTAAACTGTAACAAATTTTCTCAGGTATTTGAAATCAAACAGCCTATTTCTCTCGTGATAAAGCGATTACTTCTCCTGTGGTTGTAAGATACCTACTTTATGTCATCAATATTATGGTTGTTGTCGTCGTTGCCATTGCTTCAATCGTCGTCGCTTCTAATATCGTCGCTATCGTTATTGTTGTTATCGTCGTCGTCGTCGTCGTCGTCCTCCTTCTTCCCTTGTCACTTTCCTTCTCGTAGTTTGCCGCCTCTGGGCACACTTTGTGACTGCCGCATGACCCTGAAGGGTAGATATTTGAGGGCCAGGAAATCCTAGGACAGAGAAACCTTTATAGACACCTATGGGGTAAATAAAGCAGGTGAGAGTCGCTAGTGGGCAGCTCTTTTTTCACACCGCCACAACCAATTACTCCCTTCAACATCACGATGACGAGTATTCAGCATCTGCCCGGCGAGATTATCTGCTTGATTGCAGAGTTTGTTTTCTTTCCCGACACCGGCAGTCGGTACGACGATGGGATCACTGTGAGAAGTGAGTATCGCGTTGACAGTACATTTGACCACTGGCAAGATATTGTCAACATGTCACAGACTTGCAGGAACCTCCACAAGCATGTTCAACCTCTCCTTTACAAGTGGGACAATCTTTACAATCACTCCTCAGCCTTACTGCTGTCGACCAAGAGGGGCAACTTGGCCGGCGTTCTGAGATCGCTGCAGTATGGCGCCAACATTGAGACACCAGACCATACTCAACGCCAGAACGTTGAACAGCCGTTGAGAAGGGAGTACAAATATGGCGTTTCATCCTCGTCTGTGGCGCTGCATTGGGCCGCGTTTGGTGGTAACATTGAGACTGTGGACGCCCTGCTCAGTCACGGCGCCAATGCCAACGCCCGCTGCACGCTGAGCACCAGAACAACTGACGGTGCAAAGGTAGATTTTGGGCACAGTCAGTTCGAACTCTTTTCATACTGTATATCGGACATGTATTGGCTTTCTGGAACATATGCACGTCGACGCCTTGCGAGATCACTTGGCGTGAACGCTCTCTTCTTCGCCTTGAAGTCTTCTCTGCCTGGCAAGGACCCTGCGGCCTCTTCGGCGAACAGACTTGTTCTCTGCAGAAACTTGATAGAATCTGGATCATCTCTGGTGGTCCGCACGTATGACGGGCTCCACGCCCTCCATGTAGCAGCTGTCTGTGGACTGGAAGACATCACAGACTATCTACTTACAGAGGGGCATTGCGATCCCAACGTAACGGATGACGAAGGGGACACCGCATTGCATTATATAGGCCAAAAGTGGTCGCAATCCGTGCCTGAGGCTGTCATCCAACGACTGCAAAAAAATGGGGCAGACATGAACGCCCTAAATAGGGAAGACATGACTCCCTTAGACCTGGCTGTTCGCCACGACTTTTCTGGCACTTCTGTGCGTCTACTCAGGCACGGGGCACAATGGCGTCAAAAGACGATCGACTACTACTACAGCGACGACGCCGAACGTTATTTTCGGCACGACGTCGAAGCTCATGGGTTGGCACCACCCAATGTGGAGGGCTACGAATTTGACGTACCCGAATCATAGTGGTTAGCATACTGTTTAGACGACGACAACGAAAACAATAGAGATTGTATTTAACCGGGCTTCTGACCATACACAACATATCTAAGATCCATCAGGCATATGATACACTCAAATCTGAATTGCAAAACTCACATTGGCCACCATCCATGTATCGACTTGTCCCTCATATCTTTCCTCGCCTCCGCCAGGAACACTTCGAGCTGTGCTGGCGACCAGCCGAGTGCTCTCGTAAATAATGCTAGGCTCAATCCCGAAAGGCCGTTTCCAAGGTTCTCATATGTCCACATACCTGACCCGATGTTAGTCTTTCTTCCCTTCTAACTTTTTTCTTCGCGCGAGCCAGATCTCTTTTCTTTTTAGAAGCCTGATACCTAGCTCTTTATACTTTGGGTCTTTCGGCCACGGGTTCGACGGCCATTTGTAGATCTCTTGCTTAATGTTCTTGAATCCGGCTGCGGCAAGCTGTTCTCTGTAAAACTTGCAACTATCGAGCGGCCTCTTCCAAACCGCCGCTGCCTCGAGCATGTGCGTCGCCCATTTCTGAGCGGCGCATGCGGGTGTTACGGTGCCGTCGTCACTTTTCAGATCGAGTAGGATATCTGACAGCTCCAACCAACCACCCGGCTCAAGAGACCTGGGGCGCGTCAGCCACACGAGGAACCCGCCATTCGCGGGAGAACGCACTCGAAGCTTTGTCGTATAAACCTTGGCCAGTCGGCGATCGAGCCTGTTAGCATTCTGCCGTAAATGAAGTCGAATTTGTAAGAGTACGTCCATTCGTCTTCCAGGTCATCGACGTAGAATGTAACATTCGGTGGAACACTGTTGTTTTGGCGTCATACATGCATTAGCTCCTGCGACGCTAGCAGATTGGCTATGCAGTCATCAATACTGACAATACTGGCTGGATCGGACTCAAGTCTACGCCGGTAATCTATCTCCCGTAAGCCACATGCAAATCACCCCAACCCCCCTTGCGTGGGAAGCTGAACACAGCATGAACTCACAAGAGTCTCTGGATGCTCATCGGCTGCAGTCAAACCCAGCGCAAGCCACAAAAAGTCAGCACTCAACATCCGGGAAATAAAAAAGCCAAGCCCCCCAGCCAGAGAACGAAGGAAGTTGGAAGCGAATTGAAGGAAGCGAAGTGAAGTGGGCCCAGGGCGAAAGACAGAGAGAGCGTGGCTGAGTGCCCATTTTTCGTACCAAGGTCCATGGCCCATATCCCCGTCCCCGTTCCTGCATCTAGTACCCGGCGGAGCGGCTTGTCCCGGCCGGCCGGACACGTAAACAACTGGTTATCAAACGTGAGGGTGTACAAGTGGTGTTGGAGGTCTGTTTTTCCCTCACACACGTATGAAAGCGTCAGCGCTAACTCCAAAATGTCTAACAATCTCGCGATCGGCTTTTTCCCGCCAAGGGGTCTGGCTGACCTAGTCTGTCGTTTTCAACCTGACTCGGGCGTCAACGGGCAATTATTCTTCTCTCGGGTTCCGTGGCCTCGGCTCCCTTCGCTTGGAACAGAATTGTGGCTACTTACCGCGTCGTTGGGTAAGACATATCCTGGAAATTGGGAAGGGGGGCCCCGTCAGTTTTGGCACAATTTTCGGCAGATGGGATATGAAGGGTTATGATAGATGAATACGAATAACTCACTGCCTTCTCGGAATGAGTGATAGGTCCTCCCGTTCTCTTCGCGATATCGCATGATGCTGCTGGTCATTGACATTGAAGACCCAAGCACAGACTCCAAAACAAGAAAACCGAATGTCAGTATCCGAATGTCCGAGTAGACACGTAATTCGATTGAGAGAGGGGTCGGGCGGGCGGCAAAGTCCTCACCTCCCCCATGGCGGAATCTGCATCGCCGCCGTCATTTTCATCATCACCAACCTGCCCCCAAAAGTGATCAGCCCAGAAGTTGACCAAAAAAAGCCACGCATAGGGTGGTGGGGAAGCCCAACAGCGACATCTTCCATACTCACATCCGCCTCCAAAGGCGCCGTGGCGGCCGCCGCTGGTGCTGCCGGATGCACACCCGCACCCGCGCCCGCATCCGACCCCGCCGCCCCCGAACTCGCCATCACTCAACTCTCGGCAGAAGAAAACAGGAAAACGACAGAAAAACTGGAAGAACGAGATGATTGCCCGATGACCTGATGATCCAACGGCGAGTTGATTAGTCGTACGTGGGAGTCGAAGAGAGAAACAAAAAGAGGTGCATGCGCGGGAATAAGAAAACGGGGGACGATGACAAGAAACGATCGCAGAGACACTATCGCCTAATCGTCGTTGCTTTTTGGGGACTTTTTTGGAACTTTTTTGGAGGGCGGATTTGGTCTTGGACCTCGGCGAAGGGGTGGTGGTGCCCACGCGGATGCTCAGGCATAACCAAGACACACGGCTTCAGCCCAATAAAGCGCCCGGGCATTCGGGCAACTGCAGCGTGTGAGTGTGTGAGTGTGTCTGTTTCCGCGGGGAGACCAACGGACCCCAATGACTGAACGGGGTAAAGAAGAAGCAAGAATCAGGAAAAAGTGTGTCTGCTCTCAAACGTCCTGTCGCCCGTCGATCAGAGTTCAAACCGCCCCTGGGGGCCGTTGGTGGCCGCAGCGCCCTCCATCATTGTCCATCATACATCACCGATTGTGCATCCAACACCAGAAGAGAGAGATGGCCCGAGTTTTTCCCTCCGTCGGGTCCTCCCCGAACACCCAGAAAAACAGGCCGTGTCCTTCTTCCATGGCCGCCCCCCTCCCCGCTCCGCCGCGCCGCGGTCCGGCAGGTGTCAACTTGCATCATCACACACTAAGCCGGGGAGCTACAAGGCAAGCAGCCGTCAAAAAGGCAGTGTGCCCCCCACAAAGCGGTTGTGTGAGTGGCGTAATTGAGCATCCATGGGGTCCATGACAGGAGTCAACCGGTGTGCTGGCGCTGTCCGCCCGCCCCCGACGACCCCCGAAGACATGGCTTCGTAAGGTTTGTAGAGTGCGGTAATCTGCAGAGACCCGTTGAGTAAGAGGACTTCGGTTTGCTGTTTATGGACCTTTGGACGTTTTGCGAACCGGGCGTCCATATGCGAAATAAGCAAGGCGGCAGTGGGAACCATTGGCCCATATCCACCTCGCCGATGTGCCGTTGCGGGTAGCCGCATGGACCCAGGATGGCCCCCCTTTGCGACCCAGTCGTCGCCCCCTACCTGATCTTCCTCCTGTCTAAGGTCTTGTGCGTCTGTCTCTGTGTGGACGGTGTGGTTTGTGTGTGTGTCCACGACGACGATATGAGGCCCATCACAGACATTGCACACAGATGAACGCATGTCACTGGAAGGGGCGAGAGAGGGTCTGGACTCCAACGTATCAGGTTGGCTGCAGCTGGCTGTGAAGAAAAAACAAACAAACCACACACCATCATGATCCATACACCACCAGACACACACATACACCACCACCTCCACTCAACACACGCACGCGGCAGCACATCACCGCCGCCAAAAGGCTGGGCACGCAAAGCAAGCTTACCTGCATCCATCGTGGCGGCCAGATAGCGCGGAAGATGAAGTGACATTGTGCTCTGACGTTGAGGTGTGATGGGGGCAGCGCAGCAGCGGCTGGCCACAGAGTCCATGTCCAGAAAAAATTCACGATGGCAACCCGGAATCTTGCACCAAGTCACCCGCCGTGAAGCACGGACAGCTGAACCCCTATCAATCCCTCCCTTCCCCCCCGTCCTCATGGATCTTTTAAAATGATCTGCCCGTATTGCTGGTTTCGACGAACTGGAGCCCTGGTGTTTTGGTGTCTCATATGCCGAATTTAACCTTCTTATCCTTTCCAAGGTTTCTTCATATACCGACCGTCTCGTCCCAGACTATTGTTTCCTCCCTCGTCGATTTTTGTTGCCTACCACCCCCCGTTTCCCAGGTCTTCCCAGTAGCGCGGGAACACGGACGCGACCATCCAAACGAAACGCTCAGTCTTTTTTGTTATCTTATTTTTTTCCTGTGTTGATCATTCCCTCCTTTCCGTCTTTTTTGTCCCTTTTTTTTTTTTTTTTTTTTTTTTTCCCCTCTTCCCCTTCTCTTACACAATGCACAACATGAATCAAACTGTCGAGTTCGTGCACGCTGCCATGAGTAGTGTCGATGCTAGTCGTCCGAACGAACAGGAGCCGCTGCTGCGCCACAGCCTGGCCAGCTATGCGACCGTCGCATTCTCGATCTTGGTCTTGTACGCCGTGACGTCTGTCGTCCGCCAGTATGCGCGTCTGCGGCACGTACAGGGCCCGCCCGGCGCGGGGTTCTCAAAGTGGTGGCTCGTCCGGACCGTGTACGGCGGCCGCCAGCATCTCGACTTTTACGATGCGTTCCTCAAGTACGGTATGTGTAACGTTGCTCAAACGATCCAGCAGACGTCCTGTGTTGTGTGTAACAGAAGCAAAGAGAGAGGTGTGTTTGCTGACTTGCCTGTCTTTTGATAGGATCGCTTGTGCGGGTTGGGCCGAATGATCTCATGACCAGCGACCCGGAGCTGTGGAAGCGCATGTTGGGCGTGCGCACGACTTACAAGCGGTCGAGATGGTACGACGCCATGAGGCTTGACCCCGGCAAGGACAACGTCTTGTCTGTGAGGGACAATGAGTTGCACTCCAAGCTGAGGGCGCAGATGGCTGCCGGTGTAAGTGATGTCGCATCCGCGGAATGTGGTTGGAGAGACCTGTTGGGCTAATTCCCGGTTCAGTACTCCGGAAAGGAAGTCGACAACTTCGAGTCCAAGATCAACGAGAACATCCTGCGCTTCATGGACCTCATCGACAAGTACGTGTCGGAGAACACGCCCTTCGACTTTGGCCTCAAGGCCCAGTACTTCACCCTCGACGTCATCTCCGACCTGGCCTTTGGCGAACCCTTCGGAGATTTGGCGAGCGACTCGGATGTGCACGAGTACATCCACACCATGGAGCATAACATGCCCAACGTGGTGTTGACCGCCGTCCTGCCTTGGTTGTTGTCGCTTATGTCGTCGCCGCTCTTCAGGAGCATGTTGCCCTCTGAGAAGGACGCTATTGGTGTTGGCAAGACTATTGGGTGAGTTCCCAAGAACCTGTTTAGTGCATCAGCACGTGGCCATAATATGGTTACGATGAAGTGATAGCGGCTGACCATGGACAGAATTGCCAAAAAGGTTGTCGCCGAGCGATTCGGACCAGAAAAGAAGACGCAGAGAGACATGCTCGGCTCCTTCATCGCCCACGGTCTCAGCCAAGAAGAAGCTTCCTCAGAGATCCTCATGCAGATGTAAGCCCATGCCCGCCGCCCAACGCCAGATTATATGAAATACTCACAATCGTCTCGTTCAGTCTCGCCGGCTCCGACACAACAGCGACCGCCATCCGCGGCACCTTCCTGCACCTCATCACCAGCCCCAGCGTCGTCGCCACCCTGCGCGCCGAGATCGAAGCCACCAAGCCCTCGCTGCCCATCATCACCGAATCCGAGGCCCGCGAGATGCCCTACCTGGCCGCCGTCATCAAGGAAGGCCTGCGCATCTTCCCGCCCGTCGTCGGCCAGATGTCCAAGGAGGTGCCCAAGGGCGGCGACACGTGGAAGGGCGTGTACCTGCCGGAGGGCACGCGGATCGGGTACGGCGCGTGGGGCATGTTTCACCGGACCGATGTGTGGGGCCCCGATGCCCTCGAGTTCCGGCCCGAGCGCTGGCTGGAGGCGGACCCGGACCGGTTGAAGCAGATGGAGGGCACCCTGGAGCTGGTGTTTGGGTACGGCAAGTGGAAGTGCCTGGGCCGCGACGTGGCTTTGATGGAGTTGAGGAAGATCTTTGTCGAGGTAAGCCCCCCCGATAAGCTAAAGGAAGGCGGGTTGACTAACTTTTGGACTTGCAGCTTCTGAGGAGATACGACTGGAAGCTGGTCGACCCGACCAACCCGTGGAACTCCCGCAACTACGGCATCTTCGTCCAGAACGAGTTCTGGCTTAGAGGGTACAAGCGCGATTTTCAGACGGAAGAGCAGTAGCGCTGGCCAGCCAGCTGGAGAACGGACGGAGGCTTTGTGTGTAAATTGTATCCGGTTTTGGGGAAGCAGGTGTTTTGGTAGACGGACTGGGCAGGTACCGCGGTACGGGGACTGACGATGATTATGACTGTAGCTATCAGCGGTTAATTTGTTAATGAGCAAGCGTAGAATTTTGACTGAAAAGTTGCTCGCGCGCGAGTCACGAGTCACGACTGTGGGTTGTTCGTGAGACCATCATGCATGTTGTGCGTTTCGTCAACAACGGCCCCCATTTCCGGAGTCGTCGGCAAGGGAATGGTTGTGAGTGCAAAGTGAGCCATCTTTCCTGGGACGATTCATGGAAGGAAATGGTCACCTGGCTGTTGGACTATTAAGAATGTTAAACATTACGACACCGGGAAGTGGGCTTGGCTTCGGTAAGTATGGAGCATCTCAGGAAGGCGTCGTCGGCTCGCTCCCTTTGACGAGAAAGTCGTGATTTCAAGTCATGTGAGTCGTTATCGCTGATGTTTTGCCGTCAGGCTGAACCCGCGGGTTCGGAAGCGAGCGGCGTCGTGCAGAATCAAGAAACACAAACCTGCCTTAGTCTCCTCCACATCGCCCAGATGATGTCTCTACACCCTCGCACATTAGAGGGGCCCGAATGTCCGCCCGCATCGTACCTTTCGCGTCCCAGAATCTGACGAGGCTGCCTTGGCAACAGCCACCGAGTTGCATCTCCCCCACACCCACCGTTCTGGCAACACCACCCCGTCATGTCTCGGGATTTCCAGAGACCAGGAAAACTTGACGCAAGCGAGGAAGAGAGAGAGGAAAGGCAACCAAGCTCTTGCTTGCATTGCGGCGTGGAATTGGCGACCCAAGATTTGCAAGGATGACTGGTCCGGGGAAAAGCTGACGAGTGACGAAGGGATGGATGGACCTGGATCCCAGGGGGTAAGCAGACCTCGTCCACGTTGCGAGTGGATTTATTTTCTGGCTCACGATGGAGTCCAATTCTTTTTCCGCGTGCTCGCGCGCTCAGACATGATCGTTTTGCGCATTGACCGCAGCTTCAACATCTCATCTGACCGACATCGGCTGCCTCGGCTCCTCCTTGACGATGTCTTGGTCTGATTCGGGTAGGAGAAAGCGCCCATCATCTAGAGCCTTGATCGCGAATCTGGTATGAAGCCTTGATCTTGCGTGCATATCAAGTCTGAAGTCGCCTGCCCCCAGCCGCGCTAGACGACTCAGGACCTGGCCAGTTCGCGCCTACCGGCTGCAAATAGGTGCCGGCTGATTTTTGCTTACACGCAGGCTGCAGGAACATCGCCCAACAACGGACAAGATCCGCGGGCGCACGACAGAAATGCGATACAGCAAGGCGTTGCCAAGTTTTCAGCCGGTGGGCAGGTCCCAAGCAGGCCGAGGTGACAGCGGCAGGCACTTCAGACGAACTCAACCCCATCAAAAACGCCACGTGTGTGGGGAAGAGAGAGACCTGATAACCAAGCATCATACATTCCATTCCGCAGCGGAAAGCGAAGGCGAGGGGGAGATGAACAATTGGTCTGGATCTGGACTAAAACGCCCCATTCTCAGGCGAATCGGGTGAGGCATTGGTAATCCCAAACACTGGTTCGTCGCCCTATTCGTAGGATGCTAGAGGGGGGAAGAAGATAGAGCCAGGCGGGCGGCGCGGACAAGGCGCAGTGCGGTGCGTGGCTTGCGATGCTTGAATCATAAACGTGGTTGCCGCGCCCCTGCAACAACGCCAATTCAGGGCAACACAGGCGGGTTATCGTGAGATTCCCAGGCTCGCGCTGGAGGCTGGTGCTACCCTAAAGGCCCTTTGGAGACACTGGGAGAGGGGTGTAGCGCGAGCGACCCCTGCCGGCGATGCGACTCTAAACCACAAAATCATCGTGGATCAATCTATTTGACTTTTGTTAAATTCCCTATTCGGGGCATGGTCTGACTAGCTGATGGAGAGACAAGTGGGTTTCCCGCGATGCACGGTTCGCAACTGACACATGTCGGACGGCGGACCGTCCCTGAAGTATGTTCACTCCTTGTTTGTGTGAGCGTCTGTATTGTGTGTGTATTGCGAGGAACCCAATACCGTGCTTCAAACCCAGTGTGTATTTTGTCTGGGCAACTCCTCCTTTTCTTGTTCCTGCTGGAACTCCCCTTTTTCCTCAATTTACTTTTCTACTGTGCGTTTGCGGCACGGTCATCTCAGTTCGAAATGTCGACGAACGTCTCGTTGGCTCGGGACGCCGAGAACAGAGGGCCTGCGGCCCTCGCGGTCGTCATATGCGTCTCGGTTGTCAGCACGCTGTTCGCGGCCGCGAGAATATTCACGAGGGGAAGGATCATGGGGAAAGTCCGTTTGGACGACTACCTGATTCTTGCGTCGGTGGTAAGTTCACGTTCCCAGGATGATGTCGTCAGCTCGACGGCTTGGATTATCCGCCAAGGCTTAGATTGCACTTGGAAAACTTAATGTTGCTTGTCACTGCTGGTCCTCACTCAAGGATCGTCGGTCGATGCACGTAATGATTGGCGTGGCTGACAAACGATAATCACAGGTTTGTGGTTGGATGAACGTCGCAACCCTCGCTGCAGCGGTATCGTACGGCTACGGACACCACGTCGACACCCTCACGCCCGAACAAAAGTCGGGCGCCATTCTGTGGAGTGTCGCCGGCTACCCACCCGGTCTTCTCTCATTCGGCCTGCCGAAGCCCGCCGTCGTCGTCTTGCTCACCCGCATCCTCAACCCCAGCAAATGGCACAAGAGGTTCCTGTGGTTCTTGGGCATCTTTTGTGTGACCAACCTGATTGGCTTCATCACCATCATCTTCGCGCAATGTCAGCCGGCACGGTTTCAGTGGGACTCCTCCGTGGGCGGAACATGCTGGGACAAGTCGGTGTTGGTGGCCTTCGCTACTTACTCTGGAGGTGGGTTGTGGTCATCACCGGTTGGAACAATAGTCGTACTAACTTGAGTAGCCTTCTGCGCTTTCGCGGATGTATACCTCTCCATCTATCCGGCGGTCGTTCTTTCTAAGCTACAGATGGATGTTAGGAAGAAGGTGGCGCTTAGCATTGCCCTTGGCTTTGGATCACTGTAAGTCGCATCAACCGTGGTCACTCCAGAACCCGTAGCCGCTGGTGCTAAAACTCACACAGTTCATCGATCGTTGTCATCTACAAATGCACAAGGTTACCGCTGCTTGCTAGCTCCGATCCTACTTGTAAGTCTTTCTCTGTCTATCAGTTTTGTAATGTAACTAACACTTCCTCAAGACGATACCGTTGAACTCGTAATTTGGACAATGTAAGTTCAAGATCCCTACCCCCACTCATTCTATCACTAACAACCCCTTTACAGCCTTGAAGGCAGCGTCATCATCATCGCAGCCTGCGTCCCCGTCCTCCAACCCCTCGCCGAGCTCGCCTTTGGCAAGCGCATCTTCTCTTCCGGCAGCCGTCGCTACACGCACCAAAACTCGGGACCCGGAACCGTCGGCAGACTGAGATCGAGCATGAGGGCCTTCAGCCGTCAGACGACCGACAAGACGCAGAGCGAGAGCGGATCAAAGAGCTTCAAGAGCGTGGTGCAGACGACCATTGTCACCAAGGGGAGCCAGGAGAGCATACTGGAGAAGTACGACTCGGACGGGAAGATTGTGAGGACCGATGCCTTCACTGTCACTGTAGAGTCAAGTAAGGATTAGTATGCAGGTGTTTGATATGGCTCAGAGAATGTGAACACCTACGCGTCTGCGTGAGCATCTTTAGGAATAGCATTATCTTATTATCGTCTTGTTTTCGATTTGAAAATTTTACAAACGCAACGGTTTCTCACTCTGATGTAAGCAAGGGGTTTGGGTTCAAAGGAAAAGACCTGCCACAACCTTTTGCTCATGGTATGAGCATTCTAACTTGGGTTGAGATGCTTTCGAAATTTTTAGTGACTTCGGATTGGAGCATGAAAAGATACTTCGACTTTCCACTTTCAGTCAAGTCATTTGATGCCGACTTGCATTGTCGCTTAGTGGCACAGCATTGCCCGACGTTGGCGGTGGATGGATGGCTACAGTATTTTGCAGCACTGGTCCAGGCTCAAAGCATGCAGGTTTACGTAGTTCTTGTACACACATCCCTTTCAAATATCAAGCACCCGCGTTCGAAAGCCAGTCAATTTTGGTCTAACACAGAGCCTGTCGCGAGCACGTCAAGGTAGACGAAAATGAACTTCCATATTGTGGTTTCTCATGCATCATTGCTTCATAATAGGTCGTATGCCTGCTTCCATCTCGCATACGCTAGGGGAAATCCAAGCCAGATTTGGGATTGAGCAAGACAATGGAAAGTTTCTGACCACCCACTTACGCATTCGCCGATTAATTGAGAGCAAAAAGTAGAATAACGTAGCATTGATGTTTCAATTGAGCCGATAGCCCCCAAACACTCCCTTTCAATCAGCTGACACTCCAGGTCTCTGTAGCCCAAAGTCCGCATCTGGGAGCAAACGTCGGATTCAAATATAAATATTTGGGTCGAGCTCCTGTTTTTCCCCGTCGTACACGCCTAGCATGCTTGCATTGCCTCAATTCTCGTGCTGCAAAATCTTCGAGCAAAGGTTGGTTGAAGTTGAACCTCGATCTCAGTCAGCCTCCGATCCATCGCTTTCACGATGAAGCCTGCCGCCATCTTCCAGCTTATTACCATTGGTTCATCAGTGGCTTTCGTCAGCTGTGCACCGTTGGGAAATGAGGTATCCAGGTGCCCAGAGTGCTATTGGAAGGGTGTGCCGGAAACAGGCGACTCAACTCCTGTTACCGTATGAAGAATATGTAAGGAAGATTCTTCAAAGCGTATTACCCTACTATCATGTATGCCAACGGCTTACATGTTGCTCAGGCTAGTGAAAGCGACGCTGCTTCGACTAGCTCGGGGGGATCACAACACTCTAGAGATGCCCCTGGGCCATAGAAACTCCGATGATTCAGCTCTAGGAAATAGGCCGAGACATTGCCCTAGTGCCTGCAATGGCTATGCGATTATTATTTAGTCACAAATATACGATGACACGTATGGCTTGTCCAATTCAACTCACAAAATATCTCAAATGATACGCAAAGCTTTTCTCTGTCGCAATGATGCATGTCGTAGAAGGTCCAGGCATATTATTCCACCGCTACACGGCATGGACCGATATTAGCGATGGATGAGACGCTAGAGAATGACTTCGCACTTATTTTAACTCACAGCCTTGGGGTTTTCGTGTTTGGCCTGTACACATTCTCCTTCCATTCGCAAAGCTGAACAAATCTGGATGCCTAGTCCAGTCAGCTTTGGGGTTGAGCAAGGTTGCGCAAGCCTCTCTGACCACCAACTCACCCATACTTCAACCAATCATGAACAACGGCTGGGAAAACATCGCCTTCATGTCTCAATTGTTCACAGCCCCGGGGTAGGTTTGAAGACTAACAACTTTGTCTCCTTGGCCCACAGTCTTCATTGAACAACATGCTGGAGCGCTGTAGTAGATTAGACTATAAAAGCCTGAACAAGGTCCCTGATTTATGTTGCTCTCTCTATCAATCGCACGCTTTTTGATAGACTTACATTGCGCCGAAACTCGATCTTATCCAGCTCCAGTCTTATCAATCCAACAATGAAGCCAACCGCTGTCATCCAGCTCATTGTCGCTGCTTCAGCCGTAACGCACGTCAGCTGTGTCCCATGGAAACAGACCTCGTTCCCTCGTGACGAACGGTCTGCACTTGCCGGGACTGAGGGGGGCGAACCTGACCTAGCCCCTCGCTGGAGATGGCGCAGAGATTTTGATGAGTTATGGGGACGATGGCTTAACTTCACACTGGCGGCCGTGACTCCTGTCACCGAGCAAAGTCAATGTGAGTGAGACAATATTCCGTGTGCAAATCCTAGAATCACGCCGACTATGCTAACGGGCTTACCTGCAGCTGCCCCACGCGACAAAAGTGGCGCGGCTTCGGGCATTCCAGTAGGGACTCAACCACCCGAAATATCCCAAGCCATGCAAACTGCCACAACAGATCGTCGCTTCCTAGCCATGCGAACTGCCACAATAGATTAGCGGTCTAGCGTTGCCCCAAAGGTTGCAGGAGCACCGGTGCCGGGTCGGGGTTTACTGGCGCTTGCAGATGTTAAAGGAGTAAAGAAAGAACTCGGAGAAGAAGTACACCAACAAATGTGACTGGCTACGTCGCTCATTAACGATTCAACCCATTGATTTTCAAATTGGGAAGGCTTTATTCTCAGGAAGAATTACCCATGTACGTTGGCATGCACGACTGTTGACATACCATTTACCATACGCCTTCATTCGTTTAAATCATGCACCAGACAATAGCAAATATACGATGCGTCAAAATTGGCAGTGCCAATTTTTTTCCTCGACTGCAAGGTGCAAATGACACTGATTTCAAGTGAACATTTCGATCTATCCTCCCAAAGCATCCTGCGTAAGCTCTACAAGCGGGCATTCATGAGGACACGGCCCCACATCGGTACCGGGGTTTCCGAAGTCTCCTGTGGTGGGGACCCCGGGGTCCGGTCGGGTGACCGAGTGGGTTATTCCCGAGACCGCCACCAGTTCGCCACCCGTCAAGTCTTGCAGTGATAATCCATTGTCCATTCATGCTGAGTCAGGCGCGCTTTACCTCCTCTCTCAGTAAACCGGTCGTATGGGATGACGCTTGGCGGGGTACATGCCGAGTCAATGTGGGGTCCGGCTGTTGACTCGCAGTTCTGGGCTGCGGATGCGCTGGGCATCACTTACCGCATCGTGAACTGGACTGTCATGTGTGTGTTTTTGTATATATAAATCGATGCCGCGGTTTCTGGAAATAAAATAACTCGATCAACTCATCAAGAACTCCACAGCCTTTGAAGACACTGAATTTTAATCAGAACGATTTTGAATCACTGACCTTAGCGCAGCCTACACGCAACTATGTCAACTACGTACGAGACAACTCAACCTTCGCTTACAGCTTGACTTCGTGAAATCTAATCATTCAACCAGACCCGAAACCCAGTTCTTGGAACTTTCCAAAACCGAAGGTTCCGTTAAAGAGGCCGATGTCGCCGCCGTGTTTGATCAACTCAAGCCTGTCTCCCCAAACCACCTGATCGGCCAGTGGGAAGGAGGAAGTTTTGATACTGGCCACCCGACGCATCAACAGCTTCGCACCTTCAAGTGGGCGGGAAAAGACTTTCGCTCCGTGGACGACGTTGACCCCATCATGGTGTATGGTGATGAGGGCAAGCGTACCTGGTTGTCAGACTACGGCCATGCTCGGGTGAGTAAACACGCAAGTGATCGTATCTTGATATTTGGTTAACATCGCGCTAGATTCGAGAAGTAAAGTACCGCGGCGTCGTTACGGCTGCCATGGTGTATGACAAGTTCCCAATCATCGACGCTTTCCGTTATGTGGATGAGAATACTGTCATCGGGGCGATGGATACCAAAGATCTGAAGGATGCTGGGACGTATTACTTTTATCTCAAGAGGAGACCAGATAGCAAGGCCTAACATCTCTGAGTTTCAAACTAGCCGTCGCTGTACTTACCTAGTAATGATACATTCACTTCGCTCTTCTCAACGATCCGCCCTTTGGATGTCCTAGTGTGAATAGTGTAAAAACTTCAGGCCATGTTCATTGCCACAACTCAAGTAGACAAGCCACAAAAAGACCCGTCCTGTCGAGGCCCCCCCGGACTTCGTATCCCTCCGTGTCCCCGCTTCAATGCACATGCACAGACGGCTCAGCCCGCCCCCGCGTCCGCCAGCATTTTCCCCGCATTTCGGCGCGAACCCACCCTCCAACCACGTATGACGTTCGATCCATCTACCCGAGAACTCTTTTGCATAACAAACCTATGTCCTCTCCACCCCGATTCCTCCCCATTATCCAACTACCAGCAAAGCCCTACAGCAAATTCTCCGAGAACCATGGCCAGCACCCCGGGAACCGCCCCGACCCCCGACGTCCGCCACCACGGCCCCGGCTCTTCGGCCACGGTCTCCTCCTCACGGCTCAAGAAGAGGGAGGCCGACCGCAAGGCGCAGCGCATCGCGCGCGAAAAGACGAAGAACCGTATCGCGCACCTCGAGGGCCTGGTCGCGGAGCTGAGCCGCAAGGAGGACAACGCGACGACGGTGGCGCTGATGACGCAGCTGGCGAGGGTCACGGAGCAGAGAAACAGGCTGATGAGCTGCATGGAGGGGGCGTCGGCTTCGTTTGTAAGGCATCTGGTGGAGGTGAAGGAGAGTGAAGACGGGAAGTGGGATGGGGTAGGTGGTGATGGTGTGAGCTTGTTGGAGCCGTCGAGCATGGAGTACTTGAGCACGCCTGCTGCGATTCCCATCCCGACGACGCCCCAGGATCATATCGACGAAAGGCAAACTCATAATATCGAGAAAGATGTGAACAGCCTCGTGGACGCCTCCGCACTCGACGTCAGCAACTTCTGGATCGACGAGTCCTTTCCAATGGAGCTGCCAACAGCACCCTCAATACCCAAAGTCCCATCACCAGCTCCTCCACCAGCCGCCCCCTCTACGATCAAATTCTCAGTCAAGTCAGAATGCAGCTGTACCTCAACCTCCCGCACGCGCCGCCTCTCTGACGGCTCCCTTGTCTCCCACAACTGCTGGAAAGCCGGCAACGAGATCCTCAAGGAGCCTTTTCCCCTGACCAAGGCGATGCTTGAGCTGGAGTACCAGGTCAGCGAGGACATCCCCGTCCACGCGGTCCTCCACGGCTGGGACAGCCTGTCCCAGACGGGGCGGATGACGCCGCTGTGGAACAAGGTGCGGCAGCTCGACGAGCTCTGCTTCGCAGGGTGCGGGCCGCCAGAGCGGCTGGCCGTGCTGTTCATGATTCACCTCCTGATGCGGGCTTACACGGATCCGACGCCGGCGAAGAGCGAGGTCGTGCCGCGATGGTATCTCAAGTCGTAAGTCTCTCCCGAGCTTTGTTCCTCTGCTCTCACTGACTGCTAGCAAGACAACTCCAACAACTATCCCCCGAGCACGACCCCTCGGCGGACTACTTCACCTGGCCCGCGCTGCGCTACCGCTTCGCCACGACGCCGCACCCGTACTGCCACAACAACACCTTCTGGCACATGTTCCGCGAGCACCTGCGCATCGCGTGGCCGTTCGACTTCCGCGACTGCTACGTGCGCAACGTGCACCGCGGCACGTACGCCCTCTCACCGCTGTTCAAAGACCGCCTGCGCGATCTACGCGCGTGGACGATGGAGCCGGATTTCTTTGCGCAGTACCCCGAGCTCAGGCAGGATGTGCCGCAGTACCCTGGGCAGCCGTCGCCAGGGCCGCTGCATGTATCGCCGCCTGGAGGGGTTGGGGCGTTGATGCAAGGTGATGTGCCGGCTGGGGAGAAGGGCGAAGAGGGTGGGAAAGGTGGAGGGGCACGGGATGACGAGGATGAGGGGGAGATGTTCATGGGTGATCTTGGGATCGAGACGAATCCTGAGTTTCTGTTCTTTCAGGATGCGTTTCTGAATGGGAGCACGGCGAAGGAGTACGGGGTACAGCTGAGCAGGCATAAAGACATTTCGTGTATATCACTTTAGTATGTACACACCAGATACCAGATACACATTGATGTTTATGTTCTTCACCTGGTGAGACTTGAACTATGTAGTGTACCTAGAAAGCACAAGAGCGTGACGAACCACACGACTCTCACCTCAATACCGCCATCACCTCTTCACAAAGACCCCAAACCATACTCCTCCTTAATCACATCCGCAACCTTCTCTGCGCTTGCATAAGTCGTCGCCGTAGGCCCGGCCGTCAACAACATCGGCCAGTAACTAATATCCACAACCCTCAACCCCCCCACCCCATACACCCTCATCTTCGGATCCACAACGCCCCCGCGTTCCCTCGGCATCATCGCCGCCGTACAGCACTCATGCGCATTAGACGGGGTCATATTAGCCCTCAACAACGCTTTCAACTCCTCCCGGTCCGTGACGCCCCCAAACGGCGCACCCGCCGCCGGACCGAGCACCTGCATCGCCGGCGCAGTCATCACCTCCCTCGACTTCTCAAACAGCGCAATCGCAAGGTCGAAATCCACCGGGTCCGCGCCCGTGCGGAAGTCAATCACCGGCTGCGCGAGCGGGTCCGCGGTGCGGATCCGCACGGTGCCGCGGCTGAGGGGCTTGAGGAAGTAGAGCGTCAGACTGGGGCCGGTGCCCCAGTGGATCATGCCGATGGGGACTTCCTGGCCCGCGAGCTGGGTGAGGATGAGCTCGCGCTGGAGTTTGTAGCCTTCCTGTATGGAGGGGGGCGTTTCTGGGGCGAGATGGGCGAGGGGGTCGGTCGCGGCGGCGGTGGCGAGGAGGGAAAGGTAGTCGGAGGTGGCGTTGGAGAGGGGCGGGAGGACGAGGTTCGTGCCGAGGGTGCGGATGATGGTGTAGGCGCCTTGTTTGGCGGTGTCGTAGAGGGCGCGCTGTTCTGCGTCGTAGGTTGCGTTGGTGTCGAGGGATCCTGAGTTGGGGAAGATTTGGTTCGTGACTCGGGAGTTGTTAGGCAAGCTGTCTATTGGCATCGTGCGAGATTCATCACTTACAGGTGTAAGGAACCTTCAGGTCTGCTTGATCTTGGAAGTTCTCACCGACGCCAGGCAAGTCCTCCACGACCTCAATTCCCAATCCCTCCAAGAACTCCTTGTTCCCGATGCCAGAGAGCTGAAGCAGCTGCGGCGTATGAGCCCCTCCAGCAGCAAGCAGCACCTCCTTGGTTGCATACACGCTGACCTTCTCGCCGCCAGCCGTGGGCAAGTACTCAACCCCGATGGCCCGCTTCCCTTCGAAGAGCACGCGGGCAACAGTGTGCTCGGCAAGGATATGATAGTTCGGACGAGCGTCCTTGACGCGGGTGTAGTGATTGCGCCGGGCATGACTACGGGTGCGCGTCGTTGCGTCAGCTAGAGTGGGAAAGTTGAAGAGGCCCACGGCGTGGTCGCCGGCGAGAGGATCCGGGGACGGCGTGAAGCCACTTTCGAGAGCGGCTTGCCAGAAGTTCGCTGATTTGGATTAGACTCTGGCTCCATGACGTATTGAGAGGTTGGGATGAAGTTACCGGCGCCGGGAAAGAAGTAATTCGGGTACGAAGCTTGAACGGGACCGCTATGTCCGTGGGCTGCATCGATCCACGAGATGTTCGCGGCATCGGCGAAGTCTTGCGGAGGCGCCGTGAAGTTTTCACTCTGTGATGAGGTCAGCTCAGATTCCTCAACAAGGCCGAGACGAATGGTCGAGGTCGAGGATTGACCTTCTTGAAGTATGGAAAAATGCCATCCCACCCCCACCCCTCAGCGCCCAATTTCTCCCAGGCCGCGTACTCGGCCTTGCCGGCGCGGACGAACACCATACCATTGACGACCGACCCGCCGCCGACGACTCTCCCAGCAGGAACAAGGAACGAGCGGTTGTTGAGCTCCGTCTGCGGTGCGCTGATAAGGTCTGGCCACAGGTACGGTACGGGGTTGAAGGCGCCGGGGATGAGGACGCTGTCTTCGTCTTTGTCAAATGGGCCTGTCTCGATGACGAGGACATTGACTTTGACCATGTCAGCGATTGATACCGCGTCAATGGGGTAAGAGGGGATGGCCCACCGTTGGGGTCCTCGGTCAAGCGGTCTGCGACGGTGAGGCCGGAGACGCCGCCGCCGGCGATGAGAAAGTCGTATTCTGTATTGGCGGCGACTTCTCGCGAGGCGACTGTTGCGTGGTGGGGGACGCGAAGACCGGATACATGAGATGAGGATGCTAAGAGGACCGCGAGGGCGCCGATGACTGGGTTTCGGGAGGTCGCCATCATGGTCGTCTTGTTTTGTTTACCAAGACGTCAAGTTCCTTTCGGACCCGAGGTCTGGAAACTTAACGTCCATCTTCGTTGATTTTATACCCAAGCCCCGAGCAACAGTTTCACAAAACATTCCAGACTCCTGTTTGCAATCAGCACCGAAGAAGCCTTGCCTCTGTGTAGACATGCATATGCCAGTCAGCAGAGGCACATAGGCGACGTAGCACCAGCGCAACTTAGCACGGCATGGGCTGCATGGGCACCAATCGGAATTGAACATGAACAAGCTCAATCTGGCTGATCGCGCGTTTAATTCCAATGTTGAGAGCTCGCTAAACTCGAGGCCAGGCCCAGCCGGCTTGATGCGGGGAGATTGATGCCAGTCAGGGGAGAATCAATGCGTGTCAGCGACAGGGCGATGGGGCACTTGCTTGAGTCCGAGGCTTGGCTACCAACGGCAAATGAAGTTGCAGCAACAACTCTCGACCCTTGATCATCGCTCTGAATACATGTTCACGAATTGGTGTAGGTTTCTTCGATATTTACGTTGAAGTAAGTGGTATATTAGATTACTGATAAAGTCGATTGCTGGTGAGCTTTCTCCAGCGCCTGAGGTAGAGACTGATCCTGAGGCTTTATTCGTTTCCCCTTCTTCCATTACACGCATAACTCATGATTCAACATCCTTCTTCATCTAAAAAAAATTCTAAATCTTCGTGACCAGATCATTGTTGTTGTCCCGACCTTGGACGTGGCCGGTGTCGGCACCAGACTCGTCGGCCAGGGTCTGCTCGTCGTTAAGCTTGGGGTTCCTGAGCAGGAACGCGAAGCAGATCAACGGCACCGTCAGACAGATACCGGTGATGGTCAGCAGGCGCTGGACGGACTGGTACGCATCGATGATGGCGGTGCGCTCGGGGGTCCCGACGGGGTACTCGACGACGACGGAAAACGGCGAGCCGTAGGTAAGTTCTGCCAGGGTAGTGTTGCCGAGGGGCGCGAGCTTGTCTTCGAGGACGCCGGGAAGGACCTGGGTCCAGATGGCGCCGGAGATGGTATTGCCAAAGGCGGAGCCGATGTTGTAGGTCGCGAGGTACAGGCCGGTCATGATGGCGAGGTGCTCGTGCTTCAGGCTGGCCTGGAGAGAGGCCTGGGCGGGGTACGGGAACATACCACCGGCGATACCGAGGAGGACCTGGGCGCCGATGACACCGCTCTGGCCGGAGGGAGAGCCACGGTAGTGGATCAGCAGACCGAAGGCGACCATGAAGAGCATGGTGCCGGCGATGATGAAGTACTTGAGGCGGCGGACCTTGAAGACGATGAAGCCGAGGATGAAGCCGGTAATGACACTGCAGAAGGAGTAGAGCGAGGTGATGCGGGTGGCCGAGGCGATGCTGAAGTCGAAGGCGACGATGCAGACAGTGTACAGGTAGTCACCCTGCATGTACCAACACCAGTTGAGGAAGAGGGCGATACCGAGCGGGGCGAGGATGCCGCGGTCCTTCATCAGGTAGAAGGGGACCAAGGGATGCTTGGCCTTGCGCTCCCACCAGACGAAGACGGGAATGCAGCAGATGCCGACGACGAGAGGGGCAATGACGTGGGCTGAGCTCCACTGGTTCTGGAAGCCGCCGGCGATGGTGAAGGGCACCAGGATCAGGGCGAAGACGGCGATGACGAGGATGATGCCGATGACGTCGAGCTGCCAGAAGAGCTGGATCATGAAGTCCTTGAAGCCGAGAGCGTGGAAGGAGGACTGGTAGGAGTTCATGAGGCCCATCTTTTTGGCGCGGCGGCCGACGATGCTCAGGCTGATGATGAGGGGCAGGGAAAGGACGGGGTAGATGATGCACCACATGCCGATGCCCCACTGCCAGGTGCTCTGGAGGAGGACGAGCTGGGAGATGTTGCCGCTGACCCAGGTGTTGATGATGAAGGGCAGGGCGGGGATGTAGCTGAAGAGCAGACGAGCCCGGGTGGAGGTGATATCGGCGATGATGACCTCGACCAAAAGCATGATCATGGTGTACCCGATCTGGTACAGCACTGCGCCGCCGGAGAAGTAGGAGACGTTGGTGGCGCAGGCCTCGACAATGGTGCCGACGACATAGAAGAGGACGGAGACGCAGATGAGCTCGACACGGCCGAAGACGTCGGCAATCTTGGCGGAGGTGGGCTGGGCGGCGGCGGCAATGACGGAGCGGAGGACGTTGATGCTGGCCAGCAGAGAGTGAGTCGCGTAGGAGGAGGTGGCGGTGGGCTGGTAGGCGTAGCGCAGGGTGCCGTCGAGGCCATAAGCGTAGGCGACGAGGAAGACGCCGAAGAAGATGAAGAAACGGTCGACGCGGGTCATGGCCTGGGAGAGGGCCTCGATTCTTACGACACCGGGAGACTTCTCGCCCATGATGTGGTGGGGGGTCTCATGGTCGTACGTCGGAGCGGCTTCATGGCTGGGGTGGCTCTTCTCCGGAGTGATCTCCGGGGCGGGAGACTCGGTCTCCTTCTGGAGTGCGGGACTGGCCATGATGGCGGCCGTGAAGGGTCTGAGCGGGGGTTAGCACCGTGTCATGAGTGAGTGAGTGATTGAACGAAGCATGAGATGAAGTGAAGACCACGAGAGAATCCGCTGGCGAAGTTTTCTGTGGCAACCTTGAAGGCAACCTTGGAGGATAGGAAGGGTGTAGAGCAAAAAGCCTTACCAAGTGCAAGGTCCTCGACTTCAGGTGATGTCAACCTTGTGTTTTATCAGTTGCGGCGCAGTGACTCGCTGCAGGCCAGTGCGCCAACCGGAAGCTTGCTTCGGTGAACCGATGAGAAACTGCCGCCGACCACGGTGAGCGTGAGGTGAGCACAAGGTGAGGTCGGTGAGACGTTTCAATGATGCACGGTGATGACACTCAACCCAACAGAGGAGATTGATGATGCACCAGCCAGTACGACAGTGGTAGGATATGATGTTGGAGGGAGGAAAGAAAATAAAGAAAGCCCAGATGGAGAGGGATCCGCCTGAAGACAGGGAAAAGAGCGCAGCGCAGGTGAGGTTACATCCGCCGCCTTTTAACTTTTATCTCTCTCTGCAGCAGTCTCCGGGAGAGGATCAGGATCTGCTGCGCGCACCACCGGCTAGCTGCCCAGGGTCTGTCTTTCTTTCTCCGCCGCCGCACCACCCTGCAGAAAGAAATCGGGCCCATCTCGGTCGGGGCTGTCGAGTGGAAGCTGGGCTGGGAGACACGGGAGAGAAACATGAGTGGCCGGGGAGCTGGGTCGATCCCTCGCCGCGCTATGCTGCCTAGCCTCGGGAGGTACACTTTTTTTTCTTGCCTTGCCCACACTTTCTTCGTACATTCGGTGATGCGCTAGGAGTAAAGCCAGCAGTGGCTAGCGGCTTTCTTGGTCCTTTTGGTTGGCCTCTGAGAGTTGCAGTGTCTGGTTGGTTGAAGGACATGATGGACAAGAAACTAGCGGGAGAGTGGGAGAAGAGATACATGGATGAACCGTCCGTCGGGATCAAGATGGGAACACCAAACACTGCTAAACGTAAAACGAACAAGAGGGCCATCAAATTTTTTTATCAGATCCATCTGATATGATTTAGCGCACGCCCTTCATTCCTTGAACCGCTGCGACCGATACCGCAAACGGCTACCTTCCCCTAACCTCATCGTGGCGCATCCAACCACCCACCATCTTCACCCTCCTGGTGGACATCATTGGGCGACTCGGCCGTGGCCGTCAGGAGATGGCTGTCCGGCTGCTTACTGGCGATGGAAAGCTGCCGCTACCAAGTACCAATTGCCAACGAAGCAACAAAAACGTCAGCAGGGCCCTCTGCTTGACTCGATCAGGTTGGCGACTCGCCCTCTCTTTCATGTGTCTCTTCTTCAGCAAGACAGGCGACAAACAAATATCTAGCATACCCCTGGACAAGCCCATTTCCAGCTCGTAAAGAACCACTGATTCTCGCCCCCAATGACAGTGAGAGAGGAAGAAAAAAAACACTCAGGGCCCACCTCCATGTTACCACATGGGTGACAGGCCCAATCTCCGCATGCTCCCGACTGGCCCAGGAACGACCAACCCAGTCGGGGCGCCGAGTGACCTGAGCCTGCTCCAACATCGGTCAACCCGGTCGCGTTTTTGGCCTGCTTTTGACAAATGGTTTGCGAACCCGACAGCTTGTCAGCGCCGGCGACGGGCTGCAGCACGAGGACCCGTGAGCTTCTCCGCTGGAGAAATGGGCTTACCTTTGTGTCTAGACTCTCAAACTCCCCATACTGATCAATCTATTGATTGAAGAAAGTTTCTAGGCTCTTGGGATGACGATTCTAGAAGCGGCTGCCATCACCAGTACCGAGGTCTTTACAGTACATAGAGATCACTGCACATCATCACGCATCACTCCCTGCAGAATGTCTCGGCCCCAAGATCTTCTACATTTGTAGGTACATACATAAGTATTGGCCAGACAAAGCAGAATTCAAAGACATCCTTCCCACATCCCACCGGCAATCAGACACCGAAAAGACGCCACAGATCGCACCGCGTCTGTCTTCAGTCATCAACTAGTCTGCAACAACTCCCGCCATTTCGGAGCAAAATTCCGGGGAGCATTCTATGTCCTGCGCGCTCGATCCAAGAATAAGGGTCCTATAACTTGCCGCGAAAAATACTAGACTCTAGCGCCCCAGACAAGCAATTGGTAGATTGTCGCCTCGGGAGAAAATCCTGCGTCTTGGAATGGCAATGGGATGGGGGACCCACGCGGCGTCCGAGCTACCCAGCCGCCGGCGCGGATCCTGCCCAGTGATCAAAGACTTGGGGGCAAAGCTACATCTTATCAAGTCTCTTCATGTGAAAGGGCGGACCGACTCATCTGAGTAGTCTCTCAACATCTGGTCACGGGAGTAACATCTAGTTCTGACAGACTTCATGAAAACTCCTCTTTCATCCGTTTTGGCGACGGTCTAGTCCAGTCTGACCCAGCCTCTGTCCGGCCATTCAACCTGATCAGCCAAGATCATTCCGCCGGACCATCAAACCCCTAATTCCAAACACAAAAGTTCGCGTGCTCAAGATCCAGTCCTTTGGGTCTTTAGCCCACATGCCAACCCATCCCCTCGGGAACCCGCCAAGCCCAGCACCCCCCGTCAAGCAATCCAGAACCAAATCCTCTCCACCCAGTTTCTCGGCGTGACCACCGGCCACGTCGGCTCCAGCCTATCAATCTCCGCCTTGCCAGACCAGATATCCATCTCGGCCACCTTCACAAACCTAGTCCCCTTCACAAACTTGTACCCGAGGAACAGGCTCAGAAAAATGGGGATGTCAATGTACGGCGGCACAAACGTCTTGGCGCTAAACCGCCCCGGGAAGAACGCGTCGAAGCCGTTGAACAGTGCGACCACGAGACAGAAGCACACCGCAAAGTACGCCAGGAACGGCTGCAGCGGCGCCTTGTACGGCAGCGTGTCGCGGTCGACGCCGTGGTGCCGCAGCCCGTGGTAGAAGCGCAGATACGTCACGCACACGCTCGCCCACACGATGAGCGTGCTGACGGCGCTGAGGTTGCTGATCCAGAAGAACACCTCCGCGGCGCGGTTGCTCACGTTGAGGTAGACGAGGCAGCTGAGCGCCGTCGTGGCGCCGACGCACGCGTACGGCACGCCGAAGCGCTCGAACTTGAGGACGGCGGGTGCTGTGCCGTCGAGCGCGGCGGCGTAGAGCACGCGCGTCGAGGCGTAGAAGAAGGAGTTGCCGGCGGACCACGCGGAGGAAAGCACGACGGCGTTGATGATCGAGGGCAGCGTGCGGATGCCGGCGTTGCGGATGGCGATGACGAAGGGGGACTGCGCGGCGCCGGGGGCGCTGGAGCCGATTGCATCGAGGAGGTTTGGGTCCTCGGAAGAGACACAGAGGCCGACGAGGAAGATGGCGAGGACGTAGAAGATGGCGATGCGCCAGAAGACGCGGCGGATGGCCTTAGGGATGTTGCGGCGCGGGTTCTCGGTCTCGCCCGAGGCGACGACGACCATCTCGCTGCCGCCGTAAGAGAAGGTGGCCTGGATGAAGACCTTCCAGAAGGCGAGGAAGCGGCCGAGGGCGCCGGGGCGGAGGTAGGCGTTCATCGGCCCCGGATCGGCCCAGTAGCGGAAGCCGATGCGGTCGCCGGAGGGGGAGCCGCCGAGGGTGATTATGAACATGAGGAGGATCAGGCCGACGATTGTGATGAGTTTGATGGCGCCGAAGAAGAATTCGGCTTCGCCGTAGATGCGCACCGGGAAGCAGTTGATGAGAACCATGGCGAGCAGGAAGATTGTGATAAGCACGGCTTGGGGGACGGAGTGGTCCCAGTAGTCGAGGATCACGACAGAGACGGTGACTTCGATTGGCACGCCGATTGCAAATTGGTACCTATGTAGATCTTAGCTTGGGTCTTCACGTCAAGAGGTAAGTGTCTGGATAGCATCGGGAGCGATAATTTGGGCAAGCCGCCGGGTTGTCCTTGTTTGCCACGTCTGAGGAGTTGGTTCTCCCACTCACCAGTAGTTCCATCCAAGCGTAAACCCGAGCGCCGGGTCAACATATCGCGCCGCGAAGATAGGTACCGCGCCTGGGATTGGGAGCCATGCAGCCATCTCCCCCAAGCTGTTGATTACGCAGTAGAGGTTGAAACCCGTGACTGCGTACGAGATGAACGCCGACAGCGGGCCAGCCAGTGACAAGACTTGACCGCTGCCGACGAACAAACCGGTACCGATGGCGCCTGACAAGGCCAGGAACTGTACATGACGAGCTTTGAGCTTTCTATCGAGGGTTCCCAGATGTTGTGTTTCTTGCTGATGCTTCACCTCGGTCGTGTCGCCCCCACCTATCGTGGTTCTCGCCGGCTCGATGTCATCATCCCTGGGGTTCGTTGCTGATGCCTCCGGGTGTTCTCGTATTCTTTCCTTATTCTCCATCGTGGCTAATCTATTTCAGCGTACAGTTGGTCAATCTGCAGGCTAGGTGGGCAACGGGTCTACCTCAAGTGAGCTCGATACTCCACAACGCAAAGACGAGGATGTTGGATTCCAGCAACAAAACGACGACCCAGCACTGAAGGATGACGTCGGATTTGAAGCAACTGAGGGGACGTTACACTGCATCCCGTGGTTGGCTGCTGTCGGTGTCGTGGTTGTGCAAAGGGCCAAGAGTTTAATGTTCCAATTGCCTCCCCAATTTAGGGGTTCAAAGTGTCGATCCCTGCATCCTGATCCTGCGTCTACGGCATATGGGCGACACAATGTGCGGGGCTGATCCGAGCCTGTCCGCATGTATGGTAAGACTTGGAGAACGGCCTTCGTCAGAAGCATCAAGAACCTTCATGGTCAGCTTACCAGAGCAATCACATTAATACAAGAAAGCGTGTGGCCATGAGTGTTTGCCCAACTATCTATGGCCTCGATTGCAACGTTATGATCATCGTCGCCGTTGCTTTCGATTTGTGTTTTCTCGATTTGCTTCAATCTTAGTCCTATTCATAGTATATATATATGCCTTATTGTAACGCTTCATACTTAGGTAGGACGTTCAACCGTTATCCTTGCGCACGAGTTGTAACAGTTGGATGCGGTGTGCGACATTAGCTAAAATTACGACCTAGCGGACTTCTCTTGGATCCGTACATACCGCTTACTCATTGAGCATGGATATTAGAGCTACTGATACGTCTTCAGCGCCCTGTGTGAACCAGAGGCGAATCCACTTTTTGAACAGCTGGTCGGTCATTGTTTGGGAAGAGCATGTAGCGGATGTGTTATTGTTACGACAGCCATAACCTCGACTGGCTGAGCAGTAACACTTCAGCCTGACAAATTTGGTTTAGTTTCATCAGTTGCTGCAGCACATAAACTAATACCATGGCAAGATCTGGAATGCCGCATTGTTAAGAGAACCCGACGCCGGATGGACCATTGGCATAGCCCGATCAACCTAACATATCTTGCTCTTAAAAGCGGCACTAACCATCACGCTCTGAAGCGGTTGTCACATATCTAAGAACTCTTCATAAGCTTCTACATGCCCACAAAGCCATTCACTTTCCAAATATTCACCATGAGCGACACTCCTATCGACCCAATTCCCTTCGCTGACAAGGCCATCAAGTTGGACATTGTTGTCGTTGGGCATGGAATCGCAGGGCTTGTCTTCGCTATTGATGCGAAACTTCGTGGACATCAGGTTCAAATCCTTGAGAAACGACCTGGCTTGGATGACTTTGGTGAGTTAACTCGACAACTATCACCGGCACAAAGATAATGCAGTTGTACTGGAAAAGGGTGTAGACTGATACGCTTGTAGGTGACGTCTTAGCATTGCAGGCCTCTTCGTTGCGCAGCATAAAGAATGGCTGGCCAGGATTCTGGGATGAACTTCAGTCGTTGTCTTTGGGAAGCACACTCAACCTGTACAGGTATGACGGAACCTTCCTGGCTTCCCCAAGGATTGTTTCGTCCGACGGGTTAGGTTTCGCCGTTCATCGCTTGGACTTTCATGCTTTACTGCATCAGTATGCTCTCAAATGTGGCGTTATCATTCAATTCTCGATGGAAGTCGACAAGTACCTTGAATCTCCTAATCGAGGCGCTGTCGTACTATCCAATGGTGTCCGAATTGAGGCGGACTTGATTGTGGCAGCCGATGGAGTCGGGTCCAAGTCTTGGGACTTGGTACGGAACATCAAGGACCAAGCTGTGAGCAGCGGGTACAGCGTCTTTCGTTCTAATTTTCCAGCATCACCAGCCTTGGAGAACAGCCCTGTGTTAGCGGATGAGTTTCAGAAGTCACCAACCAGAGGCTGTGCGTTCATGGGACCAGATACTCACATTGTGATGTCTAAATCACGCCATCGACTGGGATTCTTGATGACCCATAAGGTTAGTGAGTGACGTTGAATCTCTAGGTGATGTGCGGCAACTAACTCGGAGATCAGGACCCAGGCAATCTGCCAGACACAGTGCCGATTTCCACTGTTCTCCCGTATGTGGAAGGATGGAGTCCCGTAGTGACAGAATTGATCAAGGCAGTGCCTGATGGAGTGGTTTATGATTGGAAGCTGCGCTGGAGAGATCCCCAGCCCGGATGGGTGTCGCCTCTCGGTCGATTGGTACAGATTGGCGATGCGGCCCACGCATTCCTCCCGACGTCCGGCTACGGGGCTTCGATGGCTATGGAAGATGCGCATTCGCTCGTCGAATGCCTGTCTCACGTGGAGCAACAAGATATTGCTCTAGCACTAAGAGTTCACAATTGTCTTCGGTAAGTTGACCCACATGGACTTAAATGAAAATGAATATCGGCTGAGATTCTGTCCCAGGTTTGAACGAACCGCCTGCGCTCAGAAGATGGGCTTTAAAGCTAGGGAATTGTGGCATAAGACAGACTGGAACTCTCCGATTGAAGACCCTACAATGTTCACACGCATGTGGGCTCCATGGCTGCTTCAACACGATCCCGAGGACTACGCGCGAAAGAACTTTGCCACCTGTGCTCAGGAACTTCGCAACGGGGAGCAATTTCAGAACAGCAACAGCGTTCCTGGCTATAAATTCAAGATGTGGACTGTTCGGGACCTTGCGGAATCCACAAATGACGGTCTTGAAGATGAAGGGGAGTGGTTTGCAACTGAATAATGTCAGAAGAATGTCAGGCTCAGAACTATAACGCGAAATTTCAACGGGTTTATCAATCAAAGGTAAACATCATAGAGAGAGAGGATGCTGTGAGGAAGGCGATTTGCATCAATCAACCCTATTCCCCGGGTCTGGTACCTTGGTGTTTACTGAGGGATGGCAGTAACTTACATAGAGGAGAGCTCTACATCGCGCTGGAGCCATGCCATTCTTGCTGAGCTGAACCAAATGGTATCTTTGAAGACCAGCGTTACATCGAGAAGTCATCGGGGCACAGTTAGCGTAAGCCCGGCCGAGATGGACCGATTCCCGGAGGTGAGGTGGATCTTCAATCTCGCAGCTAAGAACGACTGGTGGAACCAGGGTCGCGTAGATATCATGCATTGCCATTTTCAGTTATCTCGTTCGAATCCGTCCGTAGCAAGTCTCTTGACCGTCAATGTTTGTACCGGAGAGTGGGGTGCTTCGTGGGGCAAGAAGAGGATGCACCAAGCGCTTGTCTGACAATATGGCGAATTAGTTCGAGAAAAGTATCATTCCGTTGATCACTGAGACCTGGCGCGGTCACATCCATTGCCCCGAGAGGGAAGAGCACGAAAATAGTCTTCATTTGATGGCTGTGTCACTCGCGTCTGTTGGGGGATCTCCATCAATACATAAGGACAGATACATTTAGAGGCAGTCAGAGGTCTTGAGTCTTGTCCATACAGCAGCCGGATGACCACCCAAAAAAGTCTTCCTTATCCTCGTGAACATTCTTCTGCATCCATCATGGTTTCAATCTCTCAAAGAATCAAGGGCAACATTTTGCTCCTCTCCGTGGCTGCTCACGGTGTCTCTGCGGCCTATGGCGGCTTCTCCTCGCTGAAGACCTTGTTCACTTTGTGAGAACTCACGCAAAACATTACAAAGAACACATTTACTGACAAAATATCCTCAGCGGTGATTCTTACACTAGAACACGATTCATTCTGACCAACGCTCAGCCGTCCTCGGCGAACCCTTTCGGCAACCCAAGCTACCCCGGCCCGACTAGCGCCAACGGCGAGAACTGGATCCAATACCTGACGACGAAGTACAACGAATCCCTACTTCTGACTTACAACTTCGCATACAGCGGAGCAACCCTTGATGCCGATATAGTCGACTCCGGCGTGGACGTTGTCAATCAGATTGACGATCAGTTTCTTCCCTACTACAGCGGCAGCAATCAGACCTGGGACCCTGCGACCACGCTCTTCGGATTTTGGATCGGAATCAACGACATTGGCAAGTCTTACACTGACGGTAACGCTACTGTGCGTCATCCTGTAATCTTCGAACGGTACGAGGCGTTGCTGGAGAAGATGTACGACGCAGGAGCAAGGAACTACCTGTTTCTCAACGTCCCACCGTTAGAACGGATGCCGAGAACCACGCAGTCAAGCGCTGCTGCCACGCGTATCCCACTCGAGAAAGCAGCCGTCGAGGATTGGAACGGACGCCTTCGTGTTCTTGCGCGAGACTGGAGGCAAGCCCACAGTGACGTGACTGTTTTTCAGTACGATACCTACGGGCTCTTTGACAGGGTCATTGATACCCCTGAGCGATACAAGGAGACAGCTGTGTACAAGAATACTACAACATACTGCTCCGCTTACCAGAAGTAAGTCAATTTCCCAAAGTCTTCAACTCTATCACTCACTCGTTTTTCCAAATTGTTAGTGGTACCCCAGAGCCGGACACCAAGTGGGATAACTGCACTTACGCTGCGGATGAGTATATGTGGATTAACAATCTCCATCCTACTTCACCCGTCCATTCTCTTCTGGCCAAGAACATCGCAAAGTCGTTGGCTTGAACTAGTGACAAGACGTTTCAACCTCTTCTTGTCTGGGAACTCATTTTAGGCAACATTACGGGGAAAGCGGTCCGAGGCATGTGTGGCATCAAGTACGGAAGATGAAAGCCGAAATTGCAATGTAACAAATCATTAAATCCAAGTGTGAACACGAACAGCAAGTATCGTGTGCAATCGCTTGCCACCGAAAACCAGTTTGTGCGAGTCTTGGTTGATTATTATTTGGAACTCGAGAGACGCCAAAATTCCTACTCTACTTGCACTTAGCAGTGCGCCGTGGACAAATCAAGCTTCAGTTCCGGTTGGCCCCTTCTAGATGGCGAGGTGATAACGCGAATGCACGAATGCCCTCGCACTGCTGAGACCGATGTTGAAACCTGAACCCCTCCAGTAGCGTAGGGTGATGATCATAGTCCTCTGATTGACATCGCGAAGCATCGAGAATACAGAGGCTTCTGAATCCTTCTTCGTCCTCGAGCTTATCCAACGTGTGCCACGACTTCTATCTCCACTCGCATATCGTCTTCTCCAAGTCTTGGCACGCCAACGCAAGTCCAAAGGGGCTGATGGTTTGGCATCCATTTCCGGAAGTTTCGTACCATGGCAGCTAGTGCCTCATTATTAATGGGTACATGGTACGAATTAACTCGGTAGACCTGCGACCACCCTTTTCCGCCAGCGTCCCTGAGGCACCGTTCCACGTTTTCGAAAGCAAGGTCAATCTGTGCGTTGATCTCCTTTTCAAACTCTCCGGTGATCGGATCCCAGCCACCTGCAATCCAATATCCAGTCAGAGAAGTCGACAAAGTGTAAGGTTTTCATGGAAGACCGACCTTGTCCTGCGCATTCAATGCGGTCACCAACTCGCACTGCTTGGCTATACGAGAACTTTTTCTACTTTTCGACACCCTGCCCCTCATAGGCGAAGAACTTCAAGTGCGACATTATTGCAGAATTAATCTGGAGAAATCGGAGGGTTGCACTTTGGTGATAGAGTGAATTGGAAATTTTAAGACGACTTTGAAATCGAGAGTCATTCGAGGTGGGCTGAATAGAAAAGTATGGAAATGTATGCTCACGCTAGTGACTTCAAACGGAATATAATTTCCACCGGAGCTTCCCATGGAGTCGATTGCCATCATCCACTCATCGCGCAAGATAAGCAATGTCGTTATCGTTCTATCCTTATCTACGGAACTCAACTTCCATTAGATCATGAAAAAAGAATAAACCGTCACTTGTCGTCCTGCTAAACGCTGTACATACCGGCCTCTATCGATGACATGGCTGCTAGTGGGTCCCGCGATATCAGCTGGTATGAGCGGATTCAAAGCGAACCCGAGGCGGAATACATTTTCCACCTAGAAAACATTGTGGCGACCATCAACTCCTGAGTCAATCTGCCACGTAAGCTTGAGTGGTGATTGCAGTCTCTTATCGGACGAAATCAAGGTTACTTTCGGTGAGGTCTCCTGGTGCAATGCGACTTGCAAAGTGCGATAATAGTGGAGCGTGTTTTCATCAGCTTGGTATTGAAAGCTTACATTGCAGTATTCTTTGGAAGAAGATATGGATAGACCAGCAACATTTCGAGGGCACAAATAGCTAACTTGAAGATAGATGTGTTGACTTCTTCAAATTTGGATTACATCCGGTGTCAAGAGCTGGCGATGATTTTCGAATGCCAACCGAAGCCATATTTCTTTCGCTACTATGTAATAAGGTTCGAAGTCAGCTCAGAGCTGGGCCTGAGGTTCTGAAGTACAACGGCAAGCCAGACTCGACTCACCTTGCTGCCTGAACCACCTACCTTGATGAGAGAATGCGGAGAAAAGGCAAAAGATCATCATATACAAATTCAAAGTCAACTTCGTCAGAATCCACGCTCCATATTATCACAGCAACGCTCCCATCCCAATGTCACATTAACAACATACCAATACTCAACTGCAAATACTACAGTGACACTCAACAAGGCAAGCCGGCCAGATCAAGCTGTAGGGACTGCAGAGACGCAAGGATTTTGCATGGGCGACGATATCAAGGGTCACAGAGACAGTAAGGAAAATAAGAAGACTTGGGTCAACCTATTAAGATGCCTCCTTGTACAGAACCATTTGATGGCATAGATGAGATCTTGTGAGCCAGGCGCGTTGCAGGATATTCGGACAATTATGGTTAAAGGAGTTTAGGGTGGCTTCTTTTGGAAATCTGCATGAGGGATTTACGTGTAGTCGGGAGATCGACATGATATTGGATTATTTGCTGGGTGTCTATCCCTATGCAGCGCGATTTCTATTACGCCGCGGGCAGGATATATGGCGGCAAATGCGAGGGGATCTGCAGGTGATTGCTTGGTGAAACGTCCATCAAATATATGCGTCCTCTGAGAAGAAAGTGCCCTGGCTGGACAATGACTCGGGATAAAGTTTCCGTCCACAAACCTAGACAATCCGCGCCAAGAGAAAGATGATCTGATAAGATGATGCCGAGCATCGTGTTCTCCACGTGCTCCACCATGTAAGTTACAAAACTTCCTGTTAAGCATAGAATAGGCAACTTTACACTCATTGCTCTCTCCGGCTCATAACACAGACTTTGGGAATATCAACCAAGGTCTTGGCTCATGGTAATAAGGTAGTGTTCCTCGTTAAAATGACGGAAAGTCCGGACTATCGATTATGAGCTCAAGTATAAGTAGGCGGTCTTATTCGTGAGAATCAAGACGAGTCTCGTCACCCTTCATCAGTGATTAAAACTCGATTGCAATACTTTGAAATCATTTACAGTCCAAAGAAAATGAGACTTCTTCTGCTTCTTGTTGCCGCAGCCAGCGCAATGGCAGCCGCGAAAGGAAACAATGAGAACAAACTCGTCAATCGCCAGTTTACTGGCTGTGACAACTGTCACAACAATCCAGAATACAGTTGCGAGATCATTGACCGCTGCTCCCGCAACGGATGTTGCTAAGCAGCACAAGTCACAACCAACTGTAAGCCTTCTTTGGATAACCGCAGAATATCTACTCAACATCCGATGTAGACTGTACTCCGAGATTATTGCCGTCAAGCCTGGCGGTGAAAGACAATATACGAATGTATGCTTCGAAAAGGGTTGGGCTACAGGGATATTATTGGAGTATACTGTATGAGCAGTAGTCGTCTAAAGCATGTTACGTTGTGGAATGCGATACAGCAACGACACGATTATCTGTCTTCGACACTGTTCATAGTTCTGAGAATCAATCCTGATGTTTCAGCCTGTTATATGAACCTTTCACACCCGGGGCAAATAGTTATCATTAACTAGTTGCCACCACTTGTGACCTTACCAATTTAGCATTTCACGGTCAAACCCTTATTCACCTCGTTGCTTGCATGGGATACGAGTCCATCCACGAAGCCCAGTGCTGCTCGCACTTTCTCAATTCCAGGACCAATCAAACATCTTGCTTCGACCTGCTTTTGAGTCCATGTTTCTTCTGAACGAACTCCGCAACGAGCTCCCCGATCCCGTACGCCGGCATCTGCGTGTGGCCGCTATTCAGCGTTGGCATAAGACTACAGTCGGCGACACGTAGGTTCCTGACACCGTAGACTTGTGCGTAACCGTCCAACACGGCCATAGGGTCATTTTCCTGGCCCAGCTTGCAGGTACCGCCCGGATGGTACGATGTCGAGGCATACTTCTGCACGTGCGACTGCCAATCCTCGTTGGTCTTGTTGAGATGGTGCTCGGCGCCTGCCGGCCAGCCACCCTTGACGATGTCCTTGGTACCGGCTCCGCCCATGGTGATCTCGTTCATAAATTTCACGCCCTCGGCCATCATCAATAGGTCCCGCCTGTCTTCGAGATACCGGGGGTTCACGTAGGGGTTGTCGCGTGGGTTTCTGCTCCGCAGCCGAACTTCGCCGCGGCCTTTGAGGCCGCAAAGGAAGCAGCACATGGCGAAGGCCCACTCGCCAGCCTTAGGGAAGTCAGTGTACTCGGAAGGGCCCCCGTAGCAGATGGTATGGAAGAACTCGAGGTTTGGTTGGGTCTCGGTCAGGTCCATGGGGTCACGGCCCGGCTGTCGTGGGAAGCTGCGCCACTCTTCGCTATCTGCCTCGAGACGGTCATTAAGGCGCGCGAAGGCGAAACCGCCGAAGGGAAAACTGGCCAGCCAGCCGTCCTTGGTGTCTGTCCACTCTTTATACCCGTTTTCGAAGGCGTTGAGGTCGTGGCTGACTCTTGCGTCGTCAGTGAGGTCGGGCTCGTTCAACTCGTAGTAGACAAAGATGAGCTGATGGTCCTGCAGATTTTCTCCGACGCCCGGCAGGTCCTTCACAACGGGAACACCCATCTCTTCAAGATGCAATTTGGGTCCGATGCCAGAACGTAGAAGGATGGCCGGGCTTCCGTAAGTGCCGGCAGAGAGAATGATTTCCTTCTTTGCTTTGATAGTGTGTCTGTGACCGTCGTCCCCGACATACTCGACGTACTTTGCCTCGCCATTTTCAACTACTACCTTGTCCACAGTTGCATGGAGCCTGATAGTGATATTTGGCTTCTCTTGGTCCTTGGTGATGAAATCTGCCGCGGTCGATCGAGTTCCCTTATGCTGGGTCCTCACGGCATGGCCACAACCATTCGCCGCCACGCCCGAACTGAACATATCGGGGATGTAAGGCAGCCCAAAGGACTTGTAGGATTCAATGACTTTGTCGGTGAGTGGGATCGTCTTTCCAGGCTCAATGTGTAGGGGCCCATCCCACCCATGTGCCTCATCATCGTGCGGGAACCAATCCTTGGGATGGAATGTTTCTGCCTGTTTAGAGAAGTACATCAACGTTAGGTTGCCAATATTCCGTGAAGTAATGGATCCAAGTGACAGGAAAGAATACCCAAGGGAGGGACACACCTTTTTCATAGCCCTGAACATCTCCTTACCGCTCCATTGCGGAAAGTTCCAATCGTCGTAGTCTTGCTCGACGCCCCTCACGCAAATTGTCCCATTGCAGCCGCTGCTACCGCCCAAGAATTTTCCCCGTGGCAGATGGATCTCTCTACCTTGCAGACCCGGTTGGGCGGGTGTCCTGAGATTCCAGTCCGTATCGCCTTGGTGGAGGGTAACCCAGCTGCATAACGACGCAGACGCAGTCAGTGTGTGGCTTCTGAAAGTGGTGCCCCGAAGACATACGCGCCAGGCATGTGCATGTTATCCATGTCTTTGCTGTCCTTGCCTGCCTCAAGCAGGAGGACTCTGATGCTCGGGTCTTCGGCCAGACGGGCGGCGACGACGGGGCCGGCGGTGCCGCCTCTGGCAGGTGAAGTCAGCATCACAACTTTCGGCAGGAGTATCCATGGACCTGAGGCGACGGATGGATCAAGTTGCTTACCCACAGATGATGAAGTCAAACTCTTCAGGCATATTTCTGTATGTGTCTATGTGTGTCTCTCGCTTCCGAGACTGAACAGGTTTCGACTACAGTGGGCAGGATGCTAAGAAATAGTACAGGCGACAGCTGAGCATTCGAGTGTCTGCGTGGACACAGCAGTTGGTTCGGTACGGCTGTCATTGTCTGTCGCATTTATATGCGTGTCTCGCCAAGTGAACGAGGCGATTCTGTGAGGGGTAGAACTGCAAGGCGAAGACAGAATGGATGGGATTTTCAACGCGGTGTAACAACGAGGTTGGAGGCAGCGGATAAATGCTCCCGAGGACCTCGCGCGCTCAGTATGCAGCGACTCGGCGCCGTCATATCTTACAATTTGAGGATGTGAGGAGAGATAGAACTAAGAGCGGCAGGGCAGAATTGGCAATCTAACAACGCTATCTCTAAGGCTCTCATCGCTTAGAAGGTCGTCGGTATGCTAACTCAGGAGGCGACAGCACGATCCAGAGCTTCTAGCCCACCCATTTTGAATCACTCTGGAGTTTGATAGTTTATGTTGAATCAATTCCAGAGAACTACACTGTAGCAGAGCTATGTACGTAGTAAATCTCCGCTCTCGAGATCCTCGTGGTAGGCCGGGAAGACCCGCGAGCTAGGCATGCATCTCGTGCTGTCACCCCACTTGTGCGCCTTGGCGAGTCCCTTGGCTCTCTTCTGCCAATTGAGGCTTTGAGGAAATGTGATAAGTGACTTGGTGTATTGGTCAAGCCATTCATGATTTTGTCTCGAAATTTCTCTCACATTCCACAGGGGCTGATTAGTTCCGCGTACCACCGAGGCGTTCTTCTTGCTTTATGCTGGGAAGACCGCACCTAGGACCGTCAATAACTCAGTAGCTGCGGGAAGCTGTTGTCCGGTTCCTTTACCTGCGACATCGCCGCCAATCACTTCCCAATCTTTTGACTGCTAGTGAAATGCCTCATCGAAGAAATATATTTACGTTTTGTCTTAATCTATCTGCAAGTTCAACTACTTTGTTGCATGAGTGACCCGGCCTGGGCAAGCTATCAATAGGAATCTTGCTATTCGGACGGATACTTCTAGCTGAACAAGCGGAGAACTGCCTGCGGTACATCAGGTCTAACATTTACTCACATCTTGATTAATACCATTACCCCCTCCCCTTCGTCCATGTTCTTCTCCCTCTCTATCTCCTTATCCCTGGCGTCATCGTCCTCGTCGTCCTCGTCGTCCTCGTCGTTATTGTCCTTGTCATCGTAGTTGTTGTCGTTATCGTCATTGTCTTCCCTGTTATCGTCTGTGCCTATTACCCGCCTGGACAACTACTTAGGGATATCCGCTGGGATAGCAAAATTTGTCAATCAACGAGACCGCGCGATTTGTTGAAGTAATAAAATCCAAATTTGACAGATAATATGCTATCGCTGTTGCAGCAAACCCGGGGTTTGACATGCTGGGCTGGGGGTCTTGAATCTTGCACAGCCCACATCCCTGAGCCGAAAAGATAAGCGCCAATCCTCGTACGTCGCCTCGAGGCGGAATACAAATTCCTATCTCTGGACAACACCCCAAACCTGACTTTACCCAATTCATACTCTGAACAAAAACGGCTTGCAAAGCCACAGGCCATTCAGAGACTTGAACTCAGATAAGACATCAATGGCTGGAACTTACTAAAGCATGCTGCCTGCACTAGGTGCGACAGCATCATACGAATACACGACCTTTAGAGGTTCTCAGACTTGTCTCTTTTTTGTGCAAAATGTTGTCCGTTAGACAGATCCTCGTGTACGGGATCATTTTCTCATCCGGTAAGCTCCAGTCCCCTTATTGACACCAACATTTCTGAGCTCAACGTGTCAGCAACCATCATCGGCTATGATTCCGGATATCTCAATGGCGTGCTCGGCTCCCAAGACTTCACCAAAATCTACGGCATTAGAGACGGCGAAACAGAGCCCATGTACTTGACGCCTTACACCCGCAGCACGTTCTCTGCGTTGTTTGTCGTCGGAGCTCTTGTGGGTTGTCAACTTGTTCCGCTGCTCACAAGTAGTAGTAAGTGCTCATCAACTCCGCTTCGTCGGCAGTGCATGTTGCTGGGCGCTTGCTGATGTATGCCAGTCGGTCGTAGAGGCAACTTGTACGCGGCATCTTGCACTTACGCCGTTGGCGTGGCTCTTCAGACTGCAGGGCTTGCTCCGGCGGTATTCATCGTGGGCCGCGTCCTGCTTGGCGTCGCCCTTGGTCTCATATCCGTTACGGTCTGGCCCCTTCACCCCTCCCATGTTTATACTGAGCCACTGAACGATATGCATCAGGTCCCGGCCTACCTTATGGAATGCTCTACTCCGACGAATAGAGGCCAGCTGGTGGCGCGCTATTCACAGTTCCTCACCACAGGCAACGTTCTGGCGTGCGCGATCAGCCTTGGTACCTCAAAGTACGCCGACTCTCGAAGCTGGCGTGAGTCATCCCGAACCCGAAGCAATACACAGCCTCTGATTCCAACACAGGCATCACGATCGCGTTCCAGCTGGTTTTAGCATTGACCGTGTTCATCGGCGTTATGTTCTGTCCCGAGTCGCCATTACTGCTGGCCAGAAAGAACAAGATCGCCGAAGCGCGGCGCGCCCTCGCCATCCTTCGCAACGCAGACACAAACTCATCGGAAGTCGATGAGGCTATGCTTGATATTGAAACCCACATAGCAGATCAGCACGTCAACGGAAGCGCGCGGTTTGTTGAGTGCTTCCAAGGGACGGACCTGAGACGCACCCTCATCGGCGTGGTCATGTCTTTCTTCACGATATCGACTGGCATCACCTTCTGGTTCGGCTACGGGACGACCTTCTTTGCAGCTGCAGGCGTCGACAACTCGTATTTGATATCCCTCATTCTCGCGATTACCAACTGCGTTTTCACGGCGCCGTCCATGTATCTCATCGAGCGTCTGGGAAGACGAAGATCCCTGATCGGGGGCGGTGTTCTCATGGGAATTGCCCAACTGCTGACCGCAATCATTCACAACGCTGCTCCGGACAGCAAGGCGGATAAGACGATGTTAGTCGTTGGCGCAGTGTTCTTCATCGCATCTTATGCGCCGACTTGGGGGATCGGGGGTTAGTAGACCCGCACCACGAACTGTGCTATTTCAAAGCGGCTGACAGTATGTGTAGGTTGGCTACTAATGGCAGAGCCGTTTTCAGACCGCGCGAGAAACCACCAATCGTCCATCGTTCTGACGGCATACTGGATCATCACATGGCTCGTTGGCTTCGTCACGCCGTACATGGTTGATGAGACTGCTGGAAACCTGGGAGTCAAGATCTCCTATATCTGGTTCGGTATGACCGTGCTGTCCCTTGTGTGGGCCTACACCTGCGTTCCGGAGCTTGCGGTGCTTTCAAGATTGGAGGTAAGACTAGTCGAACCAGGTCTGGCTCCCAACTTGTTACTGACTTTAACAGATTGATAAGCTGTTTGAGGAGAGAGTCCCTGCGTGGCGGTCAAGGGAGTGGCAGAGACAGCTTCGAACTATTCAAGCCATCGAGGCAGAGTCGGACAAGGGTCCTACCGTTGAGGAGAAGATGCCATGCAAAGAGTAATGAGGGGTTTCGGGATATTGGAATCGGGAAACGCATTGCGATGTCACAAAAGGAGGATTGCAATTGGGCATCCTCTGGCCATTTAAAGGTGCTCTCATGTATTTGATTTCATATCTCATAAATTACTCTCACATCACATCTCATGTTCACCATCATCCCTCTTATTCACACCCTACGGCAGGCATGACAGGAAGCTGCCAAGCCTGTCCAGAACAGGCTGCTGCTTCTCCTTAGGCGCAGTAGACTTGTCTGAGTCACCAACACTGATGGAGATGTAGCATCCCGCGGTGCCCACAACCGTGTTCTCCCACGGCAACCTATCGCTGCTACCACAGGTGCCGACGTCCGGGTTCAGGGTGACGGGGTTGATGCGGCTGAGCACCCACTTGAAGTCGTCCGCGTTGTTGCACGCGGTATCGGTAACAGCGGGGAAGTTGACATTCAGCCAGACCTTCTCGGGGAGGTACGGCGCGCCGCCGCTGACGATCTTGTCGACGAGGCGCTTCGCGAGCTCGCCGTAGACGGCGCTGCGGGCCGGCACGGGGGAGGTGTTCCAGGCGAGGGTGCCGGTGGAGGCGCCGGAGAAGGCGATGGCAGGGATGTTGCGCTCGTTGGAGGCGAAGACGGCGGTGCCGACGGTGCCGGAGACGAGCACGGACAGCCACAGGTTGGAGCCGACGTTGGGGCCTGAGACGGCGAGCTCGGGGGCTGCGCCGTTGAAAACCTCGCCGGCGAACTGGTCGATGCCGTAGCGCATCGAGGTCGCGGGGAACGAGTTGACCCAGCGCAGGTCGGTCTGTGTCTCGTTGACGCCGATGGGGCCGCTGTTGGCGGGGCAGCTGTCGTACTGGCAGGCGGCGGTGCGCGGGTCGGGCTCGGCGTCGCTTGAGCCTGGGTTGGGGTTAGTTGGGAGGGTTCAATGTGAGGGTCACGGAGGAGGAGGGCGTACCGGAGCCGGACTTGTTCTCGGCCGGGGCGGAGAGGAGGACGTTGTGGCCGGAGGACTTCAGGGCCTGGTTGAAGGAGCGAGCGTACAGCTCAGCCCAGCCGTCATCGTTGGACTGGACGATGCGGATGCTCTGGACAGCGAGGGCCTGCGCAAGCAGCGCAAAGGTGGTGGCGGCGCGCATCGTGATGACGGGGATGATGAGGTGGGCAGAGTGGCGGCTCGGGGGGAGGGAGGGGTTTGAGAGAGTGTGTGTGAGAGGCCGAGGGCGTTTGGCTTGAAGGCGTGAGTAGAAACAAGACACAAAACGTCGCCGGCGATCGGCCGAGTTTAAGTAAACGGACTACGGCAAGTTGGAACGGCCATGGAGGCCGGCACCCCGGTTGATTAAGATCTTGGTAGAAGAAGCTTCTCCACGAACCACGCCTGACACGTGCCATTCGCCCACAGCTACGCCCACCGGTGATCCCTCCTCATCCGACCTTGTCAATCATCTGTCAAGTGCCCAACCCCCCAGGTGCATGACGCATCTGCAAGCGGTAGAAGGGAATACGGCGATCATTGAGCTTGGCCTCGTACGCTGAATACGCAAAGAGAAGATTAGCGTATTCTGTATTGGCTTGGGCAGTATGCGGGATGCAAAAGCGGCATCCAATGAAGGATGCGTTCGCGGCGGCGCCCCTGAATCCACGAAACCTTGTCCGCCCCCTCAAAAAGCCCAACCCCAAAGCGCGACCGAACGAACCGAACTAATAACTGGACACAGCTGAGAGCTACACTACGAGCTTCCTGTTTGACATCCCGGGGGAAGCACGCCATTCGCCGGAGCTCTGCTCACGTGGGTCTTGGCCTGTTGGAGTCGTTGGAGATGACCTTCTCGATATTTCGACCTGTCGATATTAAATCAACGGCCACCGATGCCGCAAGGGGGAGGCAGTGCCGATGGAGGATGCGACCGTGGACGGGAGGGACCGGGGTCAGGGCCGCTTCCCGTTCGCTGCGCGCAGGGATGATGGCGGGACTCTTCATACCAACGGTAGCCAGCGGGTTTAATAGTTTCTTGGGGGGTTGGCCGTTTCTGAACATGCGGTTGTATTCTGCATCGTGATTGACTCGTGAGAGATATGGGGAAAATATGGCAAAGTCTAGCGTGCTGCGTGGTCAGCAAGCAACAAGGTTTCTCGATCTTGGATATTAATTGCGATTGATGAGCTGACAGCTGGACAGGTTAATAAGCTCTTCGTCTTTTCGGGTATCTTTGCCGTTCATTGAGTCGCGCACTTTATCTCGACATTGATTACAGATAGAATCATTGATTATTCTTCTCTCGACTTCGCACACGATTCAACAGCAGCTGCCGCGATCCGACTTAGACAAAAGCTGAGCCCGAGTCTCCGCTCTGCACAGCTCGCGACCAGCAATCGCCAACTCTTGAAACCGCGGCATCCCCGAATCGAAGGCCTCCCAGCCCGACTCCTGGCCTGTGCTTCTTCCTGTAATGGCAGATGGCAAAAGAGCAAAGCCACACCAGCCATGCTGAGGCTCGTCTCATGTGCCACTTTCAGTGACGTCAATTGGAGAGCTGATTCGCCCAGCTGTGATAGTCACCGTGTAGTATTGGGCGGGATATGTCGAGGAGGACGCCAACACTGCAGGGTGCCGGGGACAACCATACAACTAAGAGCAAAACTAATCGTCAATTCGAAGCAGCAGTCTATGGTTCATCGTTCAGCGCCTTCTTTTTCGGGAAAACTGATGGAATGTCGTCTCTGACTGTCGTCCTCGGCTCGGAGGTAAGGGGAGCATGCGCCTTGCTCCGAGTTGAGCGATGTCACTGCACAAATTTGGAAGGACAGGCAAGGGCAAGGACCGGGCCATCTTCGACATGTGAACTAATTCGGGTCGCGACATCAAGTTGGCCGTGTGCACGTGTGGCAATTATTCACTATGGCTATTCATCTTCCTCGTCGGCTACGCATTTACTTTCATCTTCTTAGTAGATTGCCCATCCCACACACTTGCTAACACCACATCGAGAATCTAACATCATGCCAGTCTCTCATTGCAAAAAGTCGGACGGCACCTCCGGTCCTAGCAAAAAGTCAGTAACAACTCCCACACTATCAACAACAAACACTTACCCCAGACGTGCAGGTTATCCGGTGACGCCGGGTTGTGATGCGTCTCCTCCGTGTCGTCGAGCAAGTCGCCGTCGACGTAGTGCTCCATGATGAAGCCGGACGGGTCGAACCTGTCTCTCTTATCAGTCCCAACATTCTCAGCCTCTGCTCTGTCCAACACAAACTCACCAGTAGTCAAAGATCTGGCTGCCCATGATGTGCCTCCCCACGCCCCAGCAGTTCTTGTACCCCTGGTGCCGCAGCCAGTCGTGGCCCAGCACCTGCGCGTCAAAGTCGTGCGTCTCGAACGACGAGTGGTGCACGTGGAACTTGGGGCCCTCGAAGAAGAAGAAGCAGTGGTGATCGACGTATTCCTTGCCGCGGCCGAGGCGGAAGAAGACGGTGACCTTCTTGTCCTTGTTGTCAGGCGCGTGTACGAGCTGCGCAGATTCCAGTCAGTCTGGGTGTCTTCATGCCTCCTTTCCCCCCCTTTGCCTTCAGAAGTCTGAAGCAAAGATGAAGATGGCTTCTTACCTCGCTGGGGTAGAAGTTGAAGTTGCTCGTGTAGAACTCGTACGCCTTGTCAAAGTTGGTCAGGCACACGCCAAAGTGGCCCAACTTGTGCACCGGCGCGGGCCGTTTCGTGAAGCGCTGCTTGTGGTTGACCTCGCGATGCTTCTCCGTCGGCTACCACACCCAACCGCGTTAGCAAACACTCTCCCCCTTTAATTCCCCTCTCCCTCCGACATAACGCTTCACTTCAAGGAACTCACAAAGTTGAACTTCAAATTTGGAAATCCAGGATCTCTCCTCTCCACCGCGGTCTGCCCATACACCAAATGGAACGGCCACCCGTCCACCGGGTCCTTGAACGTCACGCACTTGCCGCCGCCCTGCACCTCCCCTAGCTCGTAGATCTCGCTCGCGCCGGGCAGCGTCTTGGCCGCGTGCTCGAGGTCGTCGAGCGACTCGACGACGAACGCCGGACCCCCGAACTCGTCCTCCTCCGCCTCCTCCGCGCAGAGCACCACCGGCTCGGTGCCGTAGCCGCGGTAGTACGTGCGCTTGCCGACGCGCGCCGTCTCGTAGAAGCCGAAATCGTCGTAGAAGGCGCGCGCGGCGTCGATGTTTTTGTGTTTGTAGTAGACGTGGGCGATGCGCACGAGTTGGATCTTGCGGGACATGGTGTGCGGTTGTGTACTTCTCGTCTTCGTGTTATGCGATGTGTGATGAATGTTAGTTTGAGCTTGAGGGGCGGAAATCGCGACCGGGTCAACAGAGGCTTGAACTGTCTGAAAGCTTCGGGGTCTTCTTATATCATCCGTCTCTTCACTCTACTTCGCAAATGCCGTTGGAGAACGGGGGGCATGTGGAGGGAAAGGGGTGGGAGGACATCAGCCAGTTTAATTCCCCCGCACTACCCCACCACAGTCCATCGGACGTCACGCAGCGCTCGGTACTTGCGCAGTGGCACTAGAACAGTCCGGCTCCGCGGGAACCAACCCAAGACCCCTTGTTTTTCTTTTCATGGACCAGGTGGCGTCTTTTGTGGTGGTTGCTGTGGCCGGGAAACTTCAGATGGCGCCGTGCCGAGAAACTCAGACCGCTGGGGGGCTGAAAGAGAGCGTGGCGTCGGGGACGGACATTTTGGTCGAGGAAGGGCGTCGTTGCCCGGGTTCCCGAACACGCCGAGGAAGGTATTGTTTGTTTGAATGTGCGGCTGCTGCAAGCTCTGCCATCGGTTGTGTGACAAAAAGCGTCAGATGTTTGCAAGTCTGCGTGAGTGGAATTGCCGGGCATTGTTACCGGACGAGCACACAGTGTGTATCAGAGCTTCCTCATCTCATTCAAGCTGTGGGAGCTGTCATGTGTGTGGCCATAGCTTCGGAATCAAAAAGTAGCCTCCGATGTGAGATGCGACACATAAAGTTTGGCCTGTGGTTGCTTGGGATCGGCTTCTTAAACATTTCGATGTGATGGTGGTTTTACGGATTTACGGGTTTACAAGCAATGCGTGGTTGGAGATGGGGTGAGCTTCTGCCGAGGCAGTTGGGAACGTTGCTAAAGAGGCATGAAACAAGTCGCCTGGTTCTTCAATGCTGTGAGAGGCTCCCTTGAATCAATTCCTGGCTTGGTGCACATTGGAAATGGCTTTTTTAGAGTAGATGTATCGTGCCCGGCGTTCTTTCAATACCGGCCTCCATCTCCGGATTAACGGGGCGGAGGTGGGGCCGGTCCCGGGCCGCGGCACGAGAACACCGCCAAACATGCGAAGTTGCCCCGGGATAATCTGCAGAGAAACCAACTGATATCGCGCCGTGATTTGGTACACCCTACCTCAAGCCTATCAATAACTCCAACATGGTCATCATACCCGCGCAACATCACCTCCACTTGCCCGTATCGGCACAGTGCCGGTCGTACCCACTGGGCCGGGACACGCGGAAGACATACCCAGCCCCGCGTTTCTGAATCTCCCCAGATCTTGCTGGAGTAGGCCAGAAAACAAACTAATGAGATGCAAATTGGCTCCGCGGACAGCTGTGTTTGATGAAAGCCACGGATACCAGCACTCCAGTCTAACTCCTTCGACGCGGGGAACTAGGACAGGTTTCCGCCGATTCAAGTCAGACGTAATCTTTTTCTGGAGGCCAAGAGGCAATGCCGTCAGCTCAATTTTGGAGTCTCTGCATGTGCTATTGAGGGTCTTTGGTCGACAAGCAGAATCTCTGCTCCTCCAATTGGGTCGCAGCTCCGGTTTGCTGACCACCTTCATGCAAAGTACCTAGATCATCGAAAGACAGCACATTGCCAAGATCGAGAAATGGCTTTTGGGATGACAGTTTAACGATACGAATGTCTCCTGTGAGGAAACACGCACCATCGCAGAATTTACGACAGGGAGGAATCAACGCTGACTGGCAGACGACCTCATGGTTGATCCAAAGCTATACAGCAATTGGCTATGTTGATGGAATGTTCAGAGCAGAGATTGGTGCATCCAGGCCCTAATGAGCCATGGAGCATCAACTTCATGCAGTCAACCTGCGTCTTCACGATCCTCTTGCGTTGCGATCGATCAGGAGGTTAGCGATGGTGGTCAGCCCAACATGACAGTCCACATACAAAATCAAGAACAGCTCACGTCAACCAGCCATCCCCGCAATCGAATCCCGACAACCATCGCCAACCCAACACACAATGATCGACTTCACCCTTTCCGACTCGCAGCGCACAGCCCGCGCCAACGCTGCAGCCTTTGCCTCCCAACTCCTCCACGGCGCCTACGCCTCCTACACCAAACTCCCCAACGATGGGGTCACCCGCTTCCTCTCCACCAAGCCCCTCTTCGAGACCGCCGTCCGCGCCGGCGTGATCAAGTCCCTCGTGCCCCCACACCTCGGCGGCACCGGCGGCACGCTCCTCGAATCAGCGCTCGTCACGGAGGAGCTCTTCGCCGTGGAGCCCGGCGTCGCGCTGAACCTGCTGACGGACAGTCTGGGGCTCATGCCGCTGATCTTCTCGTCCGCGGAGGATTCCCTCAAGAAAGAGCTCGTGGCGCCGTTTCTGGCGGCTGAGGGGGCCCCGTTGGCGGCGTTCCAGTGGTCTGAGCCCGGCGGCACGGCGAACTTCTTCGAGAAGGGCGGGAGGGGCGCGCAGACGGTGGCAAGGCGCCAGGGTGATAGGTGGGTTGTCAACGGCGAGAATATCTGGGCGGGGAATTGCACAGGGTGGGATGGTCGCGGGGCGGATGTGCAGACTGTGTTCTGCCGAGACGGCGATGGTGATAGCGGCGACCTGGTGAGTTCGGCGATGCTGCTCGCTATCCCGCGCGCCGTCTTAGACGAGAATGACGAGGGCGCGTTTCGGGTAGTGAAGTACATCGAGACGCCGGGCTTCACGGCGCACTGCGGCCCGCACGTCGCCTTCACTGACCTGCGCGTGCCGGAGAAGTACGTCGTCGCAAGGGGCCCTGAAGCAGTGCGGATTGTCGAGATGGCGTTCGCGGCGACGGGGGCCATGGTCGGGGCCATGGGGGCCGGCATCATGCGCACGGCGTTCCGGTCCGCGTTGCGCTTTGCCAAGGAGAACAATCAGGGCGGGAGCGTCAAGGTCCTCGAGAGGCAGTCTGCGGCGGACCTGTTGGTCTCGCTGAAGACGAAGATTGACACGGCGCGGCTGATTAGCTGGAAGGCGGCGCACGCAGTGGACAATGGCGAAAAGGACGCCGTGGAGCTGTGCTCGCAGGCGAAGATCTACGGGTCTGAGGTGGCGGTCGAGGGGGTTGCGGAAGCGATGAGGGTCATTGGGATGTAAGTGTCTGCTGTGAACGTCTCTTTTGGTGGAATTGCTAACGGGGATGCAGAGCGTCTTGGTCGTACGAGTATCCATTTGCCAGACTTGTGCAAGAGGCGGCCGTGTTGCCCATCTTTGACGGCGGCAACCAGGGCGTCAGGAGGAGGGTTGTGCAGAAGGCGATGTTGGCGGACGACTACGATCCATTTGGCGACCTCTAAGAGGTATTCGGTCGGACTTGGGATACCACAAGGTGTGAGTGCCAGGGATTCACACCCAAAGGAAGAGTTTACGGGCGTGATCTTGTCGGGAATTGGGCATCGAACAGGGTCAATATCTGATGATGATGGAATGTGGGCGGTACGCTCCATAGTCTACCAATTCGGACCCTCCTGCAAGTCCGCCTTTCAGCGGACACCCATCTGGCGTTGTGGCAGAGTGGTCTAATGCGCAAGACTAGAAATCTTGTTCCTTCGGGAGCGTCTGTTCGAATCAGGCCAACGTCGATATCTTTTGCCTTTTGCGGTCCATGGCCGTTCTAAATGTTCTTACTGTCTCTGTGCCAATGGTATCGAAATGATGTTTTGTCCCGGATTTCATTCCGCCAAGTTCTTCGTCCGATCTAGCTGTTTCGTTCGCTTCCCGTGCGGCCTGCCCGCCGAGAGTTTTCGATGCGCGGCCCGGGGGTCAAATCACCGCAGGACCCCGCCGTTGGAGCCAATGCGCTAGCTGCCCCGGCAGTGACGAAAAAAAGCGCCCGCCGCAATTTATCGCTCTGCCCCTCCAAACAGTAATTCCCGTCAGCATCTACACCCACCCAGCCTCGATAACGACGATAACCCAAACTCCCATTCTGCGTCCACGACATCACCCACGCCAATCCAACGCACCTCGCATCTTCCCATATACAAGACGTCCCACGAGGGCGCTCCCTCCACACAATGCCCAAAAAGCTCTCCAAAACCCCGCAAGGAGGCAGCACATCCACCCTCGGCAACGGCACGCCCTCCACCTCGACGACCGCCTCGCTCTCCCTCCCGCGCATCCTCACCGACGACCTGCCGCTGCCCAAGCTCATCGTCTTCGACCTCGACTACACCCTCTGGCCCTTCTGGGTCGACACCCACGTCTCGGGCCCGCTCAAGGCGAACGCCGCGCACTCCGCCGCGACGGACCGCCACGGCGAGTCCTTCGCCTTCTACGCGGACGTCCCGCGCATCCTGTACACCCTGCCGCTGGCGGGCGTGAAGCTCGCGGTCGCGTCGAGGACCAGCGCGCCGGAGCTGGCGCGGGATATGCTGAAGCTGCTGCACGTGCCGCCGCCGAGCGCGGAGGAGGGCGGGAGCGGGAAGAAGGAGAAGGCGCGGAAGGCGCTGGAGTTTTTTGATGGGGGGCTGGAGATCTATCCGAGTAGTAAGATCCGGCACTTTGAGGCGATTTTCCGCAAGACGGGGATCCCGTTTACGGAGATGCTGTTTTTCGATGACGAGAGCAGGAATCGGGATACGGAGAGTTTGGGGGTGACGATGCATTTGGTCAGGGACGGGACGAGTTGGGCGGAGATTGAGAAGGGCGTGGCGGAGTGGAGGAAGAGGAGGGGGTATACGGGCTAGGGCGTGTGTGTACCCCGTGGCTGCACGAGAATGATTGACGACGGCGAGAGCGATAGAATCTACACGCGAGGATAAAACGGTACATAGAGGCGTTGGGGTCGGTAAGGTTTCGGGCATCCCAGTTCCACGGACGCGGGGAGGGTTCGCCAGACGTATGACGGGACGGGACGATCACACCGAGATCTGATCTCAGGGTCTTCTGGCTTTGAATGAGATGATGCGACGTCTTTCTTGATACCATGCACTTCTAGAGATGAAATCAAACGATGTTTTTTGGTATTTCAGAACTAAAAACTCCAGCCCATGTTGTTGCTCCGTCGTCCGACGACTGACCAAAGCCAGATGTAAATTAATAGGACCATCGAACCCTCGGGGGTATATATATGATAAGAACCGTTTCCCAAACCACACCCAAAAGCAATCGCCTCCTGCCCGCATATGCATCCCCCTCTTTTCTAAATTCTACTCGGAAATCGTCTATGCCAGACCCACGGGCGCCGTCGTGCTGCCGTTGGTGTGCTTCTCGGTAATCTCCTTGGTCTCGGAGATGGACAGCTTCGACAGCTCGTCCTCGCCATTCGTCGTCGCCGCCTCGGGCTCGGTAATCTTGACGGGCTCGGTCTGGGTGCCCTCCGTCACGGCGCCGTCCTTCTCGTCAACCGGCACGGTCGTGGTCGTCTCCACCGCGACACCGTTCGTCTTGGCGGGCGGCCACGTGCGCGGCACCGAGGCGATGAGCTCCTCCTGCTCCTTGCCGTTGACGCAGCCAATGCCGAAACACTCGACGCGGGTGCCGTCCGCGGTCTCGCGCCAGACGGCGGGGCGGCCGGTGAAGGCCGTGTGGCCGTTCTCCCAGCGCACGACGCCCTCCCACGCGGGGTCGACGGTGGGCTGGTCGCCCCAGGCGAACTCGAGCTGGCCGCCGTACTTCTTGGGGATGTTGCGCGGCTCGACGAACTGCTCGAGCGTCGGGAGGACCTCGTGCGGGGAGAGGATGAAGATCTTGGAGACGGTGATGGGGTCGAACCAGCGCTTGACCCAGCCCCAGACCGTGGAGAAGAAGACGGGCGCGCCGATGATGAAGATGCCTGGGTGACGTCAATGACTGCGCGAACGCGCGAGGGTTTAGGGGACAAGCAAGAGGGTAAAAACTCACGGTCAAGAGTCTCGGGGTAGTGCGCCGTCGCGATCTGACTGGCGGCCTGCATGTGGCTCTTGAGGTTCCAGAACTGCTTCAGGCTGACGCCCGAGATGTCGACAATGTTTGTGCTCAGGGTGATGGGGGTGTCGTTGAAGTCGCGGTCCTGCAGCTGCGTCGAGAAGGGCTGGTTGAAGCGGGTGAGGTTCTCGTAGAGGGCGAACAGGCGCAGCAGGCCCTGCGGGGTCTTGCCGTCCCACTTGGCCTTGCTGAAGGTCTCCTTGCCGGACTTCTCGTAGGCGGCGATGGCCTTGGTGTCGAGGTGCTTGATCTCAAAGAGGTACAGCGGGATGCCGCGGCGGTCGCGGCGGCCGGTCCATTGCGGGTACAGGCGGCGGCTCTGCTCGTAGGCGTCGAGCTCGATGGTGTGGTAGAGGGTGTCGATGTCGCTGCCGGCGCGCCACTCCTCCGTGTCCTTGAACTGCGTGAGGGCGTCTGCGGGGACCCAGCTGCGGGCTCTGAGGTATCGCCTATTGGAGGGGGGAAACAGTCAGCTTTTCGTGTGTCCCGGTACATCCGGCGCAAAGAGAAAAATCGAGGGAGGGAAAAACGTGTAAAGCGGCTCACAGAAGTGTTTGGTCGTCGTGGGACGCAGGCGGGCCTGGCTTGTACAGCCCCTTCTCCTCGACCAGCTGCTTGAAGGCGACGAGCTGCGCCTCTTCGTGCTCGTTGAGGTGGCCCAGATGGCCGCGCGGGTAGCCGTGTTCGGCGACGACAGTCGAGGCGTGGGATTTCACCTTGGAGGCGGGGTCGGAAGTCGCGGTATCGGCCATATTTTTTTTTGTGGTGTGTGTGGTTTTATCGTGCTCTTTTTTCGTCAGTCCTTTATCAAGATGTGATGTCGGATCTGTGTCGGCGGTGTGCGACAGGCAGGTTTCTGTTTGGGGAAACAAAAGGTCGTATTTCCTCCGTCAGCCGGCGTCAGCAAGCAGCGCAAGGTGTGCGAGGTCGCTCTGGAAAAGATCGGGGGCGGCGGCGGCCTCGAGGCGGACTGCGAACTTTGACATGGTGGGCGGGCAGGCGGGCGTTGGCGGGACGGACGGGATCTTGTTGGGTCCCATTCCCTCCCTCTTGCAGGTGCAGCGCAGGTAGAGGTGCAGGTGCAGGTGTGGAAATTTGATGTGTAATCGGCGTGGGAGAGAGATCCATGGATCCCGCTATGCCGTTCCCGTTGAAGTCGCGAGGAGATGACCGGGTTCCTTGTGACCGCCCCCCTGTCGCCTGTCAGTCAGCGGCAGCCTTTATCACCACCCGTGCCGCCCGGGGTCATTCGCCCGAACAGCCCGACGCAGCTGCCCAATCAATGACGGCGAGAAAGCGTCCTTACGTCATACAACTCGGCCGACATTCATCCACCTCGAACTTTTTGTTCTGTTGTCCGCGATCCTGAACTGAACTTTGCGAATAACTCCAACCTTCCCTTCCATCAGGATCATGATACATACGATAATCCCGTCCTGCACCACAACGCCTCCACATGCATCTCGTCTCAACCATCAATCTCACCTGCAGCAGTGAAGCGCGCATGCCCGCCCGGCGCGACGCCACTGCATCCTTCCGCCTATCGTACAGCCAATGGGAACAGAAGCAGTGGAAACATCGCGTGCGAGTCATTGTGGGGCCTCACTGTTCAAACACAACCCGCAATGGACAGCACATACGGCTTATGAGAAACCAAACATCCGGTCGACCACTCTGCAGGCGAGTCTGAAGTCGCGTGTGCAAAATGCCTCAGGGTTTCCCTGTGATTATTGACGTTGAACCAAACACACCGCCCAGTTATCCCCCTCAAAAAGTAATGAATCCCACGCGTGCAATGTGGAGGTATTTCATGCGTCTGGAGGCTTTATCCCGACTCTGCGGCTGCTTCCACATGGCCTTCTCGCCAATGACGTGTCGCGAATGTGAATCCACATGGCTCGTTCGGGCAGGCTAGTGCGAGCTTCTCGAGTCGTGGCCTCTGTCTGGGGTTGATACAGCTACATCACGGTCTTGATCTTGCTTCAAGGACTGCATGCGAAAGTTGAGCAATTGAAATGTGACTTAGACAACTTCTGCTGGGCCCTGCGACTTTGAAATGACAGAGCCAGGCTTCGTGATGGCTCGAACATTTGCTTACTTTTCACATCTCTGAGCAGCTTTCAGCTAGCCATTCCTCGCGTAAGTCTTCCAGTCGCAATATTGCTTCCGGCAGACTCTCCTTGTCAACAAAATCCAGCTTGCTAGCATGGCCATCGATGATTTCGGAACTTTGGCCTTCCCTCAAAGTCACTAAGGGCTTCTTGAGCAACTTTCGGCTGAGATGCTGCTTCAATGCCGTCTGCAGCGGCTGCAAAGATTCCTCCGTGTCATTCAGTATCAACTCCAGCTCACGTGCCGCGCCAACCTCCAGGCCAGCCAACTCGCTCGCTTGCAGCGCTATCTCGCATGTGTTGAAAGCTTCAAAAGCAGCCAGTGGCCACTCCAGGCAGCCACGACCCTCCAAAAAGTCCATCGTCCAGAGACCCCGGTCGATAAAGGACGTGTCCGCCGAAAAGAGACAACTCCAGTGCAGCTTCTTCAGGAAGAACTCTGCGGGCGTCAGAGGCCCCTGCCAAGACCACACTCTGTTCGTATTGACGCCGCGCTCCATGAGAAATTCGACCTTGGCGCGGAACAAGCTGGGAACTTCCTCGTCCAGGGCGTTCCGCCAGACCTGGCCGACGTTGTTGTTGTTGTTGTTGTTGTTGTTGTTGTATTTAACGCCGAGGCGGCAAGGGCGCAACCGCCCTTGCGGCCGACCTCCCGAAGGGTATATGGCGTGAAGGGCCGCAGGCTCAAGCTATATACTCTAAAGTACACTCCT